CTGTAAATTTCTCTTTCTCTGTAATATCCAGGAAGATATTATTCTTCCTGGACTCATCTCCTCAGTTATGTTTTTTGCTCTTTTCTTGGGTCTTTTGATGCTATATTTGAGAATTTTTCAACTTTATCTTCTAACTCTTCTATTAACTTTTTAATTTCAGCTATATTTTAACTTTCAAAGAGTTTCTTCTTGTTCTCTGGTTGCCTCTTTCATACAGTAACTTGTTCTTATTTTGTGAATGCAACATCTCATCAATCTATCAGATTAAAAAGTAGACTTCTCAGTTGCCATTTGGTGCCCTGAGCTCAAGCCACAGTTAATGCATCCTATGTTCAGATTGAAGGAGGTTGAAAAATCACATTCCCTCACTCCTTGAAATTCTAATAAGAATTACAAACAGAAGTCAGACAGATGGAGATAAAATTAACAGCTTTATTGTGAGTATAGCCAGGGTAGAGACACTGTAGCATGGACCTGCAATCACAGTCAAGCTTGCTGCCATTTGCCCCAAATCTAGACAAATATCCATCTGCTGGTGGAGTATTCTGCAAGGCAAATACTTAATCTACTTAGCTTCCTGCCTGAACAAGAAACCACTACCCTCCACTCATCAAGAGCCAAGAGTAGGGACAAAAAAAAAAAGAAAAAGCATCAAGAGTAGGGACAAAGGGAATGAAGCCACACATATACTTGGTAAATACATGTATACTCCTTTTTTAAATAGGAATCAATTGATGTTGAATTCTTGCCACTCACCAACTAGAAATATCAATCTGCTTTATTAACAGAAATAACCTCATGGGAATTCTCACAATAGGGCTTCCTCTGTCATTGTTGGAACCTTCCAATTCATTAGTGGTAAAAACCATTTCTTGTGTTTCCTGCATGATCTCTTTGTTATTTTACTCATTTAATTTGGACTGTCCCTTTCATGAAGAGGGTTTCTTCCTGCATGTCAAGTGATGCCTAACTGTGTCTTCAGGTTTAAAGCAGGGTACTAGAAAGTTTACTGAAACTCTGAATGTATAGGTGGATTTCATCTAGTGGGCTCAAGTCTACAGCAATGATTCACAAAGTTTTTCTGGAATCAGAAAATAAGTATTCTAGGCTTTGCAAGTCACATGGTCTATGTAGCAACAATGCAACTCTGCCTCTGCTGTACAAAAGCAGCACAGATAACATAAATGGATGGGCAGGTTGTCTTTCAGTAAAACTCTATTTAAAAGAACAGAAAGCTGGCCAGATTTGCTGCTTTCTGCTCTAAGGTCATCAGATGGGAAGCTGGACTCTTGCCTGGGTTATAGATGTTGGGAGCTCTATGCACAAGGAATAGAGAAATAAGGAGTTGCAACTGTTCTAATAAGACTTACACCATGATTGTCTCACTGCATCTCCCTTTTTGTATTTGTCAGCTTTGAGTCTTAAGTACACTGTTTGTCATTACCCTTTTCTGCACAAATTATATTATGGCTTCCTCCACCCTCTTAGACCTCCTGTGACTTCTCTCCTCCAGTAATATCTCCTGTCCAATTCTCTTAGCTTGTGTTGATTTACACATTTTAATATTCCTTTATTATCCTTTAATTTAGGTCTTAGAAGAAATAAACATAATTTATCAAATGTTAAAATATTTTATTTACCATTTTAAAGTTCTTAATACTGAAGTTATTTTAATTACATTATTTTTATATTTCCTGGATTTGAATATAGTTTAAATAATTCTTTTCAAATTAGTATCATTGTTTTATAAAATCCTATATAAAAAACTCTCCCTTCAGCTAGGCAACTCTCCACAGAAGTTGGCCCTATGCCCCACATATATAGATTCATTCCCTACACACCAACCTTACCTAACAAGGGTTCTTTTCTTCCCACATGTTCCCCAGATTCAGTCTTTATGAAGATGAAAGCAATAGTTTCTGTTGGGGTCTCCTACTGACACAAAGTCACAGTCTGGGACACACATGAAGGGTCAGGATATGAGCAATGCCTAAAGGAAAGCAGAGTTCTGGAGGGCTGCCAATGTGACTTCTACACCGTTCCTGTCTCTCCTATTTCTTCAGGAAGACCCAAGGATTGGTTTCTTATAGAATAGCTAAACAAGACACAAATAACTACTTGGATTGTTGGGAAATGAAAAAATATTTAAACTATAATGGCTTTTCATGAATCCATCAAATATGTGAGCTTATTCTAGGGCTAGAAACAATAGGAGCTGAAGTAGGAAAGTAAGGCTGAAGTCAGTGATATTCACCCAGGTCCATGGATATAATTTCTTGGCAGAAGTCTTGTGTTTGAGCTTCCTTTGTTATAGATTCCAAACTCAGCCAGAATAAAGAGTAGGACACTCAGATGTGGCTTTGGTTTACTGATGCATGCTATTAAATGCTGTATAACATATTTTATAATAAAAATGTGAGCAAAATGATATTGTTTTGAGAAGTTAGGAATCCTTTTGATAACTGAGGTAACCCCAACTATGGTAAGTGCTAAAATCTAGATGTGGAAACTGTTTCTTTTAACCTATGTTTGGAGGGTACACAGTCTAGACCCTTCCTTGGAAGGATGTTTTCTCTGTGTCAGGCACACGACAAAATCACACTGCAGTTTTCTGAAGACCATAAGAACATATTCAAGCTGGATGCTGGAGACCGCACAGGACCACCCATCCTCTGCTGACATGTTCTACCCTCCTTCAGTCCTCTTTGAGGTTTGCTGTGTCGATGTGAAGTTCACCGAGACCAGGGAAGACTTCCACTTCCAGCTATGACAGAGTAATTGATACAGGACTCGCCTTGCTGCTTTAACCATAAAATTGGACAAAATATATGTGAGGCAACTGCTTTTAGACACTGGGCAGCATGCAGCAAGAGACAGTGATCCCTGAGGGAAGAGAAGATCACAAGGTAAGGCTCAACAGTGCCTGGCTTTTTAAGTGTATTATCACGGCTCCAGCGTAACGAGTTATGTCCCAGGAGACCACAGCGGTCCCGCTGAGCTGAGGAGGCAGAGATCGAAGTGTAGGACGGTAACCACTGACCAGACTCTGCAAGGCCTTGTGTGGGGGCTTCCCATGGACAAGTTGAGCTGCTCATATCCAGTTCTGTGCAAGAGTACAAGAGGCTTTATTTACCAGGAAGCTGTTATTAGAATAAAAGGTTGAGACAACAGTCTCTAGGGGATGTTGGAGGCCCAGCTCAGCTACAACATGGAGCTCTTTCTGACAGTCTATTAACATTCCAGGCATCCAGTTTATACAACAGGAAGGCCCATCTTAGAAGTAAAGACCTTGCCCTAGAATAACTGCTGCAAAAATACCCTTCAAAAATGACAGTGAAAGAGAATAGTTCAGTCAGTGAAACCTGAGGGAACTGCCAGAAGATCTTCACAATGAGAAACACTAATGAGCTTCAGTCAGAAGAGAAATAGTACACATAAATATGGATCTAAAGGAAGAAATAAACACTGGGAAAAAAAAAAAAACACTGGAGGTAATACCCTCAAAAGCCAACAGAATGTTTAAGTCAGAACAGGCGTGAGCAGGTATACACCAGTTTACTGTGAAGTAGTGAGAGTTAAATGTCGATATTGACTCTATACAGTCTGAAAAGACCTTGATGATGGGAAAGATTTAAGGCAGGACAAGAGGGGATGACAGAGAATGAGATGGAGACTGCATCACCAACTCAATGAAGATGAATTTGAGCAAGCCCTGAGAGATGCGGAGGGAAGCCTGGCATGCTGCAGTCCACAGGGCACAAAAAAGTCGGACATGACCGAATGACTGAACAAGTGTGGTGAGCTCAGCTCACATTGTTAGCTCTAAAGCAGCAGTTCTTTAACTTCTTGTTCTCTTTATGCTCACGATTGTTGAGGAGCCCAAAGAGCTTTAATGTAAGTATCTCTGTCAATATTTACGTCAGAAATGAAAACAGAAAAATGTTTAAATTACAATGACCCCCATTCAATCTTAACATGTGATGCATGGCAATGTTTGAAGGTTTTATAAATATCTTCATTTCTGGCTTAACAGATGACTGCTGAATTCTTAAACCAGCTTCTGCATTGACCCTATTGCAATGTCTTTTTAGCTGAAGTGTATGAAAAAAGTCTGGCCTCACACAGGTATGTAGTTGGAAAAGGAGGAATATTTAACATTATTTTTTCAGATAATATTCTTTGATACTGCACTAAAAATGGACAAATATGTGAAGGTTTTTAGTGTTTTTCTCATAAAAAATTATTTCCAAGATTATGACGTTGTTGGGTGCAGTACCAGAATTACCCAGGTCTCTGCCCCACGGTTTTCACGAAGTTAACATGAGCCTTCCAGAGTCAGGAGTCACAGTCTCTTTCTTCCCCACCCAAATCATCCATCTCCTTTTCTCCCTCCAAGTCTTTTTCAGCTGAGGACAGAGGACAGACGATCTGGACGACTTGAAACATGGTTTATTTAGAAGTTCAGAATTGGTGGAAGGTGGTTAGTTCCTTTTTACTCCTAGGCCAAGTCCTATACAATTTTAGGATATGTTTTAAAATGGAGTTCATTATAGAGTGTCTCAGGTGAGAGAGTTATCTTCTTCACCTCAGTGAAAGAATTTTTTTTTTCTATCAGACTTACCCACATAAGGTTGTTTCTCAAAACTCAGGAGATAAAGGAAGATGCAAGATAGATTTTTATTGAAAGTAGCTCAAATATTATACAAGGTTGGATTGAAAGGTACTGTTTATTTCATCATTTAAAAAATTATACCTAAAGATAATAAGTCAAATGCAAAAACATATAATATGACTATAGTTAACCCTTTTCCCTTGAAGGCAAAATAACTGAGAAATGTTTATTTTCCCTCTTAAATGTCTAATCCAAGTAATAAGGTGCTTACAGGTGGTAAATTCACATTGCTTCCTTCAGTGCTTCTCTCCCTTAAACCCACAAAATCTTGCTGAACTTCATCACTGAGTTGCTGGCCTTCATGTGGAAGCAGAGTGACGTTCAGGTCTTACAGGTCTAGGGACCAGTGGACAGAGAGGCTCTTGTCCTCCACGCCGGCCACCATGTCTTCAACAGCATCCCAGTCAAGCTTGCTGAGGATGCTGCCTGTGCTCTCAGACAAACTCTCCATGCCACCAACCCCAGAAGGAGCCTCTGACTTTTCTTCAGTTGGTGAAGAGTCCTATCAAATTGAGAAAGACAGTAAATTGTGGTCCTGAGAAAAAAAAATAAATGGCACATGAGCTAAGTTTTCCAAAGACCCCAGAGCTGCTCATCCATCAAAGAGTGACGGAAATACGAAGGGAACTAGGGCTGTCGTTGCCCAGCAATCTGGACTGGCGATGGGATGAATGAACGTCACCTGACACAACGAGATGCTCGAACCAGGCCTGAAGAGTAGACAGAATGGACTGTCGCACCTACAGTACAATATTCTGTTCTTACATTCTTGTTGTTTTGTTTGGGTTGTGTTTTTTTGTTGTTAAAAAGAAAACACGCACTCAAGGAAAGTTCTGAAAGACAAATGCTGGAGTATTCAACCAAAAGTGTAGATGCTTTGAATCACTACTTCAAACTGACCTAACAACCCTTAAGTATGTCTACATCCCATACACACACACACAAATAAGTAAATATGCAAAGAAAAAAGCCCTTAAGAACACAAATAATCACTAGGGCAAACTGAAACCTGGAATAACGCATACCTGTAGCAGGGAACTGTGACTCTCGTGGAGAATTGCACGGATGTCTGAAGGTACCAACCATGGGCTCACCACAGTCTCTTCTCGCTCATACTCTATACACACCTCCTTGGTTTGAGGTGCAAGCCCAGCGCTTCTGTGATTTTTTGTACACTGCCGACAGGGAGCACTGGGGCCTTTCCAGGGAAAAGAACAAAGCATACTTTAGGACTGATTCATTGGTAAGTCTGTTCCTTACTGTGACTTTTACTGTCAAATCCAAGGCAGCCAATCTCATCTTATATTGGAATCATAAGATCTGGTTGGCTTTAGAGTTCTAGCAATTCCTGTTCTCTTGGTGTGAGAGAAGGAAACTGAATTCTGGCCAACTCTTTAACACATTCGAGTATGGTTGATTAGGAAAGAAAAGTGAAATCGCTCAGTCGTATCTGACTCTTTGCGACCCCATGGACTACCAGGTGCCTCTGTCCATGGGATTTTCCATTCAAGAGTACTGGAATGGGTTGCCATTTCCTTCTCCAGGTTGATTAACAACATCTGATTAGCAATTAACAATGTTTGATTAACAATACTGTGTTAGTTTTCAGGTGTATAGCAAAGTAATTTAGTTGTACATATACATGTATCTGCTCTTTTTCAAGTTCTTTTTTCATTTAGCTTAATAACACTGAGCAGAAATCCTTGTGCTATACAGTAGGACCTTGTTGGTTATCTATTTTAAATATATAGCAAGTGTGTACATGTCTACCCCAGACTCTAAATCTATTCCTTCCCACCATTTGCTCCCCCGGGGACCATAAGTTCATACTCTAAGTCTGTAAGTCTGTTTTGTAAATAAGTTCATTTGTGTAATTTACTTTAGATTTCACATTTAAGTGCTATCATATGGTATTTGTCTTTCTCTAACATACTTTGATCAGTATAATTTCATCTATCCATGTTGTTGCAAATGATGTTTCATTCTTTTTAATGGTAAGTAATATTTCACTGTATATATGTACCACATCTTCATTATCCTTTCCTCTATGATGTACATTTGGGTTGCTTCCATATCCTGGCTATTGTAAACAGCACTGCAGTGAACACTGGGGTGAATGTATCCTTTTGAACCATGGTCTTCTCCACATACATGCCCAGGAGTGGGATCACTCAATCATATGGTAGCTCTATTTTTAGCTTTTTAAGGAACTTCCATACTGTTCTCCATAGTGGCTGTACAATTTACGCTCCAACCAACAGTGTAGAAGAACTCCCTTTCCCCCACAACCTCTCCCAGCATTTACTGTTCGTAGACTCTTTTGACAATGGCCATTCTGCTAGCTACAAATCATTGTAGCTTTGACTTGCATTTTTCTAATAATTAGTGATATTGAGCATCTTTTCTTTTTTTTTTTTTTTTTTGGGTGAAGCCATGCAGCACGTGGGATCATAGTTCCCTGACCAGGTATCAAACCACTCCCCCTGCATTGGAAGTGGAGAGTTCCCATCACTGGACCACCAGGTAAGTACAAGCATATTTTCATGTGTCTATTGGCCATCTGTATGTCTTCTTTGGAGAAATGTCTGTTTAGGTCTTCTGCCCATTTTTTGATTGGGTTGTTTATTTGAAATTGAGCTATATGAACTGTTTGTATATTTGGAACATAACTCCCTGTCGATCCTATTGTTTGCAAGTATTTTCTCCTGTTCCATGGGTTGTCTTTTCATTTTGTTTATGGCTCCCTTTACTGTGTAAAAGCTTTTGAGTTTAACTAGGTTCCATTTGTTTATTTCCATGACTCTAGGAAATGGATAGAAAACGATATTGCTGCGATTGCAAAAAGTGTTCTGCCTAAGTTCTCACCTAGGAGTCTTATAGTATTCGGTCTAACATTTAGGTCTTTAATCCATTTGTGTTTACTTTTATGTATGGTGTTAAAGAATGTTCTAATTTCATTTTTATATATCTAGCTTTCCAGTTTTCCCAGCACCATTTATTGAAGAGACTGTATTTTCTCCATTGTATAGTCTTGACTCCTTTGCCACAGATTAACCAACAAGAGGAGCATAGTTTTCTCTCTGGACTGTCTATCCTGTTCCACTGATCTATGTTTCCGTTTCTGTGCCAGTACCATGCTGTTTTGCTGACTGCAGCTTTGTAGTATAGTCTGAAGTCAAGGAGCCTGATTCCTCTAGCTCTGTTTTTTCTTTCTCAGAATTACTTTGGCCATTCAAGGTTTTTTGTGTTTCCACACAAATGAAAACTTTTTTTTGTTTCCAGTTGTGTGAAAAATACTATTGGTAATTTGATAGGGATTGCACTGAATCTATAGACTGCCTGAGGCAGTAAAGTCATTTTGACAATATTGATTCTTCCAATTCAAGAATATAGTATATCTTTCCATCTATTTCCATCATCTTCAATTTCTTTCCTCAGCATCTTCTAGTGTTCAGGCGTTTGCCTCCTTTTGTTGTTGTTCAGTCACTAAGTCAGGTCTGACTCTTTGCAACCACATGGACTGCAAGATGCCAGGATTCCCTGTCCTATTTCTTGAAGTTTGCTCAAACTCAAGTTTGAGTTGATGATGTTAACCATCTCTTCCTCTGTCATCCCCTTCTCCTCCTGCCTTCAATCTTTCCCAGAATCAGGGTCTTTTCCAAAGAGTCAACTCTTTGCATCAGACGGTCAAAGTACAGGAGTTTCAGCTTAACCAGTCCTTTCAATGAAAATTCAGGGTCGATTTCTTTTAGGATTGACTGGTTTGATCTCCTTGCTGTCCACGGGACTCTAGAGTTTTCTCCAGCATCACAGTTCAAAAGCATCAATTCTTCAGCACTCAGCCTTCTTTATGGTCCAAGTGTCACATCCATACATGACTACTGGAAAAACCATAGCTTTGACTATATGGACCTTTGTTGGCAAAATGATGTCTTTGCTTTTCAAAATGCTGCCTAGGTTTGTCATAGCTTTCCTTCCAAGGAGCAAGCATCTTTTAATTTCATGGTTGCAGTCACCGTCTGCAGTGATTTTAGAGCCCAAGAAAATAAAATCTACCACTACTTCCCCATCTATTTGCCATGAGATGATGGGTATGTTAAGTTTTAAGCCAGCTTTTTCACTCTCCTTTTTCACCTTCATCAAGTGGCTCTTCAGTTCCTCTTCACTTTCTGCCATTAGGGTAGTATCATCTGCATATAAGAGGGGGTTGATATTCCTCCTAGCAATCTTGATTCCAGCTTGTGAGTCATCCAGCTCAACATTTCACATGATGTACTCTGTATATAAGTTAAATAAGTAGGGTAATAATATACAGCCTTGATGTACTCCTTTCCCAATTTTGAACCAGTCTGTTGTTCTAAGTCCAATTCCAACTGTTGCTCCTTGTCCTGCATATAGGTTTCTCAGGAGGCCTCCTTAGGTACATTCATTTCTAGGTATTTTTATCCTTTTTTATGCTATGGTAAACTGGATTGTTTCCTTGATTTGTCTTTCTGATCTTTCATTGGTAGTAGATAGGAATCCAAGAGATTTCTGTGTATTAATTTTGTGTCATGCAACATTATCAAATTCATTGATGGGCTCTAGTAGTTTTCTGGTAGCATTTTAGGATTTTCTATGTCTGGTATCATATAACAGTTTTACATCTGCAACAGTGACAGTTTTATCTCTTTTCCAATTTTGGGTCCTTTTCTCTGATTGCTTGGCTAGGACTTCCAAATCTATGTTGAGTAAAAGTGACAAGAGTGTGCATCCCTGTCTTGTTCCTGATCTTAGAAAGAATGCTTTCAGCTTTTCACCATTTAGTGTGATGTTAGCTGTGGGTTTGTCATATATGGCCTTTACTCCCTAATAGCTCAGACGGTAAAGAATCTGCCTGCAATGCAGGAGACCCAGGTTTGATCCCTGATTTGGGAAGATCCTGTGGAGAAGGGAATGGCTACCCACTCCAGTATTCTTGCCAGGAGAATTCCATGGATGGAGAAGCCTGGCAGGCTATAGTCCATAGGGTTGCAAAGAGTTGGACACAACTGAGCAACTAACACTGTCATGTTCCCACAAGGCACACTTTTGGAGAGTGTTTATCATAAATGGTGCTGAATTTTATCAAAAGCTTTTTCTACATCTATTAAGATGATCATATGGCTTTTATTCTTCAACTTGATGTATCACACTGATTTGCAGATACTGAAAAATCCTTGCAGAGACTGATTTAAGATGGTAGAGCAGAAGGACATGTGCTCATCATCTTCTGAGAGAGCACCAAAATCACAACTGTTGAACAACCATCGACCAGAGGACACTGGAACCCACCAAAAGAAGATACCCAATATCCAAGGACAAAGGAGAAGCCACAACAAGATGGTAGGAGGGGCACAATCACGACAAAATCAAATCCCAAACCTGTGGGGTGGGCAACCCACTCACTGGATAACAATAATACCAAAGAAGTTCTCACACTGTTGTGAAGGTTCTAGGCACCACATCATGCTTCCCAGCCTGGGGATCTGGCAAAGGGACTGGGAATCCCCAGGGCATCTGAAGGCCAGTGGGATTTCATTAAAGGACTCCCACAGGACTATGGGAACAGTCCACTCTTGAGGGCACCAACAAAACCTTGTGTGCACCAGGACCCAAGGGAAAGGAGCAGTGACCCCACAGGAGACAAACTTGCCTATGAGTGTCTGAGGGTCCCCTGCAGAGGCATGGGTCAGCAGTGGCCCACTGTGGGGACCAGGGCATTGGCAGCAGCAGCCCTGGGATATGTGTCTTGGCATAAGTCCTCTTGGAGGTCACCATAAGCCCTACCATAACATAAAGCCAGGAGACTCCAGGACTGGGCCTCCTCAGGCCAAACAACTAACGGGGAGGGAGCACAGCCCCACCCATCAGCAGACACTTGCATTAAAATTTTACTGAGCACAATCCTGCCCACAAGAGCAAGACCCCCATTTTCCCCACAGCCAGTCCTTCCCATCCAGAAGCTGGCATAGGTCTTATCCTCATTCACCAGAGGGCAGACAGAAGAAACAAGAACTATAGCCTCCAAAACAAAAACTACAATCACAGAAAGCTAACCGAAATGAAAAGAAATAGGATTATGTCCCAGATGAAGGAACGAGGTAAATTCCCCAGAAAAACAACTAAATTAAGTGGAGATAGGCAACCTTCCAGAAAAATAATGCAGAATAATGATAGTGAAGATGATCTAGGATCTTGGAAAAAGAATGGAGAAGATGCAAGAAATGTTTACCAAAGACTTAGAAGAATGAACAGAAATGAACAGTAGACGAGAAGGAATCAATAGCAGAATAACTGAGGCAGAAGAACAGGTAAGGGACATGAAAGACAGAATGGTGGAAATCACTGCTGCAAAAACAGAATATAGAAAAAAATGAAAATAAACGAAGACAGCCTAAGAGACCTCTGGGACAACATTAAACACACAGATATTTGCATTATATGGGTCCCAGAAGGAGAAGAGAGAAAGGACCTGAGAAAATATTTGAAGAGATAATAGCTGAAAACATCCCTAACATGTGAAAGGAAATAGTCAACCAAGTACAGGAGGCAAACGGTTCCAGGCAGGATGAACTCAAGGAGAACACACTGAGACATGTAGTGATCAAACTGACAAAAATTAAAAACAAAGATCAAAATTCAAAAGCAAGAAGGGAAAAAAAGACAACATACAACAGAAATCCCACAAGACTATCAGCTGATTTCTCAACAGAACCTCTACAAGCCAGAAGGGAATGGCATGATGTATTTCAAGTGATGAAAGGGAAGAACTTTCAACCAAGAACACTCTACCCAGCAAGATTCTCGATCAGATTTGATGGGAGAAATCAAAAGCTTTCCAGACAAGCAGAAGTTAAGAGAATTCAGCACCATTAAACCAGTTTTACAACAAATCCTAAAGGAACTTCTCCAGGGATGAAAAATCCTTGCATCCCTGGGATAAATCCCACTTGATCATGGTATATGATCCTTTTAATGTACTGCTGGATTTGCTTTGCTAGTATCTTGTTGAGTATTTTTGCATCTATGTTCATTGGTGATATTGACCTGTCATTTTCTTGTGTGCCATCTTTGTCTGGTTTTGGTATCAGGGTGATGGTGGCCTCACAGAATGAGTTTGGGAGTATTCTTTCCATGGCAATCTTTTGGAATAGTTTCAGAAGGACAGGTGTGTTAACTCTTCTGTAATTGTTTGATACAATTCACCTGTGAAGCTATCTGGTCCTGGACTTTAGTTTGTTGGAAGTTTTAAAATCAGTTTCAATTCAGTACTTGTGATTGGTTTGTTCACACTTTCTATTTCCTGATTTAGTCTTCAGAGATTGTACCTTTCTAAGAATGTGTCCATTTCTTCTAGGTTGTCCATTTTATTGGCATATAGTTGCTTGTGGTAGTTTCTTAAGATCCTTTGTATTTCTGTGGTGTCCATTGTAACTTCTCCTTTTTCATGTCAAATTTTATTGATTTAAGCCCGCTCCCTTTTTTTCTTGATGAGTCTGGCTAAAAGTTTATCACTTTTGTTTATCTTTTCAAAGAACCAGCTTTTAGTTTCATTCATCTTTTTCAACTGTTTCCTTCATCTCTTTTATTTATTTCTGCTCTGATCTTTATGATTTCTTTCATTCCACTAACTTCAGATTTTGTTTGTTCTTCTATCTGTAGTTGCTTTAGTTGTAAGGTTAGATTGTTACTTGAAATTTTTCTTATTTCCTAAGATAAGATTGTATTGCTATAAACTTCCCTCTTAGAACTGTGTCCCATAGGTTTTGGATCACCTTGCTTTCATTGTCATTTTTCTCTATTTCTTGGTTTCTTTAGTGATCCATTGGTTGTTTAGTAGCATATTGTTTAGCTTCCACATATTTGTGTTTTTTCCAGTTTTTTTCCCCTTGATTTCTAATCTTATAGTGCTGTGGTCAGAAAAGATGCTTGATAGAATTTCAATTTTCTTAAGTTTATGAAGGCTTGCTTTTCAGCCCAGCATGTGATCAATCCTGGAGAATATGCCATGTGCACTTGAGAAGAATGTGTATTCTGCTGCTTTTGGATGGGATGCTCTATAAATATTAGTTAAGTCCATCTGATCTAATCTGTCATTTAAGAACTGCCATTCTTTATTGATTTTCTGTCTGGATGATCTATCCACTGGTGAAAGTGGGGTGTTAAAATCCCCCACTATTATTGTGTTATTGTCAATTTCTCCTTTTACTGCTGTTAGTATTTGCCTTATATATTGAGGTGCTCCTATGTTGGGTGCACATATATTTGCAATTGTTATATCTTATCTTGGATTATTACGTAGTGTTCTTCTCTCTTGTAATATTCTTTAAAGTCTATTTTGTCTGATATGAGTATTTCCACTCCACCTTTCTTTTGATTTCCATTTACAAGGAATATCTTTTTCCATCCCCTTACTTTCAGTCTATAGCTGTTCTTTCTATCGTTCTAGGGGATGTGAGGAGGCCACTTAACTTCTTTGCCTTAGTTTGCTCAGCTGTAAGATGGGGATAAGAGTTGCCCTGTCAACCTGGCATTAACAACCTGAGAGTTAAGAGCAGGATGAATGTGAAACTATGTTTTTAAATTGTGAAAAGTAACAGCAGTTGAGGGATGGGCTGGGGGAGATGTCAGGAACTGAGATAATGAGTTATAATTTCCTTCTCTCTAGCTGATCAGAGGAGAGCTAATTTGGCCACACTTATGGGTCTATGTGCTCCATGGCTATGTGATCACAGCACCTTCCTGACTACTTGTTTATATGTTGAGCAGTATGCTTATTAAGCCCATTACCACCATCCAGCCACACTCTTCATACTAAAATCTGTATTTGACATTTCTAAGAGTGATTTATGATTTAAAAATTTTTAGTATTAAGCTCCAGAACTTTCTCTCCTTTATCCCATACCTTTTCGGATGATAACTGGAGACTGTACAACCTTTCTAACTGCCATTTTGGCTGCACCAGCTTTTCTCTGTATGGTAAAAGTAGCAGTTTCTACAAAGACAGGAAAACTTCTTTAACTTTCCATATGTGTGATTTTTCATCTTTCAGGTTGTAAATTCATTGAGGACAGAAATCTGATTAGTAGAGGCCCAATGGCTCAGCAGTAAAAAATTGACCTGCAATGCAGGAGACATGGGTTCAATCCCTAGAAAGGGAAGATCCCCTGGAGGAGGGCATGGCAACCCACTCCAGTATTCTTGCCTGAAAAATCTCATGGATCTCATGGATAGAGGAGCCTGGCAGGCTACAGCTCATGGGGTTGAAAAGAGCTGGACATAACTGAAGCAACTGAGCACAGTAAAAGATGGCTGATTTGAACCAAGAAAGCAGAAGTGCAGCTGAAGGAAGGGAAAATCTACTCTGAGGCTTGGTATCTCTATAGGACAACCACAGACCTTTCTCATCTGGCACATGTGCCTCAACAACATCTCTAGCAACTGGAAAATCCAGGCATATATGCCTATTCCCAGTGAAACACCTAGGCAAAGTGCCAAGAGAATGATCAATTAAGGTTTCTTAAATTCCAGGATTGGTAGCAACCCTTTACTGTATATGTTATTGAAAATATTTTACTTATAATCCTCAACAACTCTATGAGGTAGATTTTTAAAAACATATCTGGCGCATGAGACAAGTGCTCGGGGCTGGTACACTGGGATGACCCAGAGGGATGGGATGGGGAGGGAGGTGGGAGGGGGGTTCAGGATAGGGAACACATGTAAATCCATGGCTGATTCATGTCAACGTATGGCAAAAACCACTACAATATTGTAAAGTAATTAGCCTCCAACTAATAAAAATAATTGGGAAAAAAAAAACATATCTGAGGACACAAGTAAGCAAGGGAGCTGGGCTATGAACCTGGACAATTTCAAAGGCTAGACCTATTATTTATGCCTATAATGCCTCTCAGATACTTATTATAGTCTCTATATATTGTTTCTGATAGAATTAACCATAAGACAAGGGGGAAAAAAAGACCCTTAACTTTAACAGTTTGCACACCAGGCTGAATAAAATAGCCAAAAAAAAAAAAAAGTATACTGCTTTATAAAAGACAGATAACAACATATATAGTCAAACTCACAAGTATTTTCAGGAAGAACTTCAGAGAATTGTTAAATCTTGATGGATCCAAACTTCTCATCTGTACAGTGACCAAACTTGCCCCAGTGGGGTCAAGCTGACTGTTTCACTGACTGGGTTTCTCCCATCGCCTCTGACCGCTGCCAGGGCAACAGCTGGTTCTGTGTGTGGCAGAGGCAGTTGGAAGGTCATTGTGTTCACAGTCCCTCAAGCTGCCTCTACCACCTTAACTTTAGAGATCCAGGGAGGCTAAGTGACAGGTCCTCGGATAAGAGCTCGTCATATACTGTTCTATGATACTGTATAAATACTATAATATCTGCCCATTAATATACTTGAACAATAATTAGCTTATAAATAGCTATTTTTAGGCAAAAAACTAGATAGCCTTTTCCCCCATTTATCTAATTATTCAATTATGCTAAAGCTTTTGACTGTGTGGATCAGAGCAAACTGTGGAAAATTCTTCAAGAGATGGGAATACCAGACCACCTTACCTGCATCTTGAGAAACCTGTATGCAGGTCAAGAAGCAACAGTTAGAACTGGACATGGAACGATGAACTGGTTCAAAATTGGGAAAGGAATACGTCAAGGCTATATATTGTTACCCTGCTTATTTAACTCCTATGAAGAGTACCTCATGCAAAATGCTGGGTTGAATGAAGCAGAAGCTGGAATCAAGATGGCCAGGAGAAGTATCACTAACCTCAGATATGCAGATGATACAACACTAGTGGCAGAAAGGGAAAGAAACTAAAGAGTCTCTTGATGAGGGTAAAAGAGCATAGTGAAAAAGTTGAAAAGATGGCTTAAAACTCAATATTCAAAAAATGAAGATCTTGGCATCCAGTCCCATTACTTCATTGCAGATAGATTGATAAAAAGTGGAAACGGTGACAGATTTTATTTTCTTGGGCTCCCAAATCACTGCAGACAGTGACTGCAGTCATAAAATTAAAAGATACGTGCTGCTTGTAAGGAAAACTATGACCAACCTAGACAGCATATTAAAAAGCAAAGACATCACTTTGCCAACAAAGGTCCATACAGTCAAAGCTATGGTTTTTCCAGTAGTCATGTATGGATATGAGAGATCATAAAGAAGACTGAGTGCCAAAGAATTGATGCTTTTGAACTGTGGTGCTGAAGAAGGCTCTTGAGAGTCCCTTGTACAGCAAGGAGATCAAATCCATCAATCCTAAAGAAAATCAACCTTGAATATTCGTTGGAAAGACTGATACTAAAGCTCCAATACTGTAGCTACCTGATGCGAAGAGATGACTCATTGGAAAACACCCTGATGCTGGGAAAGACTGAGGGCAGGAGGAGAAGGCAGTGCCTGAGGATGAGATGGTGGGATGGCATTATCGACAAAATGGACATGAGTTTGAGAAAACTCTAGGAGATAGTGAAGGACAGGGAAGCCTGGTGTGTAGCAGTCAATGGGTTCACAAAGAGTAGGACTTGACTTGGCAACTGACCACCACCACCACCACAAGATGAAGAGTCTTGCTACCCTCAAAACATTTAGTCTATAATGGGATAAAACCAACTTCATACATAACTATGACATAAGACCCGTTGCAGTAGTGCCTCACAAGGGGCAGAAACATTGGATTGAGGATTCAGAGAACAAATTAAAAAAACTTGATTTATTACCAGTACTACTGTGTGCTCAGTCGCTCAGTCATATCCAATTCTTTGTAACCACACAGACTACAGCCCACCAGGCTCCTCTGTCCATGGGATCATCCCAGCAAGAATACTGGAGTGGGTTGCCATTTCCTCCTTCAGGGGATCTTCCTGATCCAGGGATCAAACCCACATCTCCTGCACTGGCAGGCAGATTCTTTACCACTGAGCCACCTTTGGGAAGTCCCCACCAATGCTACTACTATTTTTCTCTACTATTCACACCACCGTGCAAGTTAAGTATTAGCCAATTTAAAAATGGAAAACATAAAAAAAAAAAATAAAAAAAATAAAAATGAAAACATAGATGTTAAAATCGTTACATCAGGTTAGAACAGCTAAATAACTGAAATTAGGGACGTCTTCCAAGAAACTGGAAGGGTATCATTACAGTAATAAGGGGAAATTTCCGTGTTGGAATGGGAGCACACAGCATGTGTCTGGAAAACAAGCCTGCAAGTGTCATGGGTTATCTGGATTTTATGGAGAAAGGAGATTAAGGAAGCCGAAGGGGAAGACACCTTGCAGGCTAGGGAGAGGGTCTGGACTTATCTGCACAGGCTGGGGGTTACTGAGGACTTCTGCGTGCCTCGGCAGCAGGAACACCTCATCAAGCATAGCTCAGGAGAGGAGGCAGATAATGGGTCCAAAGAGGGCCAAGGTATCAGCCCAGTCAAGTGCAAGGTAACAATACAAGCCTAACACTGGACAAGTCCAAGAAAAAAGACATATTTCCACATAATCCAAGACTTTTCCATATGACATTAAGAAACCATGATTTAAGTTTTAAATCGTCTCCAATTTTGGATATTTAATTTTTGTAAATGTATAAGGTATAAAATTAAAAAAAAAAGTTTTTAAAGGTCACTATTTTGAAATTCTAGTGTTTTTTTTTAATTCTAGTTTTAAAAAGAACAGAGTTTTCTTATTGTAATCTGTCAACCAAAATCAAGAGTTAACAAAATTATAAAGTTTTATCTAAAGGATTGTGATTTATGGAAACTCCAATTTTCTCAACTGAGGCAGTATACTAAAGGTTATGTTTTAGATGTGGTGGCTCTAGACTCTGCCCTGACTGGGTTTGAATACAGACTCTACCACTTCCTAGATATCTGATCTTTGGGAGTTATTTCAACTTTCTCTGCCTTAGCTTTCTGATGCTTAAAATGGGAACATAGTACCACCTTTCTAACAGAGTTGTAATTCTAATAATTAAACAGAACCTGGCTCACTAGTAATTATTATACAGTCTTAGCTGTATATATTTATACTACATGTTAGCTATAATTATACATTTTTAAACAAATACATGTTTTACTTTAGTAACAAAAACCCAAATATGGCAAAATTAAATAAAGGAAGGCTAGTCCAGGCCAGGACACTGGAGTGGGTAGTCTTTCCCTTCTCCAGGGCATCTTACCAACCCAGGGATCAAACCCAGGTCTCCTGCATTGCAGGCAGATTCTTTACCAGCTGAGCTACCAGGGAAGCCCATCAATAAATAAATAACAGATATTATATGTTCAGATATGGAAAAGAATATTCAAAAATGGTAAAAAACATATTATTTCAATCTGAGCCTCTTCAATTCCTCCTCTATGATATATCCATCCTATAATCTATTAGAAGTTGATTGTAAAAATGCCTACATCTTTAACCAGACACATCAAAGAAACTGATTCCCAAGTAAGTCATATCACACAGAATTAAAGGCCATTAGTTTAAGAAGATTCCTAGGGTCTTCTCATTTCAAAGTAATAGAACACAATTCCAGTACAGCTAAATCTTCAACAATCTCTTGCATTCTGTTGAAATGGGAACTGCTTTTAACTGAGATTTAAAACTTTCACTAATGAAAACACAACTCTGGAACCAAGAAAGAATAGGTCCAAATTACACAAGATAAAAGAAAGCTCTCAATCTTACCACGTGGCCAAGGTGAGCCTTGAGATTGCCCAAAAGGTCTCCCTTTTTGGGTATAACTTGGTTTGGTGGATGTATGTCTGACTTTTCCAGGTCTGTATATTGGAAAATTGTGACCATGTCGATTCTCTCTGAAGTAGAAATCACATAATTATATTCTAGAATCTTTTATCAGTGATATACTATATTTCAAAAATCCAAATTCCAGCTCAGATTAATACATTCATTTGACTGGGCTTATTCTGTACCTCAGTGGTCATTTAGTGTATAGTAACTCTCCTTATACCTCAAAGTTTACTCATTTTTTTCCCCAAAGAAATTGGTTTTTATTATCTCTCTAATCATTTCAAAAGCTGTATACATTTGCCAGTTATTTATGTATTAAATAGTGTGCATTATTTGAAGAAATATTCAAAGACAATCTCTATTTTGATTACACCTCAAATTACACACAAGTAATATGATTATATCTAGGTTTGTGTTGGGTAGCATTTCCTCTAGGTTCTTAAGAGATCATGTTTACAAACCTAATCAGTTATTTTGTCAAAAGTGGTAATTTTTAACAACATTAAACTGCTAATTCATTTCCTCCTTCTGTGTCACTAACAAATTTTGTGTCTGACTGCCGTATGAGAAACTTTACTCTTGGGTCCTTTTCTTTAGCATCCATGCCTACTGAACTCATATCCAAACTGAGTGCAGGTCATTAATTTAAGAAACATGGTAGTATCTACAACTGAATCAGCAATACTTGGGAGGGGACAGCAGAAGAAGCAGTAAGCTGATGAGGACCATCTTTTTCTACAAGAGTGGAACCAACTGGAGAAACAGGGAGAACAGCTAGGAGGCAAATTGCAGAAGCAACAGTCACAAAAACTACAGAAAGGAAGAAAACAGGATTGAATGGACATAAAAATTGTGCTAGGCATTCAGAAGTGCTTTATGTCTTAATTAGATATTTAATGCAATTTTTGTCCTTTTCCTTGGTGATTCTATAAACTAATGGAAACTAATGATGGCACTGTTCCCCCTTCAATTTATTACCATATTTCAGAGCAAGCATACTGAACCTGAGTCACAACAGTGCTCCACACTTATCACACCTGGGGTTATCTCGCCAAATGACATGCCAAACCTCGTCTTACCCTCCTGGAGAAGGGGAGCATTGCCTTCTGGGAATCGGAGCTTTTCTGGGTTTGTTAGGCAATGGTTTCTGAGCAGCTGCTGGAAGTTGTACTGATTCAGATAACAGTTCGTTCATCAGAGTGTACGCTTGTGAGAGTCGACGACTATAGTGGTCAGAGAGTAGCAATCTTTAAAATAAAAAATTAAATACCATTTAGTAAGAGAGTCCCTTTCACTTCATATTTCTAGAGGGAACACAGTGTTTGAAGACCACCTAGTACTGATTTTCTTCAATGAAGTTCAATGCAAATTCAAATGTCAGTTTTCTGAAAACCATTAGGAGGTATTATTAAAGGCACCTGTTGGGTACTTAAGAAATGCACACATGTATCTGGATTGGGAGAGGGAGAGGGATTTCAGAAATAAGTTATAAAAATTGAATGGAATAAACAATATTTGAAAGCAAATTCGTAAAAAGGATTATTTTCCCTGCAGTTATCTCCCATACTTTTCTATTTATCAACAAAAAGGGACTACTGTGAAAATTAGAATGCCTAAGGCATTATCTATGGTCTCAAGTGAGTGACAGAATGATCAGTGTTTAACTACCAAACTCACCTGTCTTTTTCATGCTTCATCTTTTGTCTCAGCCTGATTTCCCTTGAAGTCATGTAAAACTGCACAAGAAATAACCAGTTAGTTCATTACCATTCAGTTCAAATAATTAAACCATTACAATCCATGGAAAACATGAAAATCCCACTAATAAATTTTAATAGGAAGCTAAAATATAATTTTGCTATTTAGGAACAGTATAAAACATTGTCATATTTGATGAAGCTTTCTACTCCAGCCCAAAACATGAAAATGTTAACACATCATATAATTAAAATAAAATCCAATTTAATAAATAGAGTACAAAATCTATTTTAGCAGCTAAATTCATATATTTTCTCAAAAGGAGAGATCCTTATCAGCTGCAACTTAAAATGGAAAATAGGAACATTTAAGGATGGAGACAGACACCTATATTTTGTACTCTGTCTTGTGATTAATCTCACCAAGATCTTGGTTGATAAAAGCAGGAATGGGTGAGACATTCAAAATCATTATTTTAATGTTTTAAAATGTGTTTACCAGAAACTTACTACAGTAGGTTTATTGTGACTTGTAAACGCTTCAAAATGCATGCAACACAAGGCAAACTGGCCAACATGAGCTATAAATATGTCTTATTCCAAACATTAAGAGTTACTGTTGACTTAATAATGAGGGTAAATCCTTTCACAGGGATGACTGTTTATATAAAAACATACACAGAGAAGTGAATTCACTTTCTCAAGGTCCTATATAGTAGTCAATGATAAATGTAATGTTTTATTGATTTCTGATAAAAATAAAAATTTTAAATTACATTAATCCCTCACTAGTTCCATACCTTTACCCAAGTAGAAACTAAACATTTACCTGCAATACTGAAGGAGATGTCACAAAGTCTATGAACAAAACAGTCCCAACACCCTGAGTTAATTTATTCTAAATTTGGATATAATTCTAACCATCTGGGGTATCTGCTTGGCTGATGGGAGGGTGATATGGGAACTGACCCTCCACGGGGTGGAAGAATACACATATACACATGTACTGTAAGATTCTGGTATTCAAGTAGCTCTGAAGGTCATTATCATGTCTCCAGAGCTATCAACGAAATGTTATCTAATGTCAGCATGCTCTCTCCAGACACAGGTAAATAAATGACATTCAGTAATAGTTCATCTACTTTTGCACATTTGGTGCTTAAATGTGACAATCTTACTTGGAAGATTCACTTATTTTATAAAATGTGTTTCCCTAATGATGGTGAAAAAAATGAAGTATATTTATTTCAGATTACAAAGTAAAAGATATACTATAATCCAAATGTAACATAAATGTGACTTTCATAGTTATGTAATCACAAAGTAATACTGCCTCATTTCATCTTCTGAAGAAAAACACTTCTGACCTAGCTATGGTGATAGCCATAGTCAGGACTGGGTAAACAACTGTTGACAGTTTAAAGGAAAGCTGAAACACACACGGAAGTGCCACTGTTCTGTTGGTACATGACTGGATCATACTTTAAAAAGGTTTCTTTTGCAGACAACTTACAGAGAGAAAATTGATTTTTAAAATGCCTTTACTACATACACAGTCCAATTGTTCGACTGCAACTGACTTTTCATTGAAAATTAAGGGACTTCAGTTGGTCACCCAATCCCTTGATCTCTTCATTCAATGGTTAAAATGTTAGAACCATAATTAGCCTCAGGGAGAAAAAATATTTTAAGACAATTGAATAAAACATGGTTTGTAGTCCCAGCTACATTTTGTTAAGGTAATTTCTTAATTTTCCCTGACTTAAGTAGAATGCTGACTTTTCAATCAAATAATAAATGATTCCAAATTATATTCATCCTTCTCTCAAATGCCTGCCAGGAAAAAGTTATACATATTCTGTATACATTACCCTTGACACTGAAGACTTACTGGGTTACTCCGGGGGCAGAAAGGATCATGTTCTTGCCCTCTCTTCTCTGCCAGCTGATTTAAGTACTCTGCCATTCTTTCTTTTCGTTTTCTTTTCATCCAGACTTGAATCTCTCTTCTCTCCTTCTCTGTTCTTTGTGGACGTCTACCAGAGGGATGTTGAATCCTGAGAAATTTAACCAGCAGTGCATCACTTGATTTTAAATTTGTTATGGAGATAATACATGTACTCCAGTTTTCACTGCAGCACTATTTACAATTGCCAGGACATGGAAGCAACTTGAATGTCCACTGATAGGTGAATGGATAAAGAAGATATGGTACATACATACAATGAGATATTACTCAGTCATATAAAGGAATGGAATTTAGTCAGTTGTAGTGATGGGAATAAATCCAGAGCCTTGTCATACACCGTAAGTCAGAAAGAGAAAAACAAATATTGTGTATTAATGATATATGTGAAGTCTAGAAAAACGGTGCTGATGAACACATTTGCAGGTCAGGAACAGAGGTACAGATGTGGAGAATGGACTTGGGGACACAGGTGGGGCAGGAGAGGTTAAGATGAATTGAGAAGGTAGCACTGATACATACATACATACTATCCGGCTAGTGTAAGCCGGATAGCTGGTGGGAACTGCCGCACCGCACCGGCAGCTTGGCTCAGTGACCTGGGAAGGCCCAGAGGGGTGGATCGGGAGTGGGGGTGGGGATGGGGGTGGGAAGGAGGACCCAGAGAGAGCGAATATATGCATACATGTGGGCTTTCCCAGTGGCTCAGACAGTAAAGAATCCGTCTGCAATGTGGGAGACCTGGGTTCAATCTCTGGGTTGGGAAGATCCCCTGGAGGAGGGAATGGCTACCCACTCCAGTATTCTGGCCTGGAGAATTCCATGGACAGAGGAGCCTGGTAGGCTACAGTCCATGGGGTCACAAAGAGTCAGACACAACTGAGTGACTTTCACTTTCATGACTGATTCATGTTGCTGTACAGAAGAAACTAACAAAAGTGAAGCAATTATATTCCAATAGAGAAATACTATTTCTTTGGAAAGATTCTGCCCCATCTTGAAGAGTCATATGCTTATGATGTCTAGTCAATTTGCTCCAACCTGTCCCCTGAAATCCACTGACAACAATCTCAGGTCACCAAGAGCCTCTTCAGTCTTCATCCTACTGGACTTCTCTATAGTATCTGGTGCAACTGGCTTCTCCTTTCTGCTTTAAACTCTCCCTTACCTGGGTCTTTTTCTCACTCTCGAAACACAATACAGCCTCTTATACTGGGCACCCTTCTTCTCTGCTCACCACCAATATGAATGTTTTTAAAGGTTCTGTTTTGGATTTCTTCATCGATCTATTCCTGGACCATCTCAATCACTTCCAAAACTTTTAACACAGAGATGACTTCTAAGCTGCAGCCCTCCTGGATCCAGATCTGGCCTCAGGTTCCTGCCCAGGCTGTACTTCCCAGGGTCCAACCTGAGCTAATGAGGAGCGTGGCAGGGATGCTGTGGCTGGCTCTGACCTATAAGAGACAGGACTCCTCTGAAGTTGACTCTGGCTTAATGCCTCACCACTGACCCAGCTGAAGCTTTCCTAGAACCACACTGTACTCTGGGCTTAACTGACTCAGCCTTCTCTCCTCCACAGGGAGGGGCCAGACTTGCACTGTGGTCTGATGCCTCACTTCTGATTTTCTTCCTCATAGGCATTTTCTCAATACAGCTTTTGTACATCTAATCCCATCCTGGCTTCTACACAAACAGTACTAACAGTGACACAAGAAAACAGGTGGTGTGAGACAGCAATTCAGGGCTGACTCAAAACACCCAGCACGGGAAGAAGACGCCATCCTAACATGAAGATGGGTTATGGACAGAGACGATGTGGTTTTATACTAGACACCTGCTTTTCTTCTGGGAATCTGGGCTCTTGGGATGTGCCAGGCAGAGAGTACCCTCACCAAACAACCCCCAGTAAATCAATAAGTCAAAAGGTGTATGTATCCCAAAGAAGTATCAGTAGAAGAGGCAGCCTTTATTCTATCAAAAACCAGTTCATGGCCCAGGAAAGGCAACAAGGAAAAACATTGTAACATAATGTTCCCAGAAAAGCAATTTAAAATGTATTCTAAAGGTTCATGTCTAGGGTAAAGTACTATGAACTAAGTTATTAATTACTTTAAGAAGAAATAGGATTATATTTATGTTTTACTCAGAGTGATGATGAGACCTTCAGAAAACTCAGGATACAGATGTGCTGTATTAGCTACAGAAGCCAGTCTATGACTGTTGGAGGAAGGAGGGGAACGACACATAAACATCACAAACTCTATTAACAGAGGAAAAGTATCTATGTAAGCTCTGAATCTGTTTCCTAAAAAATCACCAAAAATGGTCGTTTTTTTAATACTCTTGAACCATAAACATTTTAAACAGGTTAAAAATGAATTACTCAATGATTACCTGGAGATGCTCCTAGCCTGTTGCTCTGTTAGGCCAAGCTCTTCGCGGGAAACTCCATCTTTTGTTATAAGGTCACTGATGATGTCTGCAATATCAGTCAGTTCACTCATCTGGAGTGGGTCTACCGAAACCCTGCATTCCCAAATGCAATATGAGAAATACAAATCAGTGTCCACAACTTACTTATATTAGGCAAAAATGAGTGTTTAAAACTATGCTCTCCAAGAGCATAAATGAACACAAAAAATGATAAGCAAATAACTAATTTCATTCTATTGCTTTAATCTCATTAATCCTCAGTGGAAAAGCCTAATCATCAGTAATTGACAACTTCATATGTACTCTCAAAGGAGCAAACATAAGGCCTAGAAGACAGCTTCTAATCTGTCCTGCCTATTGCAATTTAATACATATGTAGTAAAAGAAAATACAGCAAATACTTTAACTACCTACACTCTAAAACAGTAAGAGAGATACAACATAACAATCACAAGTTTCTTAAAAGATCCCATTCCCAATGGGAATTACACTCCTTTAATCCACAAAAAATATATAGTGTAAGTTTACATACATAAGAACAACAAAATATCCAGGACATATGATTTGTACCTAACTGCAAGTAAAACTATGAACTAAGATAGTTACCTTTCAAATAATTCATCACTGTTATTCACACCTTAAAAAAAAAGAAACATTACTATCAATTAAAATTTCAGGTCAGTTATTTTTTTCTATTTTAAATTATTAGCCTGATCTAGAAATTATATGTCCAGAAACTGAAATATTTTTAAACCTCCATTTGGTGGTGAATAGTGTCCACATTTTAAGATTACTTGTCTATCCAGAGCACTCTGAACAATACATGTTAGGAGGTATAATCTACTTTGCTTCATACACACAGTTTAGAATACTGGAGTGTGATTTACTAAAAAGAAAAGAAAACAAAAAATCTTTTGATGATCTGAAAGGAATACTTTGTAGAAAACATCTAATTTAATCCCAAAAGCCTTTACATGGAAGAACATGACCCAAAGGATGGTTTTTAAACCTTGTCCAGTATTAATAACATGTCTTTAAAGCAAAACATAGCCTTTTCAGCTTTGTGTTTAACCCTCAAAGAGAACTGAGTTAACACAGAGAAAAGTGTCCTGACATCTCTTCTCAAAAACATTTCCTTAATATTTTCTTATACTAAGATAAACCCACCTTGCCTCTATGACTGAGACATCCACATGTTTTTAATATTAAATGATTTTGCTTCCTTAAGCACATTTTTTGTTTTTTAATCCTCATATCAAGAATTTCACATTATCTTTGGTCTCTGAGTCTGGTCACTTGTGAGTTCTTCAATAATGGTATAAGTATAGACTTGTTTATATAGTTGCTAAGTCATGTCTGACCCCAAGAACTGTAACCACCCCCCAGGTTCCTCTGTCCATGGGATTTTCCAGGCAAGAATACTGGAGTGGGTTGCCATTTCCTTCTCCTGGGAATCTTCCTGACCCAGGGATCAAACCTGCATCTACTGCAGCGGCAGGCCGATTCTCTACCACTGCGATACCAGGGAAGCCCTAAGTATAGACTAATCAGATATAAAAGATCTAAGAAATGAATCATTTTATGGAAATGATTTTGATAAAGGCAGAAAAGTGTTAATAGTCAAATAACAACTTTTAAAAGTAGTTATGTAGGAAGATTCTATCCTTCATTTTCAAACCACCTTTGGATTTTTTTATTTGGGATGGCCTTTATAAGTTACTAGCAAACACAACAGATCAGCTTCATTCCTTGATAGCCACAATTCCTTTTTTAAAAAATGCCAAACAGTGACACCCAGCCTGATCATCAACTTCACTTATCAGAAATACCTCCTACACCGATAGGTCTTAAAGTCCTCGAAAAAACTCAGTCTTCTTTCCTGACTTTCTGGTGGCCTGTGAAACTGTTAGCGATTCATTTTTTCTTGAAAGTCCCTTCACCAGAGGCTGCTCATGCACTTCCCTCACTGGGTGGGGTGGGCTCCTCGTGGTCTCTGATGGGTGATATTTCTCAGGCTAGTCCTGAGCATTTCCCCATTTACCATCAGTATTAACTATATAATTAGGGAAAAGGCTCTTACTTCTGTTTTTTAAGCCTAAACCTCTCAGCAAGCTACATTTGCTTATCAAAAGCTAGGTCCTAAATGTGATATGAATATAGCCTTAAATGCTACATTTGGTTGAAGGTTCTCTACAGTTTGACATTAAGACCTGGTGATATCCTTGCTCTTAGTCTGACAATGCTAACCAGCCATTTGCTTTCTCCTTTTCCACCCATGCCATCCACTTAGTCAGTCAGTATCATCAGCTGCCTATTCAGAATGTCTCATTTCTTTTCTCCTTTCCCACAACACTGCTCAGACCCTCATCACTGCCCAGCTCACATTAATTTAAAAGTTCACTAACTGACCTAGGCCTCCATCCTAGTTTTCTTCCAAATCTCTCCTGCTCAAAATTTGTCAGTGATTCCAAGTACAAAACGGAGTTTAAATTTCTCAGATACAGTCAGAACCCACTAAGGCCTCTAACTTCATTTCTCAATTCTCCCTTCCATAAGAGGAAAGAGGAAAGATACCGGTGACCGAGAACCTACAGGAATCAAACAGATTCTCAGCTAAATGCTTTATATAAGTAATTAATCTTCACAATTCAGTGAATAAAAATGATTATCCCTATATGATGATGACTGAAATACGAACAGAATCTAGAAACAGTTTAGAGAAAAAATATAAAGCTTAAAACCAGCTTAATAGTTTTTGTTTAAATAACAGCAGCAATGCCATTTAAAAACAGCATTTTTAACTGCTTATATTACTTTAATAATGGTAATAAAACATATTACAAACATTCAATAAAATCATCCTTATTGACCATAAGTATCTGAGGGCAAAAAAGGTATTTAAGGCCACTGTTAAGAGTTCCAACTGTGATAGGTAGTATGCCCTGCTATTATTATGACACAAAATATCACTTAGGACTAAGGAATAGCATTTTTAACTGTCAGCTCTAAAAGAAATAGAATGAACAATGGCCCTGAATTTCTCTAAGCCTGAATATTCTCAACTGTAAAATGGGAGAATAATGGTAGCTAGATCACAGGTCAGGCTTACACCGGGATCAACACACATAAAACAGTGATGTCTGGCATGTGGAAGAGACCCAATAAGTCACAGTCATTGTTTTGTTTCCAAATCAAAACTCTTAAAATTGGCAGAGTTTTAATTTCTCAATTTTTATAAAAATTAAATAGTATAGTATTATAATATACTGGTGTAATACTATAATGTTTCAGTGGCTATGTGTTTAACGGGGCTTCCCAGGTGGCGCTAGTGGGAAAGAACCATCTGCCAATGCAGGAGATGTAAGAGACTTCGGTCTGATCCCTGGGTCTGGAAGATCCCCTGGAGGAGGGCATGGCAACCACTCCAGTATGCTTGCCTGGAGAACCCCATGGACAGAGGAGCCTGAGTTACACAGAGATATGACACATCTTGTAGTGTATCTTATGAAAGTGACACGATAATGTAGTTCTTCATGTAAATGGCACAATTTTTAACTTTCTTTTCCCTGAAACTTATGAATATTGCAATGGCTTCACAAATCCTTCACAACTATATTCCCAGTAAAGTAAGTACTCTTCAGTAACAGTATCTTGGAAAATAAGAGTAAAGGAAAAACAGTTAAGAACAATACCAAGAGAAGTCACATTCTGGTCACTGGAAAGGCTGACGGCTGAATGAGCTGAAGGAAGCACATAGGTTTTCTGGCTAGGGTAAGTTTCCATTACTGAAATCTCTTCTTTGTCCCTCTGATCTTCTTTATTTATATAGGTCAGGAAGTGCATTAATCCAGAGTATATATTACAATAAAAAGAAAATAATGATAATGGGAAAACAATCACATGGAAAAGACATTATTCTGATAACTTTCTTACTGTATAATAAAATAATTTAATATAGTATTTAAAGTTTAAACTGTCTCATGGTAAGAAAACTTATTATCTACTACTAAATTTATTATCAACTTCAGAAAACACAACAGATGGAGCTGCAGTGAATAGGTCCGTTACCTGTATAAAACACAGAAGAAATGGTAAATTTAAAAAAATCATATACAACCAATCAAATGTGTAAATAAAATAAGTCTCCTGGTGTCATAAGATAAAAAGGAATTCAAATCTGGGCCCTAAATGGACAATGCTGCTAGTATAGTCCAAGGAGGAACAGGAGATGTGGTTCCTGCAGACACAGTGAGAGGAACTGAGAATGCTGAAGGACAGTTCTGTCCATAAAGTGGGGATAAAAAATATTCTGCCCTCGAGAAATAGCAAACTTTTTTATCTTCCTGGGTAGTGGATGGGAAAAAAAATAAAAGTTAACTCTGAGAAAACAGACACCCACCCCTGTCTTGCTCTACCACAGGCAGGTGTGGGATCTGAATTTATACTATCTATGTGGTACAGCAACTCCAAGCCAAAAAAATGATTATAAAAACTTGTCCCCATTTTCTTCTACTTCAGTAACAGCAAGAAGAAAATAACAAAATCATGCCAAAGAAAAACATAGACAACCTAGCAGAACCACCCCCCTAAATAAGCTCAGTATAAAAAATTACAACGCACACAAAGGCATAAGCAACCCAGAGAGTCAGTATACACATCTGACAATTGAAAATATGCACACATGAAATAAAATAATCTGAAAGGGCAAAAAATATTACTAAAATGATTAAACTGATAAAATAAGGTATAGAAACAACAATAAAAGAAAAAGACAGAGTACATCCAAAGAACAGATAGATTTGAAAAAGAAATAAATCTTCTGGACATTAGGAATGTAGTCACCAAAATTAAAGTCCTACAGCGAAGAAGACACAGCAGTAGAGAGAATTAGTAAACTAACAGACAGAGCTCTGAGGAAATATCCTGGAGCACCTCAGTGAGAGAGAAAAGGTAGAACCTGAGAAGTTCCAACATACCTCTAACAAGTGCTTTAGAGAAAGGAACAGAAAGAATGGGGAGGAAGCAATACTCCAAAAGAAAGCAGATAAAACTTCCCAGTATTAAAACTGCAAATTAATGAACCATTCCTACTCCCATATAGAATAAATAAAAATAATTATACATCTAGATACACCATTTCAAAATGCAGAATAAACCAAAAAGAAAGATAAAAGCTGTAAAAGTGATCAGAGATAAAAGAACAGCAATTAGACATCAAGTGGGTATTATAAACACAGCAATTAGAAATGTCAGTGGAAAATGGAATAATATCTTAAAAGACTGAGGGAAAATAAGCAGCAACCTAGAATTCTGACCTCGGCTATAAGCCATAACTCACAAATTATAGTAAAATTACAACTATTTTCAAAGACTGGGAGAATTTGCTACTAACAGACTCTAGTGAAATAACTAATAAAAGGAGGAAGAAGGAAACTCCTCAAAGAAGTGGATGCAAGGAGCAACTCTGGGCAATAACAGCACAAAAGAGAAAATGCCAGACTGCACCTTGGGGAATAATGACAAGTATTATTTGATGAAACTTGTGTTTTTGTCTAATATATTTAATTTTTACATACGTACATCATTCAGTTTACAATTTCTTTGAAAAAAAGAAGCAACTGAGGGGAAATAAACTGGCAAAGATGCTGATAAATTCAAATTAGTACAGACATATAAAAATAAAAGACAAAAGAGACTAAGTGGGCAGGTTAAAAACAAGGTACAGATCTAAAATATTAGAAAACAATATCAGAGAAGATGTGAAGAGGCATGTGTGTATGTGTGCAGAGTCGCATGCAAATCTTTACAAACCCATGGACTGCAGCACGCCAGGCTCCTCTGTCCAAGAAATTTTCCAGGCAGCAATACTAGAGTGGGTTGGCATTTCCTCCTCCAGGGGATCTTCCTGACCAAGGATTGAACCTGCATCTCCAGTGTCCCCTGTATTAGCAGGCGGATTCTTTACCACTGAGCCACCTGGGAATACCAGTGCTAAAAGCTCTAACATAAGACTTTATGCTGCTTGTGAGGTAAATATATTCATCTCAACACTCAATTCTGAATGTTGAAAATTTAAGAATATGCCCTAAGAAATAAAAACAGAATGTATAATTTCTGAACAAATAGAGGGGGAAAGAGTGGATATAGAAAACTCAATCAAATTGAGGAAAGAAAAAAGGACAAAAGGAAAGAAAAAAGGACAAAAGGTAAACAAAAGATAGAATAAATAGGAAGCACAAAATAAGATAATAGAAGTAAGCACAAATGTATCAGTAACCACAATAAATAGCTGCTTATATCTTATGATTGAAACACAAACTATGTAATTATTTAGAAGAATGAAATCTAGCCATATTTGCTGAACACATCTATAACACAGTCACTCATCTTGAAAGTAAAAGAATGTCTAATGACAGAAAATAAAGGGAACAGAGGAACATGTAAATGACACCATAGAGACTCAATTAACAAAATGAAGACCCTGAAAAATACTTCAGGACAAACAGCCAAATTTCTTCAACAAATAAACTAGAAGGGGAAAAAGAGAAAAAAGAGGAACCCAGAAATAAGAATTATAAGCCATCAACCAAATGCCATGTATGGACCTTATCTGGACTCCAACTAGACCAAATAAACTATTTTTTAAAATAAGCCAACTGGCAATAGTTGAACATTTATTAGGTACATGACAATATCAAGACTTTTTTATAAAAAGAGGTGATAATGTTGTTATTATTTTTAAAATAGACCTTGTCTTTTAGAGAATGTTAAAATATTTATGGATAAAATAATGTGTTGTCTGGAATTTGCTTTAAAATAATTCAGGAAAAGGTAAAAAAAGTGGGTGGGATATATAAAACAGGATTGGCCATGAGTTGATACTTGTAAAAGGTGATTGTTGTGTACATGAAGGTTAATTACACTATTCTGTCTTCTACTGAAATATGCCTGAAATTTACCATTAAAATTTTTAATAAAAAGTATCAAAAAAGACATACCAGGCAAAAGAAAACAGAAATGGACCTATTAAAATTGACTTTGAGTCTCAACAACATTATTGAGAATAAAGACAGTCATTACTTAATGATATTTCACTCAGTCGTGTCTGACTCTTTGCGACTCCATGGACTGCAACACGCCAGGCCTCCCTGTCCATCACCAACTCCTGGAACTTACTCAAACTCATGTCCATCAAGTCAGTGATGCCATCCAACCATCTCATCCTCTGTCGTCCTGTTCTCCTCCTGACCTCAATCTTTCCCAACATCAGGGTCTTTTCAAATGAGTCAGTTCTTCACATCAGGTGGCCAAAGTATTGGACTTTCAGCTTCAACATCAGTCCTTCCAATGAATATTCAGGACCCATTTCCTTTAGGATTGACTGGTTGGATATCACTGCAGTCCAAAGGACTCTCAAGAGTCTTCTCCAGCACCATAGTTCAAAAGCATCAATTTTTCAGTGGTCAGCTTTCTTTATAGTCCAACGCTCACATCCATACATGACCACTGGAAAAACCAGAGCTTTGACTAGACGGACCTTTGTTGGCAAAGTAATATCTCTGCTTTTTAATATGCTGTCTAGGGTGGTTATAACTTTTCTTCCAAGGAGCAAGTGTCTTTTAATTTCATGGCTGCAGTCACCATCTGCAGTGATTTTGGAGCCCCCCAAAATAAAGTCTCTCACTGTTTCCATTGTTTCCCCATCAATTTGCCATGAAGTGATGGGGCCAGATGCCACGATACCAGTTTTCTGAATGTTGAGTTTTAAGCCAACTTTTTGGAATGGGTGAATTTAACTCAGATGACCATTATATCTGCTACTGTGGGCAAGAATCCCTCAGAAGAAATGGAGTAGCCATCAGAGTCAACAAAGAGTCTGAAATGCAGTACTTGGATGCAATCTCAAAAACAACAGAATGATCTCTGTTCATTTCCAAGGCAAACCATTCAATATCACAGTAATCCAAGTCTATGCCCCGACCAGTAATGCTGAAGAAGCTGAAGTTGAACAGCTCTATGAAGACCTACAAAACCTTCTAGAACTAACACCCCAAAAAGGTGTTCTTTCATTATAGGGAACTGGAATGCAAAAGTAGGAAGTCAAAAGATACCTGGAGTATCAGGCAAATCTGGCCTTGGAGTACAAAATGAAGCAGGTCAAAGGCTAACAGAGTTTTGCCAAGAGAACACACTGGTCATAGCAAACACCCTCTTCCAACAACACAAGGGAAGACTCTACACATGGACATCACCAGATGGTCAATACCAAAATCAGATTGATAATATTCTTTGCAGCCAAAGATGGAGAAGCTCTATACAGTCAGCAAAAACAAGACCGGGAGCTGACTGTGGCTCAGATCATGAACTCCTTATTACCAAATTCAGACTTATATTGAAAAAGTAGGGGAAACCGCTAGACCATTCAGGTATGATCTAAATCAAATCCCTTACGATTATACAATGAAAGTGACAAATAGATTCAAGGGATTAGATCTGATAGACAGAGTACCTGAAGAACTATGGACGGAGGTTCATGACACTGTACAGGAGGCAGTGATCAAGAAGACCATTCCCAAGAAAAAGAAATGCAAAAAAGGCAAAATGATTGTCTGAGGAGGTCTTACAAATTGCTGAGAAAAGAAGAGAAGCTAAAGGCAAAGGAGAAAAGGAAAGATATATCCATTTGAATGCAGAGTTCCAAAGAATAGCAAGGAAAGATAAGAAAGCCTTCCTCAGTGATCAAAGCAAACAAACAGACAAAAACAATAAAATGGGAAAGACTAGAGATCTCCTCAAGAAAATTATAGATACCAAGGGAATATTTCATGCAAAGATGGGTTCAATAAAGGACAGAAATGGTATGGACCTAACAGAAGCAGAAGATATTAAGAAGAGGTGGCAAGAATACACAGAAGTACTATACAAAAAAGATCTTCATGACCCAGATAACCACGATGGTGTGATCACTCACCTAGAGCCAGACATCCTGTAACGCAATGTCATGTGGGCCTTAGGAATCACTACGAACAAAGCTAGTGGAGGTGATGGAATTTCAAATCCTAAAAGATGATGCTATGAAAGTGCTGCACTCAATATGCCAGCAAGTTTGGAAAACTCAGCAGTGGCCACAGGACTGGAAAAGGTCAGTTTTCATTTCAATCCCAAAGAAAGGCAATGCCAAAGAATGCTCAAACTACCACACAATTGCACTCATCTCACGTGCTAGCAAAGTAATGCTCAAACTTCTCCAAGCCAGGCTTCAAAAGTATGTGAACTATGAACTTCCAGATGCTCAAGCTGGATTTAGAAAAGGCAGAGGAACCAAAGATCAAATTGCCAACATCTGTTGGATCATTAGAAAAGCAAGAGAGTTCCAGAAAAACATCTACTTCTGCTTTACTGACTATGCCAAAGCCTTTGTGTGGATCACAACACACTGTGGAAAATTCTGAAAGATGGAAATTCCAGACCACCTGACCTGCCTCCGAGGAATCTGTATGCAGGTCAAGAAGAAACAGAACAGTTAGAAGAAACATGAAACAACAGACTGGTTCCAAATTGGGAAAGGAGTACATCAAGGCTGTATACTTAATGATAAAACAGATAAAATTCAACAAAAGTAATCATCATTAACTATATTCATTTTATAACATAGCCTAAACTACATAAGATATACCCATAGCCTGAACCACATAATATAAACCCAATTGACTGCAGAGTTCCAAAGAAAAGCAAGGAAAGATAAGAAAGCCTTTTTAAGTGAACAATGCAAAGAAATAATAGAAAACAACTGAATGGGAAAAACTAGAGATCTCTTCAAGAAAACTGGAGATACCAAGGGAACATTTCATGCAAGGATGGTCATGATAAAGTACAGAAATTGTAAGGACCTAACAGAAACAGAAGAGATTAAGAACAGGTGCAAAGAATAAACAGAAGAACTGTACAAAAAAGGTCTTAATGACCTGAATTACCACGATGCCTGTGGTCACTCACCTACAGCCAGACATCCTGGAGTGTGAAGTTAAATGGAACTTAGGAAGCATTAGTACAAACAAAACTAGTGGAAGTAATGGAATTCCAGCTGAGATATTTCAAATCCTAAAAGTTGATACTGTTAAAGCAATGTACTCAATATGTCAACAAATTTGGAAAAGCCAGCAGTGGCCACAGGACTGAAAAAGGTTTTTATTCCAATCCCAAAGAAAGGCAATCCCAAAGAATGTCCCAACTACCAAACAGTTGTATTCATCTCACATGCTAGGAAGCTAATTCTCAAAATCCTTCAAGCCAGGCTTCAACAGTATGTGAACTGAGAACTTTCAGATGTATAAGCTGGATTTAGAAAATGCAGAGGAACCAGAGATTGAACTGCCAATGTTCACTGGATCATAGAAAAAGCAAGGGAATTCCAGGAAAATATCTATTTCTGCTTCATTGCCTATACTAAAGTCTTTGACTGTGTGGATCACAACAAACTGTGGAAAATTCTTAAAGAGATGGGAATACCAGACCACCTTACCTGTCTCCTGAGAAACCTGTATGCAGGTCAAGAAGCAATGGTTAGAACTGGACATGGAACAATGAACTGGTTCCAAATTGGGAAAGGAGTATATCAAGGCTGTATACTGTCACCCTGCTTATTTAACTTATATGTAGAATGCATCATGCGAAATGGCAGGCTGGATGAAGCACAAGCTGGAGTCAATACTGCCGGGAGAAATATGAATAACCTCAGATATGCAGATGACACCACCCTCATGGCAGAAAGCAAATAAGAACTAAAGAGTTTCTTGATGAAAGTGAAAGAGGAGAGTGAAAAAGTTGGCTTAAAACTCAACATTCAGAAAACTAAGATCATGGCAACTGGTCCCATCACTTCATGGCAAATAGATGGAGAAAAAATGGAAACAGTGAGAGACCTTATTTTGGGGGGCTCCAAAATTACTGCAGATGGTGACTGAAGCCATGAAGATGCTTGTTCACTGGAAGAAAAGCTATGAGAAGGCTGCTGCTAAATCGCTTCAGTCGTGGCCGACTCTGCAACCCCATAGACGGCAGCCCACCAGGCTCCCGTCCCTAGGATTCTGCACGCAAGAACACTGGAGTGGGCTCCCATTTCCTTCTCCAAAGCATGAAAGTGAAAAGTGAAAGTGAAGTCACTCAGTCGTGTCCAATTCTTCACAACCCCATGGGCTGCAGCCTACCAGGCTCCTCCGTCCATGGGATTTTCCAGGCAAGAGTACTAGAGTGGGGTGATGAGAAAGCTAGACAGCATATTAAAAAGCAGAGACATCACTTTGCTGACAAAGGTCTGTAGAGTCAAAGCAATTGCTTTTCCAGCAGTCATGGGTGAATTTGAGAGTTGGACCATATGAGAAGGCTGAGTGCCAAAGAATTGACTCTTTTGACCGTGGTGCTGGAGAAGACTCTTTGAGAGTCCCTTGGAAAGCAAGGAGATCAAACCAGTCAATCCTAAATGAAATCAACCCTGAATATTCATTGAAAGGACTAATGCTGAAGCTGAAGCTCCAAAACTCTGTCCACCTGATGCCAAGAGCTGACTTGTTAGAAAAGACCCTGATACTAGGAAAGACTGAAGGCAGGAGGCAAAGAGGATGACAGAGGATGAGATGGTTAGACAGTATCATCAACTCAACGGACATGAGTCTGAGCTAACTCTGGGTGGAGAAGGACAGGGGTGCCTGGCATGCTGCAGTCCATGGGGCGGCAAAGAGTCAGACATGACCTGCTGACTGAATAACAACAACAAAACAAGTATATAAAGAAATATTTAACAGAATTACAAAGAGAAATAAACAATTCCAAATCATTGTAGGTAATTTTTAATGCGCCCTTCTGAACAGTATAATTTAGAAGTTTGACTATGATATATGTGTATGTGACTATACACACATACACATCTCCTACATAAACAGAAAATGCTCATTTTCAAATAAACAGAATATTTACAAAAACTGACTCTATATCCTAAGCCTCAAGGGAAATTTTAACAAATATCTAAGAGTGATATTCATTGGAAGGACTGATGCTGAAGCTTCAATACTTTGGCCACCTGATGCAAAGAACTGAGTCATTGGAAAAGACCCTGACAGTGGGAAAGATTGAAGGCAGGAAGAGAAGGGGATGACAGAGGATGAGATGGTTGGATGGCACCACTGACTCAATGGACATGTGTGTGAGCAAGCTCCAGGAGTTGCTGATATACAGGGAAGCCTGGTGTGCTGCAGTCCATGGGGTTGCAAAGAATTGGACACGACTGAGCAACTAAACTGAAGTAAACTGAAGAATGATATTATTATATACTCATCTAATCACAATACAATGAAAATGGAAATAAATTACAAAAATAAAGCCCAAGGCACATAATATTTGGAAGCTAAAAAGTCTTTTTACGAGCTGAGGAAGAAATCTTAATATAAATTGAATACCACCAAAAGATATAACAGCAGCACCCTTATCTGGGTCCTTGAAGAAACATGTTCAGCCTCAAATGCATTCATTAGAAAAAAACAAAGTTATGAAGTTAGGAAAAATCCCACAAAGTACGCCTCCAAGAGCAGAAGAAATATTAAAGCTAAGAGTAGAAATTTGTGGAAAAGAACATTAAGAAACAATAGAGAGAATCAATAATCCAAACCCTGTTTTCTGGCAAAATGCATTAAACTGCTTACTAGACTAATGAAAGAGAGAATATAGATATTAACACCCATAGATATAGTAGACATTTAAAAAATACCCAAATTCTCATTCTTAAAATAAGAAATGCAAAAGCTTAATAACTTCACCATTGCCAGGCCACTGAACCTGAACTTCAGGTTCTGGCTCCTCTGATGACCGGAGACAGACCACCGTCTCAGCACAAGATCTGTGCAATTCTCAGCGCTTTTGCGGCCAGTGGTGTGGAGTCACAGAACTAAGGTCCAGCCCGCACTGCCTCCTTCTGGAGCAAAGGCCAGAGGAGGTTATAGCATCAGCTTCTCAGGAAATGGCCTGAGGTGGGAGCCAATTATGTTTTCACAAAACTAATCCTCATCTAAAATAAGAGGACCGATGGCTTCAGTTCACGTAAGAAGACTATTTCTGGCACACCCAAAAGGCAATACTTATCCTTCCAAAGAAAGGCTTCAGTCCCACCCCAGACCCCTCACAAACCTTCTTCAGAAATGCTAATGGTTTTTGAAGGGAATGTTTTTTCCGATTCAGGGCCAGAAGACAGTTCAATGGGACCCACAGGTTCAACCTATAGAAAAACATACACCACAAAATAATGGTTACAAGTTTTATAGTTTGATTATTTCAAAATACCATAAATAATTTTACATTGGTTTTTTCATATTTGCATTGAAAGAATGCAAATATGAAAGGTGAAAGAATAGCGTTGAATCCAATATGAATTAAATGGTGAGGTTTTTTAAAAAGGAGTAAATTTTTACTTACTTTGTATCTTAACCAATTTAACCTTTTAAGAAGCTCAGGAAAACTATATCACAAATTTTAGAATGGGGAGGAATGTTAACTGCCATCAAGACAAAACTTTCTCTTTTATTTACACAGTTCACCTTTATTTTACTTATTTTTTAATTGAAGTATAATTGACTTACAGTGTTATATTAGCTTCAGATGTATACTACAGTAATTCAATATTTTTATACACTACTCACCATATAAACCTACACAACATTATTCACTATTCTCCCTGTGCTGTACATTGTATCAATGACTTATTTTTATAATTGGTAATTTGTACCTCTTAATCCCCTTCACTTATTTCACCCATCTCCCACCCACCTCTCTTCTGGCAACCACTGGTTTGTTCGCTGTGTCAAAGAGTCTGTTTCTGTTTTGTGTTTCAGATAGTCTTTTCAGCAAAAAGTGTTGGGAAAACTAGACAGCTACATTTAAAAGAAGGAAACGAGACCATTTTCTTACACCATACACAAAATACACTCAAAACTGTCTGTTGCTGTTTTTCAGTTACTAAGTTGTGTCTGACTCTTTGCAACCCCATGGACAGCAGCACACCAGGCTTCCCTGTTCTTCACTATCTCTCAGAATCTGCTCAAACTCATGTCCAATGAGTTGGTGACACCATCCAACCATCTGATAAAGACATATGTAAGACCGGAAACTGTAAAACCCCCAGAAGAAAACTTAGGCAATAGGCTCTCTGACATTGGTCTCAGCAATATACTTTTGGATCTGTCTCCTCAGGCAAGTGTAACAACAGCAAAAATAAACAGAGACTACAACAAACCAGAAAGTTTTTGCACAGTCAAGGAAACCAACAACAAAACAGAAAGGCAACCTACAGACTGGGAGAAAATATTTGCAAATACTCCCTCTGAAAAGGGAGTAATATCTAAAATATTAACAGAACTCATACAAGTAATATCAAAAAAACAAGCCAATTTAAAATTGGGCACAGGACATGAACAGACATTTTTACCAAAGATAGCATACAAATAGCTAGTGGACTTATGAAAAGATGGTCAACGTCACAAATCATTTAGGAAATGCAAATCAAAACCACAATGAGCTATCATATGTCAGAAAGATTGGCTATTACTAAAAAGACAAACACGTATGTGGAGAAAAGGGAACCCTTGTGCACCGTTGGTGGGAAGTAAACTGGTGCAGCCACTATGGAAAACAGTATGGAAGTTCCTCAAAAAAGAAAAACAGGTCTACCACACAATCCACAAAGTCCAATTTGGGGTATTTATCTGAAGAAATCAAAATCTTTCATTTTAAAGATGAGGAATGAGGACCAGAGAAATGCAGAGACTTTCAAATCCAGAACATGGACTTGAACCCCTATTTTTAAGGCACCTGTTTGGTGTGTCCACAGTGCCCCTCAGCTTCTTCCAGGCCTACAGGCCATTTACCTAAACTAAAATGAGCAAGTAAAAAAAAAAATCTCTGTATTTATGTGTGCATCATAATAGGATGAGAACATTTTAAATTAATATGCCAAACCTTTCATTTAAGTCAGTTCTATTTCCTTAAAGTAGTGAGTTTGATCAACCAATTATAGAATTCTTTGTTTAAAATTGCCTCCCAAACTTGGGCAACAATTATTAATAATTATTCCATTATTATTATATGAATGTGATTTTATTTCTGTCTGAATCTAAAAATGAGAGCACAAAAACAGCCATCAAATAAACATTTATCAGATGCCTGCCATGCACCAAGTAAAAGACAAATTCTTACCTACCAGTGTGGAAAGGCGGGGGCTGAGAAGGGACCAGTATCAGAATTTGGGGGGACCTTTAAAACACAAGTGTGACCTATGCCCTCCTCCTTGAGAAGCCATCTCCCCCTCCCGTCTCTCTCCCTGCCCCACCCTGCTCAATAGGGCTGGCATATTTTTGGTGCACACGTCTATCTTCTGTTATTAGATTCTAAGCCCCTTGAGAGTAGTGACTATGCCTTATTTACTTTACTTTTCCTTATTTCCTTTACTTCACTTTCCTACAAGCCAGGATCAAGACTAGACTGAGGTGGAAGTAACATACCTGGTTTTACATAAACTAGAAGCTTAATAAACTAGAAGAGAAGGCAATTTTCAAAGTGATTCCTTGGAACACGGACTTTCAGGGACAATTTCAACACTCAACATTAATTTGGATGTAATAAATCTAAACCTGGATTAAAAACAAAAAGGAGTGCTCGCTTATGCAGCACATATACTAAAACTGGAACGATACAGAGAAGATTCACATGGCCCCTGCGCAAGGATGACATGCAAATTCGTGAAGTGTTCCATGTTTAAAATAAATAAATAAATTTTAAAAATAAAAACAAAAAGGAAACAATCAAATAAACACCATAATGTCATTACTTAAGAGTAATCCTGAAACTAATGCAACATTGTAAATAAACTACACTGCAATAAAAATTTTAAAAACCAAAACAGCAATCCTACTTCATATATTATTTTCACTGTAGTTTCACATATATTAAATCTTAGCTTTTTAATAATTGCTAAACCTCTGGATTAAAGAAATGCCATAATCCTAATATATTTTTTAAAAATATCAACATTCTTGGGAGAAAATAATAGCAATCAAAGCAACAAAGGATTAATCTCTGTAATTAGCCTCCAACTAATAAAAATAAATGGAAAAAAAAAGGATTAATCTCAAAAATATACAAGCAACTCCTCCAGCTCAATTCCAGAAAAATAAATGACCCAATCAAAAAACGGGCCAAAGAACTAAACAGACATTTCTCCAAAGAAGACATACAGATGGCGAACAAACACATGAAAAGATGCTCAACATCACTCATTATCAGAGAAATGCAAATCAAAATCACAGTGAGGTACCATTACACGCCAGTCAGGATGGCTGCTATCCAAAAGTCTATAAGCAATAAATGCTGGAGAGCGTGTGGAGAAAAGGGAACCCTGTTACACTGTTGGTGGGAATGCAAACTAGTACAGCTGCTATGGAGAACAGTGTGGAGATTCCTTAAAAAACTGGAAATAGAACTGCCAGATGACCCAGCAATCCCACTCCTGGGCATACACACCAAGGAAACCAGATCTGAAAGAGACACGTGCACCCCAATGATCATCGCAGCACTGTTTATAATAGCCAGGACATGGAAGCAACCTAGATGCCCATCAGCAGACGAATGGATGAGGAAGCTGTGGTACATATACACCATGGAATATTACTCAGCCATTAAAATGAATTCATTTGAATCAGTTCTAATAAGATGGATGAAACTGGAGCCCATTATACAGAGTGAAGTAAGCCAGAAAGATAAAGACCAATACAGTATACTAACGCATATATATGGAATTTAAAAAGATGGTAATGATAACCCTATATGCAAAACAGAAAAAGAGACACAGATGTACAGAACAGACTTTTGGACTCTGTGGGAGAAGGCGAGGGTGGGATGTACTGAGAAAATAGCATTGAAACAAGTATACTATCAAGGGTGAAACAGATCACCAGCCCAGGTTGGATGCATGAGACAAGTGCTCAGGGCTGGTGCACTGGGAAGACCCAGAGGGATGGGATGGGGAGGGAGGTGGGAGGGGGGATCGGGATGGGGAACACATGTAAATCCATGGCTGATTCATGTCAATGTATGGCAAAAACCACTACAATACTGTAAAGTAATTAGCTTCCAACTAATAAAAATAAATGAAAAAAATAAATAAAATATCAACATTCTAGTAATCTGGAATATTTGTTACGTATGTCACTGATGGACTTCTTTTTCTGCAAATTTGCATTTTTTGCAATTTGCATTTCCCAATATAAGGCTTTAATATATTCAAAATATTTTTACTATTTGCTCATTAATCTTTATTTTATATAAATTTTATTTCCTAAAAAAAGATAGGATATTTGTATAAAATAAGTAAGAGACTTCTATTTATCTAACTACCATTATATACCATATACATTAATCTCTAACCTAAACATTAATCTCTTTATTATGCATACTTTTTTTTTTCAACTTACATTTTTTTTTAAAATTTATTTATTTTTTTTTATCACAACCATAGTGTATCTTTTTTTTTTTTTTAACATGTATTTTATGCATACTTTTTAAAGATACCGAAAACTTTTAAGGATTACTAACCCCATTCTATAAATTATTTGAAAGAAATTGAGAATTCAAAATGTAAGGACAACAATGTCTGTAAAGTTACAAAAATCTTGCTGAAGAAAATGATACTCAATTGAGAGCAGGATTTTTCTAAAACCACATTCTGGTTTTGTAATTCATGTATTTATTTTCCTGGTAGAAGTTGAGGGTTCAATTCTTAAAAGCTTAATGCTTAAGTGGTTCTCCACGAGGAGTGATTTTGCCCCTCAGAGGACATTTGCCAATGCCTGCAGACATTTTTGGTTATTAAGGCTAACGGGAATGTTACTGACGGCAAGTGGGTCAAGACTAGGGATGCTACTAAAATCCTGCAATGCATGGGATAGATGTCCACAACAGAGAATTACCTGGCCCAATGTCAGCAATGCTGGAGGCTGAGAAACCTTGGCTTTTGAAACCATTTCTCATTATTTTGAAAAATCAAGAGTCTAAAATTATATCACTCTACAAATCTAGTAGGTAGGTTAACAAACAAATAAACAAGTAAAGGCTGTCTACCTTCACACAATGTCGGTCTGGCACTGTGTGTCTGGGGTAATTGTGCTCTATGTTTTCAGCAAGGTTCTGTATTGCTAATAGCTGTTCATCAATTCTCTGAAGCTTTGCGGTGAGATGCTCCAGCCGGCGAGCGGCAGGGCTTGGTGCAGGACGAGCCGTGGGGACTTCCTGTAGCACCTCCCACAGCAGATAGTCTTCTGTAGCATCTGACTTTGAGCTCGGTTCCTTAAAGCGAAAATCTGGCTTCGGAGTATCTAAATATTATTAAAGGGAATATCAGAACTGACTACAATTAAGAAAGAAATTGTAATAGATGCTGACGATTTAATTTCTTGAAGACCTCACTTTAAGTCAACATAACATTCGCTTCTTCCAAATCAGTTTTAATTTAATATACTTAAGAAATAGCCTCAGCTTCTTGACTTCTGAGATTACTCTTTGTTGTGAGATAAAAATATGTGACAGTGGTAGTGGTAATATATAACAGTGGTAGTATATAATATTACCATTACCACAAAGCACCATTACAATGAAATCTGAATGTTAATGTTACTTTTACCTTCTGCTACAAAAATACACTTCATCAAAAAGCAACCTTAAAGCCTTTATGACTTTTTAAAACTCTACCTGAAAACCAACATCACACAGTAAAAGCTAGGTCCAGTGCAGGCCATTACTGCCTCTACGTGGGACCTCAGGCAAGCATTAAGCCTCTCAAGACCAATATACATCAAAGTCAATGACTCTGTACTTCTAAGCTCAGCTGATTCTTGTCCCTAATTTGAAACACTTCTTCTGGCCTCTGGGTCTTCTCCTCCCTATCTCACTCTCCCTTCTCAGTCATCATCTTGGTCTTTTTTTCTGCAACCCACACTCCTTTCACCCTTCAGTATTTCCAGGGCACCAGTCTCAGATCACGGCTCTTCTCCCTCCACCCACCCTCTCTGGGTGAGCTCTCGGGCGCACTGCTGACTCTCACATCCAAACAGCACTCTCTGTGAGCTCCAGTTCTTAATCCATCTGTGTCCTGAATATCTTATTCTGCTCTTACTCTGTTTTTCAGTAAGTCATGTCCAACTCTGTGAGCCCATGGACTACAGCATGCCACGCTCCTCTGTCCTCCACTATATCCCAGAGTTTGCTCAAATCCATGTCCATTGAGTTAGTGAGGCTATCTAATCATCTCATCCTGTCATCCCCTTCTCTTCCTTCCTCAGTCTTTCCCACCATCAAGGTCTTTTCCAATGAGTCGGCTCTTCACATCAGGTGGCCAAAGTATTGAAGCTTCAGCTTCAGCATCAGTCCTTCCAATGAATATTCAGGGTTGATTTCCTTTAGGATTGACTGGTGTGATCTCCTTGCAGTCCAAGGGACTCTCAAGAGTCTTCTCCAGCACCACAGTTCAAAAGCATCAATTCTTCAGCACTCAGCCTTCATTATGGTTCAACTCTCACATCCATACATGACTACTGGAAAAACCATAGCTCTGACTATCTGGACCTTTGTTGGCAAAGTGAAGTCTCTTATTTGGCAAAGTGATGTCACCTTATTCAGGCTGTCCCAAAGGCAGATCAAACCAAACTCACAGCTTTTGCTCTTCTACCCGCTTTCCTCCTGATTGCCCAACTCAGGGAACAGCACTATCATTCACCCAGTTTCCCAAGCCAGCTGCCTGAAATGCATTCAAGGTTCTTCTCTTTGCTTCAGTTCCAACATGGCACCAAATACTGATGATGCCCCTGCCAATCATCTCCTCATTCCTACCACCACAGCTTAACTGAAGCTTTCACAACCCAAGGACACCAAATAGTATGAAAGAAAGTGAAAGTGAAGTCGCTAAATCGTGTCCAACTCTTTGCAACCCCATGGACTGTAGCCTACCAGGTTCCACCATCCATGGGATCTTCCAGGCAAGAATACTGGAGTGGGTTGCCATTTCCTTCCCCATGAGATCTCCCGCATTGTAGGCAGGCGCTTTACCGTCTGAGCCACCAGGGAAGTCTCAATCTCTAAATACTTCACTCCTTCCTAGCCCAAATTCTACAAAGGCCCCAGAGAAATCTTTTAAAACATAAATCTGATATTGTTCCTTTTCCACCTGAAATCCTTCAGCATTTCTCTAACGCCTTCACCTTAAAAGTTCAAATGCCTCGGAATGAGAGACAATGGCATTGTCTTTCCTAGGCCGTCCTATCCAGCTCTTCTCTTGCTATTTCTTTAAAACAGAAAAACACCAAGCACAGTGAACTTTAATTTTCTCAGACTTAGCATCTTGAGTCATCATAAGATCTGTTCTATCTATGTGATCTATTCTGTGGCTTTCTCTTGCTCAGTCCTACTGTTAAGATTCCATTTAGGTGTCTCTCCCCTACATAGCCTCAGTCCTCCCCAGAGATGGATTAGATGCTGTATTCCCCAACAATCTCATCCTTATCACCATGATGCCGTCATGTACTACAGTTATATCTTGACTTCTTTGCTTTCCTTTCCCCCAGACGTGAGCCCACAGGCAGAGAGCCTGGTGTTACTCTCTTCTCTGGTCCCTACATGTTGTCCCTAACTTGGTGCTCAGTGAATGAAGAGATGGTCAGATGAGGCTTATGATGCCTGTCCTACTTGACTCCATATAGATTTTGTGAGGATCAAATTATTCAACAAAAAAACCTAAAAAGTGTGAATGACTAAACAAATGTAAGTAATGATTATGTTTCAGTCCCAGGGTAGGACCTTCACCTGTGTCCTGCCATATGTCGGATGGCAGAGGTGAGCTGACACGAGGCTCCTTCACTTCTGTACTGCCCGCTCTCCAGCCGCATCCACCCAGACAGGATGGAGACACTTTCGCAGGTTTAAAGCATAAATCCACAGCGGAATAGGCAGATTCTACCAAGAACATGAAAGGCATACAAAGACTGATTCTAAACTTATAAATAAGGTATTGAAAAGATTAATAGAACATTTCTAAATGTGAATATAAACATCTAAAACTACAGTGGATTTGGAGGAGAGCTAAGAGACAAGAGTAGGGATAATAATGCTACATTAAAGAAGATTTCAAAAATGTTTTAAATTTATTTTAAAAGTAGGAAAAATTATTACCTTTACTCTTGAGATTGTCAAGAGTCAGGGGAATAGCATTAGTAACTGAAGCTGCCATGTAATGTAATTCTGCAGAAGACGGGACTTCTAGACAATCACTGTGTTGCTTGGTATTATCTGAAGGCTCTTCCTTGACAGGTAATTCCTGTAGATCATCAGCTTCAATGTCAATCACATTTATGTAAGTGTGTCCAACCTGAGCCAAAACATAAAATCAAAGAGGGTTACATTCCTTTTATTTACATGGCTATTCCAGCCTACCCTTACCAAAAAAAGGTTTAATTCTCAAGAGCTTACATGAGCCTAACTTAGGGAAAACTGCAAGAATTATGCGTTATAGTCTTAGTTTACAATATCTGGAGGCATAACATTTAAATCTTAAACTAAATTTTGACCTTTCCAACAAATCTATGTAAGTGAGACTTTTTGGCCTCATTTCATCTATACAACTGAATAATGTAGATGACCATGATAAATTTTAGCACAAAGCTATTAAAACTTTCAAATTTAGTACCGTATCAGATGCTGAGGGTGACAGAGGTTTCTCTGATATTTCAGTGGGAAGTCTGAGATTTAGACATATATCTGGAGCCAAAAGTTGAGGAACATTCAAAGATTCATGTTCTAAAAATCAACATAGTAAAAAAAAATTCCTGTAAATAGTTCTACATCATTAACTTTGTAAGAACAAGTTGGCAACAAACAACATTAAAAGTATTTGTTGAAAATATAAGTTTCTTTGTATGAATAAATTAAAGAAAATTCTATTCTACTCTAATGGCAAGATTGTATTTAATCTAGAGTAATTCATAATTGAATGCAGATTGACTACAGTTTTTCTCATAGGAATGATTCATAACAATAATGAAATATCTAAGTCATACCAAGAAAATGCTATAATTTCCTTTTTCCATGTCAGATATATTGTCATTTTTGTTTAACATTTCAATAAAACGAGATTTTAGGAAATTAATCATAGCAAATTTTTTTACTTTCAACACTACTTCTTGTTTGTTCATTTGGTTAAACAGCTTTATTGAGACATAATTCACCTCCTTTAAAAATGTATAACATATATATGAGTGTATATATATGTGTATGTATGTATAAAAATGTATAACTCAAATGTATAACTTAGTGATTCTTAGTATATATAGAGACTGTAGCTAAATCATACCACTTACAAGGTTTAATATCTTAATTTTATAGAAGTCATTAGCTTCTTATTCAAAACAATAAAGAAGCCTATCAACAGGTCAGCAGTCTAACTGTGCTTTTTGTCCTATGACTCTAATCTTATTTCCTAGCATTACTTTCAAATTTCACAAGCAAAATCTAACTCACTGCAGTACTGAGTACCAAAAACTTGGTGCCAAGGCTTGAATTTAAACCACATGACAAGCATAAAAACTAGAAAAATGAAAAATCATTTTATCTCTATTAAATCAATTTTTGGTTTAACTGCTTTTTTATGGGGGTGGTAACTCCTGTTTTAGCCATCATACAGATATAACCTTTAATTAGTCATGCTGTTCTCAGAAAAAAAAAAAAAAAAGAAATCACACCTGATATGGAAGAAATGACTTGCTGATTTTTATGACATTCAGAAACAACTTCTTGAGAAACAGCTTCTTGATATCAATGAGGAGATTTGTGACAAAAAGAGAAAATAGAAAAGGGACTTCACAACCACAGAAAAAATTAAATATACAAGCATAGATTTTTTTATATATTGTGCATAAAAAGTGGTAGAAAACTAGACTGACAGCCTAAGAATTTAATTTCTTAATTAATAAAATAATTTTAATTTTATTACTATTTACATTCTGGGCCTGATCACCTAACAAGCTTCCAGCAAACAGCTGCTGACTTTAGAAGACAAGAGAGCAGCAAAGTACCTCTGGGCTCTCTCAAAGACACATTTAAGAATGCTTCTCAGATGCGCACTGAACCTTTTTGTCAATAGACATCTTATTAAAAAACAATCTCATACATGCTCAACCTCATTCAGAAAGAAATGAAAATGAAAATGACAGATGTTTTTTATTTTAATCAACTGGACTGGTAAAGGGTAAAAGAGTTACTAGCTAAATCATAGTGATGACCAAAAGAGAGAAAAAAGGTTCTATGCAAGAAATTACTCATTGAAGCATCATTTGTAGGAGAAAAATACTGGAGGCCAGCTAATACATTTATTCATTACATTAATGAAGAAGCTTATCAGGCAAAATTCCAAACATGAGTTCCTCCAACATTTATTCCCTCTATTTCTGGTCACAGTTACATATATTCTTCCCACACTAAACCCAGCCTAGTCCTCCTCTTCAAACACAACTTCAGTAGCCGCAACTTCAGGCCTCTCAATCTCAGGCATGAAATTCTAGTAAAGTCAATTATGGCATAGAGAACCCAAACTAAATATACTGTTTCTACTGATTTATGATGTAGTTCATGGCATTTTTAAGCAAGTATCTATTATATTTTAGTAAAGTTATCATAAATTCAGTTTAAAATTTGTAAAGTATATACCAGGGTTAGGAACAAGAACCTGAGATGAAAAACTAATATCACATAATTTTAAATTCCCCTTAAACTATTGTTTTGAAAAAAAGTAGGCATATATTAAAGGTTAAAACTATATGAATTAAAAAAAATATATATATGAATTTTCAAAATTAAAGGAAAATAGCATTTTACCTGGGTCTGTATTTGTACTTGCATCCTGACATTCTTTAGCTTTCTTTTTTACAGAGGCCATGAAATGCAATCCAGCGGAAGTATTAACATCATCTTGGAGCTTTTCTTAAATATAACAACAAAACATTGGATGCAAGCATTGAGAAGCCCTTATATCACCAGGAGCCAAGAAACAGAGTACCTACTTCAAGGGAGGTGAGGTACACGGTGTCAAGATGTTATCAAAATGGACTTTCTGAGTGAAAGTGGTATCTAAGTTGACCCTCACAGACAGTTCAACGGAATCAAAATCAAAATTGTTGAAGACTCTGTATGCCCAGGCTAGAAACTTATTCTTCTGGCTGATGAAGATCCAGTAGAAGTTGTTAGGCAGGGAAATGATATGATGAGACCAGTGTTCTAGAAAAACCACCCCAGCCAGTGTGTGAAAAATAAATTCGAGTGGATAAAATTAAAGAAAGGCAATCAGATAGATGAGGCTGCTGCAGCAGTTCAAATACACATACAATAATGGCGAGGAATAAAAGGGAGAGGAAAAATTTAAGAATTATAAAGAAAGTAAAACATAAGGAAAAAAGAAAGAAAGAAAGAACTGGCTACTGACTGGATGAGAGGGGGAGGGGAAAGCAGAATTCAGAATAGCGTGTGTTTTGGGGTTAAGTTGGCAGTGACACAAATGGAGACAGAACACAGGAGGACAAACCAGTTGGTGGGGGAGGGATAACAAATTCAAACTTGAGGTAATTTCTACCCTGGACAAAAAGATCAACAGGAAGTAGAGTCAAAGTCCGAACACTATTATGGGAGTTTGGGTTTAGACGTGGAATTTTCTGGGAGATCACTCAGGGAGTCTAAGTAGAATGAAAGAGTATCAATGATGGCACATGGTAGTATAATGAAAATATATATATTTGGTCTCTGTCCTTGGTTCCAGGCACGGAATTCCTTAAGCCCTTGGAAGTTCCTGAGCGATAGGAGCATATTTTGTTATTCATGATGAGCCCTTTTTGATCCTATCTGCCTTTGGGCTAAGGAGCTGACCCCTGCAGGCCCCTAGACAGTTTCAGGAAGGGTGCTGCTCACCAGAGAAACCATCAGCCCTGCCCCACACCCACTTCCAGGGAAGGGAGAGCAACTGGAGTCCGATCTTTCCATATACTGAGAGTTCAGGAAAAACCCTGAGACAACAATTCTGAGGGGACTTCTAGGTTGATGAGTAAGTGGATGTGTAGGAAGGATGGTGTACCCCAAAAGGAGTGGGACCTCTGTGTCCTCAAACCCCCACACCTTGCCCTAGGCATCTCTCCCATTTGGCTCTTCCTGAGTTGTAGCCTTTATAATGAAACTGTAATCACAGCTAAAGCGCTTTTCCAAGTTCTGGAGTTGTTCTAGAGAAGTAGTAAACCTGTGGGGGAGTGGCCACAGGAATCCCTGAATTTACATTTGACCAGATGAAAATGCAGGTTTTGGGGGAACCTTGTTTGCAGCTGACATATAAAGAAAATAGGGAGTCTTTGGGGACTGATCCGTTGACCTGTGGGGTCAACCCATAGGTTGATGAACCCATAGATTATTAGTCTCAGAATGGAATTGAATTATAGGACTTGCAGCTGGTGTCAGAGAATTCTTGCTGTGTGGCATAACACAATACATATTCACTGGAGTACTACAGTGAAAGCGAAAGTTGTTCAGTTGTGTCCAAGTCCTTGCAATCCCATGGACTTATTCCATGGAATTCTCCAGGCCAGAATACTGGAGTGGGTAGCCTTTCCCTTCTCCAGGGTATCTTCGCAATCCAGGGATCAAACCCAGGTCCCCCTCATTGCAGGCAGATTCTTTACCAGCTGAGCCACAAGGGAAGCCCAAGAATAGTGGAGTGGGTAACCTATCCTTTCTCCAGCGGATCTTCCAGACAGGAATCGAACCGGGGTCTCCTCCATCGCAGGCGGATTCTTTACAAATTGAGCTATGAGGGAAGCACTACAAGGTCATTTTAAATGACACTGTGGAAGAATATCTAGTGATATGGGAAGATAAATACCCTAATGCTGTTGTTGTTTGGTCACTAAGTCAGGTCTGACTTTTGTGACCCCGTGTATTACAGCCCACCAGGCTCCTCTGTCCATGGGATTTCCCAGGCAAAAATACTGGAGTGGACAGCCATTTCCTTCTCCAGGGGATCCTTCTGACCCAGGGATCAAATCTGCGTCACCTGCATCGGCAGGCGGATTCTTTACCACTGAGCCACCAGGGAAGCTCAAATACCTTAATACTATTTTTTAAAAACAAGTTAAGTTATAAATAAGCAGAGGAGGTATTACTTATATATAGATATACAGATAGATAGGGCTTCCCTGGTGGCTCAGTGGTAAAGAATCTGTCTGCAGTGCAGGAAACCTGGATTCGATCCCCGGATCAGGAAGATCCCCTGGAGGAGGAAAGGGCAATCCACTCCAGTATTCTTGCTTGGGAAATGCCATGGACAGGGGACCTGGTGGGCTAGGTCCATGGAGTTGCAAAAAAGTCAGACACAGCTTAAGAGACTAACACTTTCTTTCATACGGACAGATATAGATATATATTTATAGATACATGTGAGTACAGATATTTCGAAAATAAACCCAAAAGAATACTCTCTATTTGCGTTTCCTAAATTTTCTCCAGTTAATACATAGTATTACCTTTGTAAAGAGAAAGAATGTTATTAAGAATGAAAGAGAACTGGGTTTTAAGATAAGAGAATGGGGAGCAAGAACACCAGACGGACTGGGAAGCTGAGAGGTGGAAGCTGCGCGGTAAGGAGATGACAGCTCGGCACATAGAGGCTGATGCTGGGCCGAGGCCCCGAGGAATGGCGGGAGCCCCAGGTCAAGGGTCAAGTGAAGGAACGGGGTAACAGACGTGAGGTGACCCCAAGGTAAAAATCTTGACCAATCAAATGAACGGCCATATCATTAATAGGAAAATGCCAGTTTAAAATCTGACTTCTGTGTTTTTGCATGGCTTGCAGGGTCTCAGTTCCTGACCAGGGACCGAACCTGGGCCATGGCAATGAAAGCTCGGAATCCTAACCATGAGGTCACCAGGTGACTCTTGCGGATATGCTGGATTTAAGGAGAAAGTAGAAAAGGAAGATGAGACAGGGTAGGTGTGTATCTGAGTGTCACCAGAATAATTTAAAAGCTGAAGTCATGACAGTGAATGAGCCTAGAGGCACAAGAGTTTGTGTGTACACGTGTAAAAAACACTGGGAGAAAGCCTTGGGGAAACACATACATTGAAAGGCAAGAAATGAATCCATCAATTCAAGAAGGAAAAGAATTTACAACGTATAAACAAGTCCTCTTCTCTGAACTAATTCCTTTAATGTATATGTATTTTCTATGATTAATTTGACTCCAGGCATTTTCTCCCATAGTTTCCTTTTGGGCCTCATATATCAATATCTTCTTTGAGATTCTACCTAATTGCATTGCTCTACTATAGGGGCTGATAAACTCTTTCTGTAAAGGGCCAGATAATAAATCTTTAGGCTTTGTGAACCATATGGTCCCTTTTGCAACAAATGAACCCTGCTGCAAGGTGAAAGCTGTCATAGACAATATGTAAATAAATGGGCATCAATTAAACTTGATTTAAAAAAACAAGTGTGGGCAATCCACAGTATTTTCGCTTAGAGAACTCCATGGACAGAGGAGCCTGGCAAGCTACAGTTCATGGGGTCTCAAAGAGTTGGACACAACTGAGCAACTAACACACACACACACCTGAAACTAACACAACACTGTAAATCAACTGTAGTCCAATATAAAATAAAAGTCAGAAAAAAAACCAGGTGTGGTCCAGGTCTGGCCTTTGGGTCACAGTCTGTCAACCACTGCGCTAATGGATAACACAGCAAAACACACACACACACAGACATACACACCATCCTGTCAAAGACAACATGAAAATAACTTCATCTCATAAACATATTTTTAGAAAGCAGATTTTTAACTCTGAGTGGAGACATGACATTAATCATGTATATACATACCAAAAGAAATGTCAAAGTCTTCTAAAGGCTGGGAACCATGATGTTCTTGTTGCTCCTAAAGGAATCCCAAATGATCAATTTATGACTAACTCAAAGACATATAATATTTTGAAAAAATATTCAATAGCTATGAGGAATGTTGATTTGGGGGGGCGGTTTAGTTTCAAATCATGTAACTCTAGAAATATTTTTTTTAAGAAATTAAAAAAAAATTTACTTATTCTATCAAATTATTTATTCTATCAAAGTAATTCCACAGGTGTTCACGAAATTCACAGATCAAGCAACAAAAAAGAGCATTACCAATTTAACGCAGGTACTAAATTACAATATGCAATTTTCTCCTGCAGACTAGCTTTTACTCTCAAATAGTATCAAAACTATTCAAGGACTCGACACTTAGTACTAAGTGCCTCCAGACACGTTCTTGAGGACTTTACTGAAAGAGGGTGTTAAGATTCAAGTAAACAAAACTATTTGTTTTATTTAATCTCTTGTTGCATGTATAGGTAAACAGTCCCCAAATTTAGAAGGAATGTTTGCAAAGATCTGATATAAAATAGAGGCTGTATTAAAAACCTATGTCGGGGAAACCCTAGAGGCCTTGAAAAGAGGTGGGTGAAGCTATCAGAAGAGAAACCCACAATATGCATTAAGATGTCACAGAAAAAAATCAGAGTGATTTAAAAATACAAAATCACACAAGCAGATACTCTTAACTACAGTTTTTGATTTACCAACAAGTTGCTTTTCATATTCATAACTTCATGTCCATCCTGTATAGAGGGATGCAGTCAGGACTTTTGTACTTAATGATGTTAAAACATTATTGACCAGGGGATTCTTGCAGAAACTAATGCCTGTGGCCAGCGATTTGTTATGTAAGTAAATATTCAAACGTCTCTGGTCAATAAAGTTTGGGTGACAAAAAAGTGTTAATACGCCTCTGGTCGATAAGTTGTTAAGATCCTCCTAGCCACAATCAGAAGCTTCTAGCGATCAGACGACTAAACAAACCACAGACATTCCGAACTCTGTGTACATGCAGACCAGGGAAGAATGCATTGTAGATTTTCTGTACCTTGGGTTTCACGACTACTTCTGGATCATTATCATTAATGATGATATCCTCTGGTTGGAAAGTCACACTTGGTTTTCTCCTAAGTTTCTCTGATCTTTCTTCTTGCAGTTCTTTTTCAGCTCGTCGTCTTTGTCTGTTAAAAATCACAGTGTAAAGCATATTTTTACTATTTTAGGAACACCATTTTTCATCTGTATCATGCTATATAGGAAGACAGTTATGAAAATTATGTCAATTGATTATTTTCAGTGGCATTTAATTAAATTAGCAAGATATTCTGCTAGAATAAATACAAGCAAAAGTCAGGGACACAGGAAAGTTATTTCTAGTTCCTCTACTACTGAACTGACTTTTCTGTTAGTCATGGGAAACTCAGGTTAGAGTTACACATTTCAGGTAATTTTCAAATTCTCTTTTCTGCAGATCTGAAGCTGGCCCTGGAAACCCTATTAGATACCACCATTGACCTATTTATAAAGAAGTCAGGCAAACAGGCTCCAAGGAGGAAACCACAGGCAGGAGGAAGGAGGGCCCAAAAAGCTACGGGAAACTTACTTTGAAGAGGGTTTACTTAGAAAAGAGGGAAGCGAAGAACCATTTCTGGAGAGAGAGCCCTGGTAGTAGATTTTAAGGCCTGATAAACATGAAATTTTAAAAAATGTTTTCTAGACTAAGTAAAAATCCACCATGAATACATGTCTTGAACATCCATTATGAGTGAAACACTATATATGCTCTTCATGAAGAGTCACAGCCTTGCTTTTCACATGCACATTTCTTAGTGCCCTGAAACAATTCACACCACTGTGCTCTGTATGAGTCTGGAAGATACGATATGATGATGAATAACAATAAACGTTATGTCAGTGTATTGAACAGTAGATAGAATATTTCATGATACCAAATATTTGCTGCAAAAGATGACTGCTCATCCTGTTAAAGAAAAAGGTAAAAGAAACCTCCAGCCTACTGAATGCCAGGAAAGAATTCCTTAATAGCATTTAAAAAATACTAGTATTTGTCTCTCACATTATAGGAATTTTTCTCATCACAAGATGTATTCAAATGCATGACACTTGACAAGGAAACTGAATATGCAATTGTGTATAGGCTGAGAGGCTGAACCAGATAATTTCCATCTATTTAACTGGATTATTGTCACTAATAATAAACTTGTAGGTATGTTTGCAGGTGTATGTTCAAATAAAATTTCAGTTAAAACTTGCCTTTTTTTACTGTCCTTCCCTTGCCTCAATTCAGATGATTCTGTTTTGACCTTTAGAAGCTGGAGATGTCCAGGATCACCTTGTTCAAAGAAATTATGTGTCAAGTTCTGTTGCCTTTGTTTAAATACAATGAGGTTTTCAAGTGGAATAAGTTGTGGGTTTTGGTACTATAGAAAAGAAACAAAAGGACAGTAATTTAAAATTACAAACATGTCAATTAGACAACAGGTTAAAAAAAACTGAGAAAAACGTTTGTCTGAACTAAGATGTGCAAGTGACAGAACACATCAAAGCTAACAAGTACGAGTGTCCAGGTCTTTAAGTGTAAATTATTTCAGAAATCATTTCTGAGACTTTCTACCGGGCATTTCAGAAGTTTTGCTTGAAGTCCTCATTTTCTTAATTTCTTTTTCATATTAAGACTCTTCCCTCTTACAATTACATGTGAAGTTAAAATAATGCCTGCTGCTGCTGCTGCGTCGCTTCAGTCGTTTCTAGCTTGGATTTAAAATTCTCCGGAACTGGAAGGATGCACAGGGGTGGAGATTATGGATGGAACAAATAAGCAATCCATTGGTAACAATTGATGTTGGGTGATGGTATAACTTGGGGTTTTATTATACTATTCTAATTTTAAAAGAAAGTCTTTAAAACCTTCCAAAAAACACATACTTCTCCACTCCTTCGATTCTTTCCTTTTGTTCATAATATGTTCAGAAGAAAAGGAGGCATGATAAGTACTTTTTCTAAGGAATGACTACTTCTTTTCCCGGTACCATTTCAGAATCTTAGAAGGGTACCAGAGAATGAATTACTCAATTACTGACTTCACAGAAGTAGAACCTGAACAGTCTGAATCTCATTAATCAAAAGTTACAACTTTAAACAGGACTTGGTGGGTTTATAAAGAATTTAATCTTTGTTTTAAGTATTTAAAAAAGAAATATATTTTTAATAAGTAAAACTACTTACAGATCTGGGTCTATTTAACAATTTTAACCTGTAATAGATTTGAAGGAAATCATATTACAATTGCTAGGAACCTCAAACAATACCCTCTCACTCAAGACAGAAACATACACACACTCCCCTACACGTATAAACAAGAATACTGGTCATTTTACTTATTTCTTCTCTGAGCAGGATCTCAGACATGTCTATGAAAGAGTCTAGAAAACTCCGGTACTGATGTATAAGAAAGACCTAAAACCTGCGTGCTTAATCGCTTCAGTAGTGTCCAACTCTGTGATCTCATGGACTGTAGCCCACCGGGCTCCTCTGTCCATGGAATTCTCCATCCAAGAATACTGGAGTGGGTTGCCACTTCCTTCTCCAGGGGATCTTTCTGACCCAGGGATCAAACCCATGTGTCTTATGTCTCCTGCATTGGCAGGCAGGTTCTTTACCGCTAGTGCCACCTGGGAAGCCCTAAAACCTTTAAGATACCCAATTATTATTTTAAATCAAATCTGTATGTTATTTCCAATAACAGAAGCATTATTTTTTGAAAAATAAATGTTAGAGCTTTTCATTGAGTGTACATTTATATTATGAAAAATGCAGGAATGTGCTTTTGCAACACTGCAAAAATCATTACCATATTTTCTGGGCCTAGACATGAATGAAGTAGTGATAATCTTGGGCATTTTCTTTCTTCTGCCATGGTTCTAATAGGTATTGATGGAACTGTAACTGATGCTCTTGAGGTAGAAGAAAACATGTAAGGAGGTTTAAGTTGCAGGTGCAATAAAGGAAGTCCAGAGGAATTCTGAGAAGATATCTCAAAGAGTCCTGGTTTAACATCAAAAATATTTTCTGGTTTTATAAATGTTGTAGAGTTCTGTTGAGGTGTCAAGTTTTCTTGTCCAACACACTGATCCAAGTTCACATGTTTTGGGATTTCTTTAGTTATTGTTTCTGCCCATTTTTTCGGCTCAGCTGCTGTTTTTATGGCTTCAGTATTATACTGGCTCAGATTCAAATGGGATATTGAAGTAGTGTCCATTGCTACCTTTGGCAAAGGAGGCTGTGAGAAATCAGATAATCCCCAAGCCTCTCTAGGCTGTGGCAGAGGACTGAAGGGAACTTGAGGAACTCTCTCTGTGTGGAAGGAAACGGGCTTAAATTCAGGCTTAGGCTGAAACTGAAGCAAAGGGAAACCATCACTACGTCTGGAAGTATTTGCAGTGGGGATAAGTCTAGGTGTCTCTGGAATGGCAGAAGATGCAGACAAAAGGTGGAGGTGAGTGTTTCCAGCAGGGACTGGAGACAAAGAAGTGGTTGGTAAGCTGTGAGAGCCTGGAGTTAGTCCTCTATTCTGGGGCTGACCTTCTGATTGACAAAAAGGAGCACTCCCATGTGGAACATGCTGGAAGAGAAAGAAAAAACTATGATGTAATTTTAAAATATGTTACAAACTCCTTATTTTGTAAATAATGTTCAGTATGTGTTATAGCGGGTAGAATATAATAACTACTAAATAACTCATTTACTCAAATAAACAACCACTGAAACTACAAGGAAAACTTCAGTGGTATTTTAAAATGCATTACCTCTAAGTTTCCATTACTATTTTCATTGGATTGCACAATTTCTTTATGGCAGTGTGGGCTGTTCTTGCTAGCCTCTCTGGCATACTCTCCCATGGGTTGTGGTTTAATGAAAAATCTCTCCTTCAGATTTCTACTGGTGTCTCCAACATCATTACTCCCTCTTGTGGCGTTTGATCCTTGGCTTCCCACCACATGCACAGACTGGGACTGTTGTAGAAGCTGATGAATATCTGGGAGGTTAGCAAAGGATGATCCTACTATTTGCATTAGGCTCATGAAGTTGATCTGTTGCAGCTAGAATAAAATAAAAATTAAAGAAACATCTTAAAATCTAATGAAAAGACCCAAAGAAGCAACAATTATCTGAGTATTCCAAAACAGTCATACTTCTATCTTAGTATTTGTCAGACCCATAAGTGCTGAGTATGAAGCATAGCTGGGAGAGACCTTAAAAAAAAAAAAAAAGGGAAAGAAGAATAGCTTCCTGTCTTCAAGGAGGAGTTAACTACAACTATGAACTCATAATGCAACTTGAGATCATCTGGGAAGCAGCTTACATAAATATCCCAGGGATCATAAAGGAGTGAGCTGATGAAGCGGGTGAGCATAACTAGATTGCCTAAATTTTTAAAATTTTATTTATTTTGTGGGTAAGGATAATTAAAGAAGAATTCCTAAATGGGTGTGTGAACAGGTTTTCACGAAAGAAAAAAGTAGAGATCAGGAAACAGGTGAAGAGTGAGGAATTCCTGTGAAAGGGCTATTCGAGTGAAAGGCAAAGGTATGCACAGTGGTTCACAAACCTTGCACAACAGAATCACTTGAGGAGCAGTTAAAAGATCCCCATGGCCACGTCACACCCCATGCCAATGAAATCAGAGCATCCGGGCATGTGAGCCAGGATGAGTAGTTTTTAGGATGATGAGGAGACTTCAATGTGCAGAAAAGCTTTCGGATCTCTAGTACATACTGGTATTAGATGGATTAGAAAATTTACAGCTAATGAGAAGGGAGGCTAGCATAGTGGTTCCCCAGCTGCAGCATGCGTCAGAGTCACCTGAGGACTTGCACTCTTTGATGAGCACCATCTCCAGAGTTTGATTCCAATCGGTCTGGGATGGGGGCCTGACAACCTGTGTGTCAAACATCCAAGTGATGCTGATGCTAAGGGTTCAGAGCCCACAGTCTGAGAACCACTAAACTTGGGAGAGTATGGTGGGAAAAGAGGGAAGATAAAAGCTGTCCTTCATAAAAAAGCCAAAACGGAACCCCTGCAGGCTTTTTTCTTTTTTTTTAATTTAGGTTCCCCAGACTTATAGACATGGGGCAGTTGGGGGAGGAAAGAGAGGGTGGGACGAATAAGTGAGTAACACAGAAATATATACATTACCGTAAGTAAACTAGATAGCCATTGGGAATTTGCTCTATGACTAGGGAACTCAAACCCAGGCTCTGTAACAACCTAGAGGGGTGGGATGGGGTGGGAGGTTCAAGAGGGAGGAGACACAGGTACATCCATGGCTGATTCATGTTAATGTATGACAGAAACCAATACAATATTGTAAAGCGATTATCCTTCAACTAAAAACAAATTTAATAAAAAATGGAGGTTCCTTTCAATTACAGAAGAAATACATGCTTATTACATAAAAAAAAGAAGCATCAGAAAGAAAATAAAAAATGATACATAATCCTATTCCCAACGATAACTAGTATTAATATTTTTAGCATGTTTCCTTTCACTCTTTGTATTTTAACACATGACTGACATCACAGAGTATATAAATTTATACCTGAAATTCATCAAAGATTTTTAGAACAGAAAAGTAACAGTATTAGAACAATATCTGGAGAAGAAGATCTCAGAAATGCACATTTAAGACAACAGAAGTGTGAAGTTCTAAGAATCTAAGGTTGGCGACAGTTATAGAAATAGCAAATATGAAGAAGGAAGTGGCAACCCACTCCAGTATTCTTCCCTGGAAAAAGGCACGGACAGACAAGCCTGGCGGGCTGCAGTCCATGGGGTTACATGACTGAGCACTCACACATGGGAAGGGTGGAGGGAGACGGGTTGGTAGCAATAAACTGGTAAAACCAAAAAAAAAAAGAAAAGAAATAGACACACAATGTGGGCAAAAGAATCAAGACAACACTGAATTGCACAGTGAGAGAGGGAAAGATGACTCCAAGACAGCGACTCTTAACCTTCTGTGTGTACCAGAATTATCTTGAGAACCTGTTAAATATACTGGGCAGCGACCAGCAAAGACTCTAGGTAATCCAGAAAACAAGTTTGACAAATGCCTCTAAAACTTTAAGCAGGGGACTTCCTGGCAGTCCAGTGGTTGGAGCTCTGTGCTTCCACTGCAAGGGGGCATGGGTTCAAGCTCTGGTCAGGGATCTAAGATTCCACATGCAGTTTGGCCAATAAATAAAAAATAAATAATATGTAAAAATCATAAACAAAAATTAAACTTTAAGCAGGTAAAATAGGTGATGCTACTAAAGAGAAAAGGGAAGTAAGAGACTCAGAAGAATAAGAATAAAATCAGTTTCAAGAAGTTCCACGGTGACCCAGAAATCCCACTGCTGGGCATACACACCGAGTAAACCAGAATTGAAAGAGACGCGTGTACTCCAATGTTCATCGCAGCACTGCTTAGAATAGCCAGGACATGGAAGCAACCTAGATGCCCATCGGCAGACGAATGGATAAGAAAGCTGTGGTACATTTACACAATGGAGTATTACTCAGCCATTAAAAAGAATACATTTGAATCAGTTCTAACGAGGTGGATGAAACTGGAATGGAGCCTATTATACAGAGTGAAGTAAGTCAGAAAGAAAAACACCAATACAGTATATTAACGCATATATATGGAATTTAGAAAGATGGTAACAAAAACCCTATATGCGAGACAGCAAAAGAGACACAGATGTATAGAACAGTCTTTTGGACTCTATGGGAGAAGGCGAGGGTGGGATGATGTGAGAGAAGAGCATTGAAACATGTATATTATCATATGTGAAATAGATCGCCAGTCCAGGTTCGATGCATGAGACAGGGTGCTCAGGGCTAGTGCACTGGGATGACCCAGAGGGATGGGATGGGGAGGGAGGTGGGAGAGGGGTTTGAATGGGGAACACATGTACATCCATGGCTGATTCATGTCAATGTATGGCAAAAACCACTACAATATTGTAAAGTAATTAGCCTCCAATTAAAATAAATAAATTAAAAAAAAAAAGAAGTTCCATGGAATGATGGAGCATGCTGAAAAAGTCTTCATATCAGGGCCCACAAATTTAAAGAGAAAATTAGTGCCCAGAATTACTGGTATAGAAATGGTACACTGCATCACATAAAAAGATATAAAAGTGAATGTAGAATACATGAAGAAAAGAACAGATGTGAGGGGAATCAACGTATAAGGAATACAACAGAAAAGGGAAAGGGGAATAATTTTTTAATTGTTGGCAAACAGAGAAAAGGATAACCAGGTGAGAAAAAGATGATGGAAGGCAAAGCAAACAACACTTTAAATGTAGGTGACAATTTCAAACTAAGCCAACATTTGGTTTGAGGATGAGAAATATGATGTGACAGGTTGTGTTAGAAAATAAACTTCAGATACCTTAGAGCAGGGGTTGGCTGATCTGCTCAGCCACCTCACTGTTGTCAGCAGCATTGGATTCCCAAGAGCTCAGAAAAAAGAAATTATCAGGAGAAGTAGGGAACTCAGTTGAGACCGTAGACCCTAGAATAAGAACCTCTGAATAACAAAGGAAGAGTGCCCAAAGCAGAGAAACCCTGCAATTTAATTTTAACTTTTCAGACTCTGGAAGTTTGTTCATATTTTAAAACCCGATGTATACACCACATACCATTACTTGGTTAAACGGAGATGTGCTTACCTGGACTAATTTAAACATTTCATCTTGGAGCATTTGTCTAACAGAATCAGAAGACTGTGATAACTGAGCCCTGGGTTCATTTCTCTGGGTTGGCTGAGCTGCTGGTCCAGGTGTTTGTGAAGCCACTGTGACTCCATTTGATGCCAAAGGTGGAGCTGAGGAAGATTTCTCTTTACACACAGAGATTGGAGTACTATGTGGAAGCATATAAATAAAAAGCACACATTAATCAAGAAAAGAAACACATTAGGTGTTTATGAGCTGAGTATTTTGATCCTACTTCTTTATTCTATTTTAAAAGCTTTCTGGAAGTTTTCAGGAAATCTAAACCCTAAAGCCTATCTCACTGTATCCCTCAGCCCCCAGACACATTTGTTATTAGCAGAGCTGTTCATTCAAATGCCATAACTAAGGGACATGCTGTGTCAGAAAATAAACTTCAGATACCTTTGAACAGAGGTTGGCGGGTCTGCTCAGCCACCTCACTTTTGTCAGCAGCTCTGGATTCCCAAGAGCTCAGAAAATGAGCCACGGCCATGGCCCCTGCCCTATGGTGCTACAATGCCCAGGACAGCTTACACATTTATTTTACTTGCCTGGTCCCTGTAGGCACCTGAGTTTGAGACCTGTGCAATCATTCTGATTAGCTGGACAGACGATGTAATTTGGCTTAGGAATATATTTCTTGGATCAAATTTAAAGATCCAGAGTGGATTTAAGAAAACTGTGGAAAGTATGGGTTAAGAAATATGTTTAACTCTGGGCTTCCCTGGTGGCTCAGTGGTAAAGAATCCACTTGCCAAGGCAGGAGACACAGGTTCAAACCCTGACCCAGGAAGATCCCACATGCCACGGAGCAACTATGCCCATGTGCCACATCCATTGAGCCTGTGCTCGAGAGCCTGGGAACCACAAATACCAAGCGCGTGTGCCCTAGAGCCTGTGCTCCACAACAAGAGAAGTCAGCGCAATGAGAAGCCTGAGCATCACAACTAAAGACTAGTTCCCACTTGCTGCATCTAGAGAAAAGTTAGCACAGCCACAAAAAACCAGCACAGCCAAAAATAAATAAATGTATTTTTAAAAATATGTTTAGTTCTAACATGGGTAGAGCAAACTCCTGCTGTTCTTCAATAAATGTGAAACAATGGTATCGTGATTATTTCACTTCCAAACAAATTAGAGAGTTTACATTAATAATTAAATCCTAACAAAAAATGCTCATTTAGAAATAAAAATTAAAAGTCAAAGTAAGTTTTTGGTTTTAAATAAAATGACTGTTTGAGGATGATTCCTTAAAACACAGGAAGTATTCAATGTTTTATAAGTACATAAATTTAGGGAGCAGGTACTATCATGTCCAAATGAACTGATCACTGTCTCTAAAAAGAAAATAACATATTAAGCTGTGTTTAGATTTATTTGGATTTACACTCATTCCCTTTCAACAATAATATAAGCCTTTTTATTAAGCATGTGCTCAATAACAGAATTTATTTGGATTTACACTCATTCCCTTTCAGCAATAATATGAACCTTTTTATTAAGCGTGTGCTCGATAACAGACATTACAACTTACTTGCCTGTTTTAACACAACTTTATTGGCCTTTGTGTTTTAATAAGTAGCAAGGAGATAAATTCTAATTATGGAGAATTTTTCTAAAGCAAATTTATGCTGTATCATTCTCTGATTTCAACACCATTTATACACTTCAACCATTGGAAAAGAAATTCAAAAGACAGAACTGGATGACTACTCTCTGAAAGAATAAAAGGCATTTCATATCTCATGAGAAATCTGCTAAAGGCTGAAAATGAGCAAGAACTACCTCTTTCAATAACATACCCATGACCTCTCTTTTTCGGAAGAGACTTGTTCTAAAATAGTTCCTGCCTGTCTTTAAAACACAACTGTTACAGGAAAATCTTTCAATAAGAAATGTAAAGTTGTCAGAAATGGATACCTATTTTGATCTTTCAATGTGTAATGTTGATTTCATTTTACTCTCTTGGTTTTTGGTCAAGATGTTTAGTAATTGCTTCAAAATGGTATAGCAGGCATCATTTTATTCTCTTTTCTATTTGTAATTATATCAGAATGGTACAGTATGCAAAAATGCTTACCTAGAAACTTCTGAATTTGTATCTACACAAAATGAATGAGGAATGATGTGTTCAAGATGTGTAGAGGCTTCGATCATACTATAATTAAAGATTAATAATCAATTAGGAAGATACTCTTCACATTATCTAACATACAGGTGATCTAAGGCTCAGCCATCTAAGAGTCTAAACATCCTCTAATCTTCTGTAATGCTTAGCTCATAATTACAATCTATTTACATTTGTCTCCATAGCAACAGTAAGAGATTCAAATAAAAGCAAAGAATATGTCTGGATGGCTTTAATACATGACTTAAACATTATTAAATGTTTGGCAACAGAAATAATATAATCTAAAATGAGTGGAAATGAAGTTAGCTGGGACCTCAAACTTCACCTGGGAAGAAGCAGACACTTTGCTCAGGACACTACAGAGCCCATTATCCCATCTGAAACTGCAATGAATGGTTTTTTATTAACAGAAATATTTATATTACTTGTAAAGACACAGGACACTAAACATATTCTTTTATTAACTATTCACAGAAGGCCTGAACAAAATTTGTACATAAGAGAAAGAAAATTGGGGGAGGGAGGGTAAAAAAAAAAAAGAGAAAATTTAATTGAGTTGCCTCCCTTAGTCAAAGTAATTCTAAAAATTCAAAACGTCAAAAATTCTAACAATTAAGAAATCATGCCCAAACTGCAACATATGGAAACTGTCTTCAGCTATCCTTGAAGCAATAATAAGCTAGCAAGCAGAGTATGTGTCCATCGAAGCCCCGTGGACAGTGTGCAATGATCATACCACAATAGTGAAAGATCATACACATATGTTATGACTAATATGATTCTTTACTTTTACCCAATAAAAATGAAACTAGTAGGGAAAGGGAGGACCTTAATTAGCAGGTGAATAAACTCTGGGTATTTCTAGCTATATTTTAAGACTGATAGTGATAGAAGCACAAAAGGTATTTTAGACATCATTATTTACCTCACTCTATCAAAATTTAGAAGTATAACATTTACCATTATACTTTTGCTTTACTTTTTTTATACTTTTTCATTACCATTGCTATTAAACTGAAGCTACCATTTCACCAGGAATGCAGCATCACTGTAAAACATATACTGTCAATCATGAGGAAAAAGAATCCTCTTCATCAAGTGAATCCCAGGTGAGCCCTGAAAGCCCCCCAGACTTTTCCCCCTTACCCTTTCTGTTCAGTTGATTCTTCCTCCATACATGTCTCCAATGGTCCTTCCCTTAGACACTGAGCCTCTCCGGTGGAATGCTGCTAAAATTAACAGTACCCAAAAAAGAAAAGAGGTGAAACAAACAGGTATTGTTGTCTTTGGTATCCTGGGTTTCACATAGCCAATCGCCTGAACAAAAACAGTCTGAAAGCAAGTGAGAAACCAAACACTGAAATGTACTCCCGGTCCTGCTCTGACTAGGTCTTCAGCCTGTGATGCCTCAAGCCCATCACCTTAAGCCACTGAGCATATTAAACTGCAAAGACAAATGATGCCACTAGAAATCATTTACAATGTATTTATGATGTATCTGTAAATTACACATGCATTACTACCTAAGTACAACAGAACTTTGAACAACTTGGATTTGCACTGAGCAGGTACACTGAAAACCGATTTTTTTTCCCCAGTAAATACATTACTACACGGTATGGGGGTTGGCTGAGTCCACACCAGGCCCAGGAACCAATCTTCTGTGAACACTAAGAGACAACTGGACGTGCATTCTTGACTGCACGGAGGGGACGAAGCCCCTAAATGCCACGTTGTTTAAGGGCCAACCGTACACTATGAAAACAACTAGAAAATGAGAAAAAAAGAACAAAAGCTAATCCCTCTTAAAGGAATTGTTTCAATAATTAGAAATGTCTGTGTCTTACCTGGAAATCCAGTGTATAGAGTTTTGAGAAAACAAATAATACATAAAAGTGCATGTATGTGCAAAAACTTAACACTACTGATGAACTTATACATTTTGAATAAGGAACACTTGCAGCACTCTTGGCTAAATTAATTTACTACAGCAATTTATGAAATTAACACTTCATTGCCTGAAAGTATTAGATCTTACTAGTAACAGAATTTCTGTGAAAGAAAAGTGCTGCATGGCTATACTTTACAATTCACAGTATACTTTTAAGAGACAATAGCCTTGGTTGGATATACTGAATAAAAACACTATCGTGTTACCATAGTATGATTTAAACAACTTTATATTTATGAAGACTTCCCAGTGATTCAGTGGTAAAGAATCCATCTGCCAACACAGGAGACCCGGGTTCAATCCCTGGGGTGGGAAGATCCCCTGGAGAAGGAAATGGCAACCCATTCCAGTATTCTTGCCTGGGAAATCCCATGGACGGTTGAGCCTGGTAGGCTGCAGTCCATAGAGTCACAGAAGAGTCAGACACAACTGAGCAACTAAAAAACGACAACAACAACCCATATTTACATACTTGCCTCTTCTAAATGCTGTGGTAAGGTCTGCATCTGCATATAAACGGCAATATTGGGACTTTCCACAGGTTCTTTGGCAACCTCTTTGGCATCCTCTATGGGGAAAACACAGACCTTCTGAAAGTTAATCAATCTACTTTTCAGAAGGTTCGGGAATATTACAGGAAACATATGATGGCAGAAACATTTCCTATCCTCCTTACAAAAATATTTTTTAACACCTAGAGACAACCCCTCTTCACCAAGTGAGTCCAGATACACCTTGAAAGGGCTTATATCAGTGCATATAATTCTAAATAAAGCCCTGAGAGCTGCTGTTTTAAAGAAGTCTGCCAAGGAAAGGTTCACAGAATTGGTTCACAGAAATGAAGAGACTCATAATAATTAACACAGCAAGGCAAAAGACCCCAAACTCAGGTTACGAGTTAATATGCTTAACATTTCAAAAATATTAAATTCTCTTTAAACAACTGGATTTAGGCTATTTTATAAACATGACAATTTAGATATAAGACTAAGTTATCTCATGATCATTCACCCTATCAAGTCAGTAAGGTCAAACAAAAAGATTAGTTAAATGAACTGACCTTCACAGTCTGATGGGTATATATCCACTTCCTCCTGTGTAAATGCTTCTACTTCTAAAAGATCCTCATCGATATCTACAAATTCTTTTTCAGTATCATCAGTGACAGATATAATCTCATCTTTGGTTCCTTTTATTTCAGGATTTTTTACCTCTGTTGATATTCTATTGACAAAAATGAAGCAGCTAAAATCATAACTCATACTTGGGAACAAAGAGTTTGCTTTCAATGGATTCAGTTAATTGAAAAAGAACAAAGTAAGCTTTCATACTTATGAGGTCTTTGTTTTAACCACATATGGCACATAGCAGAATATCAATAAAAGGTTAAAATGAAGAATAAAAAATGAATTTGAAAAGGTTCAACGAATAACTGAATATCCCATTTTTATTTACTCAGATTAGAATAATTTCAGCTTATCTAAATTTCCCATTCCCATAAAGGAATCTTCCTGCTACCAAGCCTTTAGCTTTGGTATAATATATACCAATAATATATCAAGGATATATTCCTCATAGTACTACATATTATGTAAAAATGGATGAGATGGTTAGTTCAACTTTGACACAGAAAGTCAATGAACATAACAAAGGGATCTCTTGGGATGAATTTGCTCCTGTCTCAGAAGATATACACTAGACTAACATGGAAAGAAACAAAATTTGTGACATATTATTAAAATATTTCAGAAAGCACTCCTTGCTGCTTCTCTAATTCAAAGAAACGCTCATTTCCGTAACTTTCAAGAGTTCAATTCTCCTTCAAGACCAAACATCATCAAACAAGGTATTTATAATCAGCAACTTACTTCAAGATACTTTGACAGGATTCATTTTGATCATTTATTTCCTCAGTCCCACCTTGAGTGGATACTGCAATAGAACAGCCAGCATCTGTTTTATAATCACTCTCTATACTGGGTCCATTCTGAGGCCCAGAGGAATTATTCTCTAGCACCTAAAACAAACCATTTATAGTACTTAATATTCATTACTGAATCCCTTACTTTTCATTATACTTTTAGATTATTAATACTTTCTACAGAACTTCTGATTAAGTCTCTTACTCATTTATCAAGTATTCATTGCATTTCTCATACTCAGTATCTGATGCTAAAGCAATGGCTAACTCATTATTCCACCTAGAAAAAACAAGCTTGACTGCCTTGAGTATTCAAAAGAAATCAGCCTTACAAACTTGAAAGGTATTATCACCAATGTTCTCAGGCCATAGGACAACAGAAATAAAAATGTAAAGTTTCTTTCATTTCACTTTATTAAGACATTTAGTAATATAAATGTAAAAACCACTTGTAATATCACTTAAAATTATCTCTTTTTTTTATTTTGGCCATGCCATATAGCTTGCAGAATCTCAATTCCCTGAACAGGGACTGAAGTGCGGCCATGCCACGGACAGTGCCAAATTCTAACCACTAGTCCACCAGGAAACTCCCTCTTTTTCTTTTTCATAAACACACATGAAACCTCAAAATCTCACAGACTCTCTGAAAGGTACTTTAACCCTAATAAGTCATTTCTAAGAATTAAAGCAACTACTTTAAAAAATTAGGTGATACAGATTATAATTAGCATTGTCATCAATTCTGCTACTTCTTGATTCTTTATTAGGTAGGGAAGCACAAATACAGTTTTAATCTAAAGTAAGAATTTTAAGTTGTATCTGATCATAAGCAATTCAAGCATTTACCTTAACGATGGCATTTTTTGCCTTATATGTAGCAAGATAGGGTTGTTCCAAAAGCCACAATGATGTAAGAATGGCAGCTGTAGACGTCTTTACACGAATGACAGGACTGTACCCACAGGATGGCTCAGTGAGGCCAGAATCACAGAGCAGTCTTTTATCAGACCATCTTATCATCCATTCCAATAGCCTTCTTATATTGTCACATGTGTTACTTAGTGCTACAGGAAGATCTTCTTGAGGGTTAATATCATTGCATTGAATTGCTTTGAAAATACATCTTCTAGTTTCAGCGGATTTGGGAATGCAAACACTATGGTTTGACAATCTCTGTATTAAAGTTTTCTCTGCCTTGTCATCTTGTATTCTATAAACTGACTTCTGTTTTAAACCGAACAGCCCACTCTTCCCTTCATTTTTATTGACTTCATTCAAAGGGCTCTTGGAAAAATGCCTGATCCCTTGATTAGCTAGTACAGAAGCCGAAAGTGTCTGGTTTTCTGATTTTTCACACTCATATGACTCAGGAGCAACAACAAAGCAGGAGCCGGCCCTGAACACATTCTGGCTTTTGCTTTTGCCCTGACGTCGTTTTAACGTTGTATGTACATCAAAAAGTAAAGAATTAAGTTCATGTTCTCTAAGATATCCAGAAAAACTAGTTAGAAATGGAATGCCAGCATCCTTGGAACTAAGTAGGTCTCTTTCAAGAACATAACTCAAGAAGAGTTCAAGGAATTTAATATATTCGTCATCGTCACGTTCAAATTCCCAAACACCTATTACAGGAAGTGCATTTTGTAATAACTTTTCACAATCTTCTTTTCTTTTAGGGTTTTCCTTTTGATTACATATTTTTTTACCTTTGGGCTTACCAGTCAATGCCAATTCCATGTGATTTTGGGCACTTCTGTAGCAAAAAAAAAGTTTGAAAAGACAAAATTAAAGATCATTTAATCACTAAAACTGATTGACAATAAAAACTCTCTCCACGGTTTAAGTCATACCTATCATTTTTTAATGCTCTGATTACCTGTCTTGCAAATGAGGGAACTGGACTAAATGATCTCTAAGCATGTGTTAGAACTGAACATTCAGAGTGCAAAAATTATAACAGTAATATCAAAAGAGAAATCTGATATTAAAAAAGACTAAAATGTGTTCACAGAAATTTCACTATAAAAAACATACTTTTTCTGGGCAAAAAAAAATGGTCCTCTAACAGGTCAGAATTTAGGAATATAAAATCAATAAAAATTACAAGCCAATACACATCTTAGTTCATGGTTTCCAGTTTCTTTCTTGAATCTTTCCCTTTCAGTTTCCCTGTGTAATAAGCAAGGAGTAGGACTGCCCTCAGGATTCTTTAGCACCCAAAAGTCATGTATTTTCTCTGAACACTTTCTGCTGCTATGAAACCTGTTGGGCAGGCACCTAACCATAATTACTTTTATTTTTAAATTTTTTTTCCATAATTACTTTTAAATCTGTTTCTTTTCAACATGGTTCACAGGGAAGAACACAGATCCCTAGTTCCCTCAATAAAAGAAATAAAAGTTCCAGTTAGGCACCTGGGCTGAAGCCACCGTACCTCTTCCTATTAAGACTGCATAGCAAGCAGCCTCCAAGGTGTTCCTGTTCTAAGACTGCAGTTGTGTGGTGGAGCAAGCACACCATTCATAATACTGCTAGTTACTGTCTAAGCAGATGTTTGAAGTAGACAAAGTTGTCTGGTGGAGCAAGCACACTATTCATGACACTGCTAGCTATGGTCTCAGTAGATGTTTAAAGTAGACACCATTTCACCTAAACAAGATATGACTGACTATATAGTTCTTCAGTCATGAGAAGGATAAATTGCATTGTACATACTGGAATTATAAAGGAAAAAAACTGTTTAAATCAAAGTAAAAGAGGTTAAAATGATAAGCAAGAATTTCTCGACAATTTATAGACAAGCTTCAAAGATGAATGTGTAAAAAAAAAAAATGGATGTTCAAATTCCTGCCAAGGAAACCCTAAGAACAACAGAGTGGGTTGCCATTTCCTTCTCCAGGGTATCTTCCCAACCCAGGAACTGAACCCAGGTCTCCTGCATTGCAGGTGGATCCTATACTGATTGAGCCCCTAGGGAAGCCCCTAAAAACAATATAGCTAACCAAATAATCCTTAACTATTTAGGTCTAAGATTACTAAAAGAACTAAAAGTCCTCCAGTAAATTCTAGAATTTCATCTACTCATCTTATTTTATACCTTCAGATGGAAAAATTATTTAGTATCTCAGTAATACTTTAAGTCGATTTTCAAATGTAAGGTCTCATTTTACACTTCTGACATTCCTGTGAGTACAGCACTTATCATTCACTGTTAATAATACAGTCAGTGAGGTTGCTGGGAGTGGAAGTCAGGTCAGAAGTTGCATGAAAATACTTTTTTCCCCAAAGGAAGTGAATGTTTTCTACTTAAAGAGATCTCAATTGTACCTTCGATAGAAATGTGTCCTGCTTTTTTCTTCAGCTGACAAAGCTTCTGAGAGGGTATCGGCCATATCTGCATCACTGTGAGCCAGAGAACTGCCCAGTTCTGTGAGTGTGCTCCTGCTCAGACTAGTTCCCAAGGAAAACCTGTCAAAACCTGCAACCTCAGCTGGCTTTTCTTCTTCAATTGGCTCCCATATATTCATTTCGAAAGAACCTATATTTCTCTGCACACGTTTTAGGGCTTTCACCCTCACTTTATGGATAGAATGCATGATAACAGACATCATCTCCTCTGTTTGGGGACCTAGAAAGAAAAGAACAAAAGTCCTTACAGTTCATTAAAATATTTCAACTCAAGACATAAGGGTATCCAACTCTGGTCCCCTGCTGGGAACATGAAATCTAACTGAGGGCTTAGTTTCACAGTCTTATAGATCACGGCTTCTTCAAAATTTGTTAGCAAGTTACGGTCCATAATTTTAAGGTAGAAGCTAGAAAAAGTCCATTAAAGAAGAATAAGTGGGACTCCATAAAAAAGTATGCCCTGGAAAATGAAAATGTTAGAAGTAATTTATTTCAAAAATCAGATAATTATAAAAAGAATCAGTAACATTTTTCTCATTCCCACAAACAAGAGGAAATAAGTACATTCTTATCCAAAGAACAAAAAAAACTATTTGACTTCAGATAACAAGAAACTGTTACCAGTAACAAAAAACGGTCTATGGGATCGCAACAGTCAGATGCGACTTAGCCGTAGTGACTGAACCACAAACCATACAACAAGAAACCACAGGAAGGGGAGTTTTTCAAGACTGCCTACAGAAAATTTTTAAATATCATTAATACATAAACAGGACATTTTAGGGATTTCAAAAATGTCTTAAAAATATAAATCACCAATAGAGTATAAGTATACTAATAAAATGCCCAAGCATAGGATATTACTAGACTTAAATACTGTAGTTCTACAGAGAGCAATTTGAATTCTTTAAAAATGTCCACAACATTATGAATTTACAGAAATAGCTCACTTATTGTACTTCACAGATACTGCACTTTGTAAAAAACTGTAGGTAAAGGTTTGGGGTGGTCCTTCATCAAGCAAGTCTATTGGCACCATTTTTCCAACAGCATTTACTCACTTCATGTCTCTGTGTCACATTTTGCTAGTTCTCACAGTATTTCAAGCTTTTTCATTATTATATTTGTTATGGTGATCTGTGATCAGTGATCTTTAACATTAATATTGCAAAAAGATTATGATTCACGATTATGATTATGACTCAGATATGGTTAGCATGTTTTAGTAATAAGGTCCTTTTCAATTAAAGTTTTATATTAATATATTGTCTTTTTTAGGGCACACTTAATAAACCATAGTATACTGTCAACATAACTTTTATACACACTAGGACCAAAAATATAAATGTGACTGGCTTTACTGCAATATTCACTTTATTAAGGTGGTCTGGAACCAAAGGTATAATATCTCCAAGGTATGCCTGTACTTAATGCCATTGAACCACACATTTAAAAACATTAAATTTGATATTATTTATATTTTTCTACAATAAAAAATTTTCCAAAGGTCATCTTGAATATAAATAACTGTAAATTAGAAGCATAAATAACCATAAAAGGAAAAAACTAGTTTTCAATAAAATATCTGCATTTTATATATATATATACATGAAGCATTATATACTCATTTTATATATTTTATCTTATTTAATCCTCTTTCAATATACATTCATAACAGGTATTAATATACTCATTTTACAAATAAGGAAAAGAGGCTCAGAGATGCTGAGCAACTTGCCTATGGTCACATAGCTACTAACTGAAAGACATGACATGAAGTCAGTTTTGTATGATTCCAAAACAACAAAATTGTTGGTAGTGTAATGAGAAAGTACTTCTGCCTTCTCGTACTCTTCATCTCGAAAGAGAAACACATAAAAACATAAGCATTAAAAAATAAATGCTTTCAAAACAAAATGAAAATTTTCAGCAATTTATCAGATGCCTAAGAAATGACAAAAATTACCTTTCACAACACAGTGTCTGAGTCTCTGCTGAAGAGAGTGATATTTTTCTCTTAAAGAAACTCTTATGTCCTCAGGATTGGGAAAGGCCTTCACAAAAATTTCTGCTACCTTCAGAAAAATTTTAAAATGAGTATTATAAGCAACATCATTCTTAATTAAAACAAAATTAAAATTCTTTAAACTCTCTGATTCTGATTTAATTTATTTTCACCCACCTTTCTGATTGGCGGAAGTTCTGCAATGAGGCTCAAAATCAGATCCTGAATAAGTTCTTCAATATTAGAAAACCGAGAGAAGGGCAACATTCTGTAAGCCCATTCCACTGCATTGAGACAGTGCTCAACCAGACAAGGGTCAAAGTTCACTTCAAGGTCCTGTATGGATACCGAAAGGACCATTTGCTTTTCGCTTTAGACAGACTATAATGATTTAATAATTTAACAAAATGCAGTAACAAACAGTAAAATATTCTATCAAGCAATAATTTCCCAAGTAATATTTATGCATTTTTCTTACTCTTGTGCAGTTAGTACCTTCTTTTCCTCCACACTTTCTCTTGCCTTCTGATACTGCCTGCAACTATAGGACAACTTATCACGGATATGCAGCATCCAACACAAAGCACAAAGTTCTCTGAAGCAACCTAAATCAGGAATGGAAATATGAGAGGAGATTGCATGAGTATATACATCAATATTACAACAACTTCACCTCTGCTAGTTATTTTCCAAAATAAATGTTTTTATATTGTTGATTATAAAAGAAACATGCTCATCCTCAATACTTAGTATAAAAGTTGTGGAGATCCTTACAGAATTTTTACACATATTATTCCAGAATATTTCCCACATGTCAGTTGCATGAAAATATTAAAAACACTATACAGTAAATAAACTACTCTATTTACTAGTAGTTTACTTGCTTTAAACTTAATAGTATGTTGTGGATATTTTTCAAAGCCAATACATACAGCTCTACTTAATATTGTATTGTTAATTTATTTGAAAAATCATTTATTGATAAGCATTTAAGTTCAAAATTTTTCAATACTAGAAGTATAATTTCCAATACAAAACAATTTTTTATCAAAAGAAATACAAGTACACAAAAATATATAAAATTATACTATCTATACAATTTTGCAACTACCCCTCTTCTTCTCGCCCCCCACCCCAAATAATGTATCTTGGATATAGTTCCATGGTGGCAACATACACACACTACCTTTTCCTTATCAGTATAGTATTCCATTACATGAAAACGTCCCCAAATCAACTGTAAAATATATCATTATTAATATTTAGGCCTAATTTCTCAGCAAGCAGTTCATTCTGGACAAACCTATTGCTTTAACGGACGCTTCATCAAGCTTCCGGTCTCCAGCTGCTCCAGGTCGAAAGAATGCTACACCTCCTTTACAGTAATTAAGTAACGACTCAGGGAAAGGACTCAATGAAGGAAGGGACCCTTTCATGCGAATCTGTAAAGAGAGACAGAATATGTTAATTACCAGTCACATAAGTTAGTTTTTAAGGAAATTATAAAACAACAAACAAAGCATGAAAGATAAACCATAAAGAATGGAAAACACAGCACTGTCCCTATACTATGTAACAAAATAACACAGAAATCACTCATACTTACACAAACTTAGTGGACAAACTCAACAAATTCACTGGCTAAATCTCAAAAAAGTTCTAACCAAATTAACCTCTTTTGTCATTCAGTTTTTACCTAAAAAGTTTTGTATGAAAAGAACTTAATGCTATTTATCCTGGCTTTCCCCAAAGAAATAATAAAATAAATTTAAGTATCTATATGCAGAAAAAAAGTATATTTACATACATAACTTTTTTAAATTAAAAAAAAAGTTATGTATGTATGTAACTAAAAAAAAAAAAAGACAATTATAGTCATCATACGGCAACTCCTGATAAAATAATAACTCTAGAAAGGATCAGTAAATGCCAAATAGGTAAAATGTCGATGGACTGGTGAGAACATGACCGTGGGTGGAACATGAGCCAAACTCATTGATCCATCTCACTATCAGGATAAGTGAAGAAAAAAGACACAGGTACCACATGATACGCTGCAACAGAGGAGTACACAGCACCACTACTGAAGGATGGAATTCTAAGAAAATGTGAACCTGAGTTTAATCAAAACTGGCTACCTTAATGAGGAGAGAGTAATTACTGCCTTGTAAGAAATAAAAGGAAAGAGGAACACATTAAATGACACTAAATTAAAAGATGATAGACAAATCCAACATGTGATTCAGAAACAATTCCCGAGTCTAACAAATCAAGGGGAAAAAAAATGTCAAAGGAAACTGACAGAATAAAACAAAAAGGATCTAAGACACATAAACCAGGGAAGAAAAGAGTTAGCAGCAGGCTTTTGATCTATTTTCTCCCTCTACTGTTCACTTACAGAAAGACGTGATCTAGTCAAGTCCCCTTGTAAGCGTGCTAAGCATGTCTTCTTGTCAAACAAATTAACAGTATTTACCAGAGGTAGAGTCTGTCTAGTCTGGTTATGAGAAATAAATTTAGAATATATAGATTTATGGATTATGAACCCCTGAAAAACACAAGCAATATAATTAAAAAGACATAAAAAGGAGATGTTAAATAACTGAAATAGCTCCCTTTTGTGTCATGGTGTTAAACAAAGGCCAGGACACATTCTTCTGCAGTGAGAAAAGATTTGGAGCAGCGTATACAACTCCATCTTTCCAGGTAAGTCAGTAGTAAAGAAACTGCCTAGCAACACAGGAGATGCAAGAGATGTAGGTTTGATCCCTGGGTTGGGGAGATCTCCTGGAGTAGGAAATGGCAACCTATTCCAGTATTCTTGCCTGGAAAATTCCGTTTGGCGGAGGCTGGTGGGCTACAGTCCAAGAGATCGCAGTCGGACACAACCACGTACAGCATGGCACAGCAGCAGCAGTGCATGCAATTCCAGGTTTCTCTACATTTCATCTGCACCTTTTGGCTACCTATATCCTTGAAATTATTGGTAAACTTTGATCCATGGAGGAAAAACATAGGAGACAGGCAGGGTGGTCTAGTATTCCCATCTCTTTAAGTTTTCCAGTTTACTGTGATCCACACAGTCAAAGGTTTTTGCATAGCCAATGAAGCAGAACTGAATGTTTTTCTCGAATTCCCTTGCCTTTTGTATGATCCAATGAATGCTGGCAATTTTATCTCTGGTTCCTCTGCCTTTTCTAAATCCAGCTTGAACATATGGAAGTTCTCGGTTCACGTACTATTGAAGCCTAGCTTGGAGGATTTTGAGTGTTACCTTGCTAGCATGTGAGACGAGTGCAACTGTACAATAGTTTGAACATTCTTCAGCATTGCTCTTCTTTGGGAATGGAATAAAAACTGATCTTCTTCAGTCCTCAGGCCACTGCTGAGTTTTCCAAATTTGCTGATATATTGAGTGCAGCACTTTAACATCATCCTCTTTTAGGATTTGAAATAACTCAGCTGGAATTTATCACCTCCACTAGCTTTGTTCATAGTAATGCTTCCTAAGGCCCACTTGACCTCACACTTCACGTATTCACTGGCTCTAAGTGAATGACCACACCATCGTGATTATCAGTTCATTAAGACCTTTTTTGTACAGTTCTTCTGTGTATTCTTGCGACCTCTTCTTAATCTCTTCTGCTTCTGTTAGGTCCTTGTAGCTTCTGTCCTTCACTGTGCCCACCCCTGCAAGAAATGTTCCCTTGGTATCTCCAATTGTCTCAAAAAGATCTCTAGTCAGATGTTCTAGCGGAAATTTATTTCTAGGCTCTTTCAGGTTGTTTGCAGAATTCTGTTCCATGTGGTTACAGGACTCAGATCCCCCATTTCCCTGCTGGCTACAGGCTGGGGGACTATCAGAAGTTTCTAAAAGCTGTGTTCCTTGGATATTGGCCCGCTACAAAGCCAGCAAGGTTGAAATGAGTCCTTGTTACTCTTCTAATCTTCCGTTGTACAGCTCTTCTCCCGTCTTCCTTTTCCACATTTCACTGACTGACTCCTCCACCTCTCTTTTTTGCTTCTAAGAGGTTTTCTGATTACACTGGGTCCACCAAGATAAACCAGGATAATGTCTCTACTTTAAAATCAGCTGATTAATACCATCTGAAAAATCCCTCAAGCCAAATTAAATCAGTATCTAGATTTATGTTTGAATAGCCAGAAGACAGGAATCTTGCAGCTATTTTTAGAATTCTGCCTACTACTTGTACTATGCTTTAACCTTATACAGTTAACTTATTACTTGTAAAGATTTTCACAAGGAAGAATATCTTCAGCAGAGTGGCTAATTTTAAGAGAATCTATAGTCTTTATCTGCTAGTTCAGTTCATTGAAACTAGGTTAAGTGAGATTCTTCTCAGAAGTTTGTAAGACCAAACATAACTTAGAACTTTAAACAGTTTTCTACAGTAAGCAACTTCTAAAATAAAGTTTCCTATAACAAGCACTCAGGCTCAATAGATCTTAAAACTGTCAAAGACAATCTTTCAATAAACACTTTGCCCTTCTTAGTAAACATACTTAAAAACTTAAAACTTCAGGATGACAAGTTATAAATGAATATAGTTTTATATTTTTATGGTGGCTATAAGCAACTTTCACAAATATTTCTAAAAACAGAATAATTTTCAAAAACTTTATAAACAACTTCTCAGGGTCTCTTAGGGTTTCTACTAGAAAAGAAGCCATAAACTCTTGGTACATTTAGTAATTTAACCAACAGCAAAATTTAAGATATTTGGGGGCTAATAATATTTACTTCTACATTTTATAGAGACAGATGACTGGCCTACAAAAGAACTGGATCTGGATAAGGAACACAGAAGTAGATATCCCATCTGGCTGCACATCAGATAAGAAGCCAGCTACGTCTCAGCTGAAGTCAGCGTAGAGGAGGACAACAGCCCCTGAATCAAAGTGAACTGCACATCTCAGAAGACAGGAAGGGGGAGACTGACTGGTGGAGACTACTGCAAAGAAACACTTAGCCAAGAACTAACTTTCCGTGGTCTGACCCCACAGAGGCCCCCAGAGAACAGAGATAACATCTCGGGAAGAAGTGGGATAAACCTTGAACTGAATTTAGATCTTTAATGACTGTGGGGGAGAAAAGTAATTGGGGGAAAAAAAAAAAAGTAACCGAAATTTCCTGGGATTAACTGACTAGATTATACTCCTCATCATCAGACGGGAAGGAGCTAACACAGAGCTCCAGTTCAGGGCCCTTATCTTTCAGCAGAAAGACCTTGGTCTGTCCAGGGTTTCACCCTGTAAGCCATCCTGACATTTATGGATTTATGGGGCAGGACTCCTTGGAAAAGTATCACAATTATAAATACCAATAAGTATTAGTATATTTAAATTGTTCATGCCAAGTCGCTTCAGTTGTGTCCCACTCTGTGTGACCCCATGGACTGCAGCCTGCCAGGCCCCTCTGTCCATGGGATTCTCCACGGAATAATACTGGAGGGGGTCGCCACGCCCTCCTCCAGGGGATCTTCCCAGCCCGGGGATCGAACCTGAGTCTCTCGTGTCTCCTGCACTGGCAGGTGGGTTCTCTACCACTAGTGTCACTGGGAAGCCCTTTAACTTGTTTACGAGAGTTTTACTGAGTCTAAGCTTGTACTGCTTGCCTCACAACAGGCCGAAAATTGACAGATGAGTTGTTGGGGCAAGGAATAACGAGTTTATTTAGAAAGCCAGCAAACCAAGAAGATGGTGGGCTGGGGTATCAAAGAACCATCTTGCCTGAGTTAGAATCCAGGCTCTTTTTGTATGAAAAGGGAAGGGAATAAAATCAAACACTCCCCGTTCCCATCCACCTCTGGAGAGCATGTGTTAAATTCTCCCTGCCCATGGTCATTCACAGGTAGGCCTGGTCAGGATATTTTCTGTGAACTAAACAAAGGTGTTTTAGCTTAACGCTCATGACTTGGGAAGCAAGGTTCCCAGAGATAGGCCATTATGTATAATTTAAGCTATAGGCAACATCCCTATAGTGATTAACTCATAACAGAATACAGAAGGTTCTTCCCTATTGCAATAGCACACGAGTGACTAAGACATTTCCACACCTTTTGCATGACTTTTCTTGCCCATCTCAACTGCAAGATGTACCACTGTGCTACAGGAAAAGAACACCGAGCTGCCCGGAAAAGCAAGAGAACACGCTGAAGGATTCCAGACACCTTTTGGCGATTATCTTTTTCAGCTTTTAAAAGAAGATCATCACCATCTTCCTGAAAAAAAAGAAAAGAAAAAAAAATTAGTAGCCAGGAAAATGGAAACTTAAAATGTTAAAGTAAAAATAAAGATAGTGCTTCACAAACTAGACTATTCCTGGAGATTCACCAAGTTTTGAGGCATGGCCTCAGAGATTAACTACAGCTATTTCCAGGGTCAAGGAAACACTTGTCTCACACCTCAGTGTAAAGGGAAAAATCAATCCAAATCCAGTTCTTTGGCTACAACAGTCAAAGCCCAGCCCACCATCCCTGACTTAACTGGGGGAACATTACAGAGATGGCTCCTTTCAAAAAGAATGCCTCTTCCCTTCCTTTGCCTAGAAAAATCCAATTATATTTCAGTGTCACCTCTTCTGTGAAACTCTTCCATTCTGTGGTATTATAGCAATTTGCTCAGATTTCCATTGTAGCTTTTACTAATTTCTTCATGCTAATTTATGTATCTGTTTCCCACACTACTGAGACGGGTCAAGAGCAAAGGCCTTGTCATCTACTGCACAAAATCCAACGTGTGGTGGGATCCAATAAATGTTTGTTGATTCAATACATGATACAAGTCAGTAGCTACAGATTAACTTTCCAGAAATGAGATAATGCAAATATTATGAACATTTACTTCTCTAACATTTTTCTGCCACTGCCACTTCTTAAGAATACTCAGTTATTTTGGGGGAGGCATCTGCCCCTTTTCTGCATATCTAAATGATTCAGGGAGAGCTGAATCACGTCCCCATGTCCCCACGTTCCCATGTCCCCAGCTGCCAGGCAAAGCCGTAATCAATTGCCAAGCAGCACTGCGCATTTAGCCCTAGCCAAGGTGTGTGATTCCAGGACTGGACAGTGACCTTGATGGGTCTCGCAAGAGTAACTCTCAGTACTCCTGTTTGGATGCTGGGAGAGAAATACTTTTACTGCTTTTCTCTCTCCTCTTTCCACTCCCTTTGGGCATGGACAAAGTATCCTGAGAAGCTGCTGGTAGCCATCCTGCTGCCACAAAGGGAGCCAGCCTTAAACTGAAGCTGACAATTTAGAAAACAAACTAGGGAGAAAGAACCCAAGTCTCTGGTAACATAACTGGACTCCTAAATTATGCCAGCCAATACTTAGCAAGTTTTCTGTTACTTTCAACCCCAGGGGTTCTAATTGGTACAGAGTGACATTTAAGAGAAATCCTACCATTCCGTCTTATTTTAGTAAAAAATAATAAAACAAAGTACTACTAAGGATAGCTACTACTCAAACTAGTATCAGCACAGCATATCCAGAAATATATTACATGCTACTTCTAATCTCTAAACCAATATACTAAAGACTCAGACATGAGAGGAAAGAGGAAGTACCACAGACTACTTATTCTATTCATGTGCAATATATCACATGTGAAATATCAACAAATAAAATATTTTAACATATTGAAACATAACTTGAAATATAACAAATAAACAAGCAATAAATGCTGGAGAGGGTGTGGAGAAAAGGGAACCCTCTTACACTGTTGGTGGGAATGCAAATTAGTACAGCCACTATGGAAAACAGTGTGGAGATTTCTTTAAAAGCTGGAAATAGAACTGCCATATGACCCAGCAATACCACTTCTAGGCATACACACTGAGGAGACCAGATCTGAAAGAGACACGTGCACCCCAATGTTCATCGCAGCACTGTTTATAATAGCCAGGACATGGAAGCAACCTAGATGCCCATCAGCAGACGAATGGATGAGGAAGCTGTGGTACATATACACCATGGAATATTACTCAGCCATTAAAAAGAATTCATTTGAATCAGTTCTAATGAGATGGATGAAACGGGAGCCCATTATACAGAGCGAAGCCAGAAAGATAAAGAACATTACAGTATACTAACACATATGTATGGAATTTAGAAAGATGGTAACGATAACCCTATATGCAAAACAGAAAAAGAGACTCAGATGTATAGAACAGACTTGTGGACTCTGTGGGAGAAGGCGAGGGTGGGATGTTTCAAGAGAACAGCATCGAAACATGTATATCTAGGGTGAAACAGATCACCAGCCCAGGTTGGATGCATGAGACAAGTGCTGGGGCCTGGTGCACTGGGAAGACCCAGAGGGATGGGGTGGAGAGGGAGGTGGGAGGGGGGACCGGGATGGGGAATACATGTAAATCCATGGCTAATTCATTTCAATGTATGACAAAAACCACAGCAATGTTGTAAAGTAATTAGCCTCCAATTAATAAAAATAAATGGAAAAAAAATAAAAAGAAATATAACAAATAAGAATATAAAAAATAACTAAAAAAAAAAGACAGACTTAATAGATAAAGATAGAAGTTGCCAATTCTGAAACAGTAAGTAAAGAAACAATACCAGAATCGATTTAAACTGTTAATCAAATAATAAAACAATTTAAATGTAAACAGTTCACATTAACAGTGTTAACCTTAAAACCAGCTAATTGTAATGTTACTATTTTCAAAAAGAGCAGAGGAAAAGGTCCTGAGAGGAATACAGTAATTGCTATTTATAAGACAGAATTATCAATTGAAAAGTACAGAAGTAAACAACGATCTTTCCAATCAAAGAAAATCAAACTAAGTCTTTCAAAAGAGGCAAAGACAATGAGATGAATGGCTTCTAAATTCTGACACTCATTATTTTTCTACTGTAAACAAATGTTTATTTTTAAAATAATATCTGATACAGAGAAATACCCATTTTGTTTTATTATCAAAATAATTTTAACATTTACAGAATGTTTACTATGTGTCCTAGACACTAAGGTAAAAGCTTTTTCAGGATCCTCGTGTAATACTCACAACAACACTATTAGAGGTACTATCACCTTCATTTTACAGATAAGAAACTTAAACATCAGTTGTGTACAATGCCCAAGAAAACTCTCAGTTAATAAACAGCAAAGCTGGAATCCAGAAGTGGGCTTCAGAGCTTGCATTTTTAACTTGATGATTATTATCAGGTTGATTATTTTAAAAAGTGGACAAAAATTAAATTAAAAAGTTAAGCTTACTTCACTAAGAACAGCTGGCTGAGGACAATACAATGGAGGAGCTGGAAGATACAAGCTGACAGGCACTAAGCCCCACAGTCTCTTACTGAAGTCCTTGGCAGAGTTTATCAGAAGTTGAAAAGTCTCTGAAAGAATATCTGCATCAGCCATAACTGCTGCTTTCAGTATTTCCTGCACAGAGCTAAACAGCAGATCCGCATCTTCTTCTTCAATGGGATCTGCCAAATACAGAATTAGGGAAAGCAGTTACAATTTATATTATACTTTCCCTTCTATTTTGTAGTTTAAAACATCCTATCTGAAAAAGCTGACTGCCAAAAATAAACATACTGGTCAACATGTAAAACACCCAAACTTCCGGACAGAAACTTAAGATTTTGTTGCTTTTAAGATTATAGGTAGGGAGGGGGGACCGGGATGGGGAATACATGTAAATCCATGGCTAATTCATTTCAATGTATGACAAAAACCACTGCAATGTTGTAAAGTAATTAGCCTCCAACTAATAAAAATAAATGGAAAAAAAAAAAAAAGATTATAGGTAGTCAGAGTTCAAAGACTTTCCAAAATTATACAAGATACTGTAACACAACTACATAATAAAAACATGCTTGGAATATAATCATGACTCAAAAAATAATAATAAAAGGAAAACATTAATGCTGCTGGTGCTAAGTTGCTTCAGTCGTGTCCAACTCTGTGCGACTGCATACAGTAGCCAAACACGCTCCCCCGTCCCTGGGATTCTCCAGGCAAGAACATTGGAGTGGGTTGCCATTTCCTTCTCCAATGCGTGAAAGTGAAGTCGCTCAGTCGTGTCCAACTCTTCGAGACCCCATGGACTGCAGCCTACCAGGCTCCTCTGTCCATGGGATTTTCCAGGCAAGAGTACTGGAGTGGGGTGCCATTGCCTTCTAAGACTGGGAGCAGTCAAATAAATAAATAAACATTTAAAAAAAACACACAATTCAATGAGTTTTGGCAAATCTATACAGTCTATGAGAACATATTTATCACTCCAAAAAGTTCTCTCATACCTCTTTGTTGTCAATTCCCCCCCTTACTCCTAGGTAAACACCGATCTGTTTCCTGTCCCTATAGTGTTGCTTTTTATGAAATGTTATATAACTGGAATCATACAGTGTGTAGTTTTATTTCTAAGTTCTTTCATTCAGCATAATGGTTCTGTGATTCATCCACGTGGTTGCATGTTATCAGCGGTTTCCTCCTCTTTATTATTTATTATTCCATGGTACAGATAAATTACAATTTGTTTATGCATCCACAAGTTGATAAGCATTTGGGTTGTTTCAAGTTTTTGGCTGTTATGAAAAAGCTATGCACATTTACATACAGGTTTTTCAGTGAAGCTAGATTTTTATTTTTCTTGGGTAAATACCTAAGAAAATCTTTAAAACTTTAAATCTGAGCCTTTAAATGCATATTTTTATATTTTATCTAGAAACACACTGTATCTAGGTATTTATTGTGGGAGAATTTTCAGATCATCAAAAAGACATTACGTTCAGACTGGGAATTTTTTAGTCCTATTTTTTTTATTTTTTTCCCCCAAATATTCACAAACGTGTGAATACATAAAAGCTTTTTAAAATACCATAAACTTTGTATTAAGCTGATACACATGTTGACCATAGATAGGTAACTCACCTGTAAACTGTTTGTATTTTGAGCCCATTTCATTTTTTGCTTCCGAAGAGGCTGGCTGACCTAGGAAACACTGTAGTTTTTCCTGAAAAATCTGTGCTGGAGTTATATTTAATGGTAGAGTCAGACTCTTTTCCTTGGATCTGAAATCACATCAAATTAGGGGAAAATAATTACAAATTTTTAAAAAAGGAAACATATACACATCAGGAACTAAACATGAAATTTTTAAGAACCAGAGAAGTCCACATTATTCATCTTGTGTTTAGAAAAGAAATAACTGAGGAAATGCTGTATTAAGGAGAGTACTGAGGCCTTCCACAATTACATTACTGATACAGCTACCCATCCTTAACCACCCAGTACTGCCCTACATACAGACTCTCTCCAAATGAAACCATATGTGTCATATGGAATGTTCTCTCTCCCTACAGCTACTCACTTTATCAAGATTCCATCTTCCCTTCATCGCCCATCTCAAATGGCATCTCCCACATAAAGTACTTCCTGTCTTTCCCTCACTTGATATTATTGCTCTCCCTCCCACACCATGGATGGGCTTCCCTGGTGGCTCAGCTGGTAAAGAATCCGCCTGCAACGCAGGGGACCTGGGTTCGATCCCTTGGTTGGGAAGATCCCCTGGAGAAGGGAAAGGCTACCCACTCCAGCATTCTGTCCTGGAGAATTCAAAGACACAGCAATGCCGTAATATTCATAAGAGTTAAAGTGCAGGGATTAGTTTGAGTAGCTTAAAATGTAAATCCTGTTTGGGAAAGAGAAAACTGTCCCATTGGCTATAGGCCCTTTGAGGGCACTGCTAACAAGCAAAAGTGCTAAACAGATGTTTAAATACACTAAGCAAGCCTCTGAGCTGTCTAACAGTTGACACTAGCCACAAGAAGCTCTTCAAATTTAATTAAAATTAGATTGAAAATCCAGTTCCTTGGTCTTATCAGCCACTTTTCAGGGGCTTAATAAATACATGTGGCTAGTAGCTATCAGACTGGACAGCACATACAGAATATTTCCATCACCAAAGAAAATTCTATTGGACAATGCTGAACTAAGGATTCCACAAAATGTGTAAATACCAGCAATGAGTGAAATAAGAAACATTTTAGATAACACCTTCATACTTTTTTTTAACTTTCAGTTCAGTTCAGTCGCTCAGTCATGTCCGACTCCTTGAGACCCCATGAATCGCAGAACGCCAGGCCTCCCTGTCCATCACCAACTCCCGGAGTTTACTCAAACTCATGTCCATCGAGTCAGTGATGCCATCCGGCCATCTCATCCGCTGTCGTCCCCTTCTCCTCCTGCCCCCAATCCCTCCCAGCATCAGGGTCTTTTCCAATGAGTCAACTCTTCGAGTGAGGTGGCCAAAGTAATGGAGTTTCAGCTTCAGCATCAGTCCTTCCAGTGAACACCCAGGACTGATCTCCTTTAGGATGGACTGGTTGGATCTCCTTGCAGTCCAAGGGATTCTCAAGAGTCTTCTCCAGCACCACAGTCCAAAAGCATCAATTTTTCGGCTTTCTTCACGGTCCAACTCTCACATCCATACATGACCACTGGAAAAACCATAGCCTTGACTAGATGGACCTTTGTTGGCAAAGTAATGTCTCTGCTTTTTAATATGCTGTCTAGGTTGGTCATAACTTTCCTTCCAAGGAGTAAGCATCTTTTAATTTCATGACTGCAGTCACCATCTGCAGTGATTTTGGAGCCCAAAAAAATAAAGTCTGACACTGTTTCCACTGTCTCCCCATCTATTTGCCATGAAATGATGGGACCAGATGCCATGATCTTAGTTTTCTGACTGTTGAGCTTTAAGCCAACTTTTCTACTCTCCTCTTTCACTTTCATCAAGAGGCTTTTGAGTTCCTCTTCACTTTCTGCCATAAGGGTGGTGTCATCTGCATATCTGGGGTTATTGATACTTCTCCCAGCAATCTTGATTCCAGCTTTGCTTCTTCCAGCCCAGCGTTTCTCATGATGTGCTCTGCATATAAGAAATAAGACTTGTGTCTAAAAATACACACCTCGTGAAATTGCTGCCATGTTTGCAGAAGAGTTGAAAAGCCACACCAACAGAAATAGATGTCTTCCAGTCTCCAAGTTTATGTGCCAACCACACGGCTTCTGGAACCAGGCCACCAATCAATAATAATTCAAGGGCATATTCAACAGTCCACACATCGGAAAGATTCTGCTCTCTGACCACACTGGTCACTTTAGAGTGTTGCAGAGGAATAAGTCGAAAGGGCTGCTCTGTGAGTAGATGAAAGAAAATGGATTAACTACAATTATACATAGGAACTCATGCCTCCTTACACAGATCTCCTTAATTAGTACTTTCTACACAAAACCACAACAAGGAAGATACATACAAAATGGCCTAAGATAATACTTAACACACTCTAGAATAGCTTTTCTTTTTTTAAACACTGAAGAATGTGTCTCTTTAGTGGGTCATGCAGCAAATGCTGGCATTCCTAAAAACATGACACCGAGTAGGCAAAGAAACAGAAGAAATAGCATCAGAGTGCATTACACAAAATAAAGGTACATACATCCATCAGATAATATAAGGAAATGATTAAACAGAGCAAAGAAAAAATGATCCAAATAAAATAATAAAAGTAAAATGTCCAGAAATTAAATTCTAAATTAGAATGAGTTTGAGTAAACTCCGGGAGTTGGTGATGGACAGGGAGGCCTGGCATGCTGCAGTCCATGGGGTCACAAAGAGTCAGACATGACTGAGCGACTGAACTGAACTGAAATTAGAATACTCAAAATCTGTTCAATTACCACATTTTTATAGCTCTTTTACTTAAAAAAAAAAAAGGAAACTGTATAAATACCAATGTGTCCAAAATTTGCAATTAAAAAAATACATATTCAATAAAAACAAGTTCAAAGCAATTACCTTTCTCAGATTATATTCATTTGTAAACAGTCATCTGAGTATCTCCTACATGTCAGGCACTAAGCTAGACAGTATTATTTCCACACACCAATGATCACTGTGTAAAATGGTTTTAAATATTATGTGCAAAAACAAGGTGAGAAAATTTGTTTACTCTATTACCTGTTTTAATATGAAGGGGAGGAAGAACATTCACACTGTGAGGTGGCAAAATGCACAGCAGCTGATTGGTGAAGTAGGCAGCCATGAAGCGAGCCATGGACTGGACCACGCTCACCGCCGCTTCAGAATGAATACTTCCAGTCACCCCAGACTCACAAGGAGATGTCTCAGGAACTGCAGGATACACCAAATGAGCAAAGGAGATTCTGATCAAACTAGCAAAAGTAGGAATATTTAAGCTCCTAATACGATGCAAGAAGAAAATTATAATTAAAACTTTTTTCCGAGCTCAACTCCCCTGGCCTATACAAGGTAACTTGTAACAGGTATCTACATTTCTTAAAGACAATAGAACAAAAAGAAAATAATAAGCTCATAATTATCAGCACATACACTTAGGAACTCTTATGATTTCAAGTTACCAGTTTTATCTAAAAACATGGAAGGATCTATACAAACAAGCCAGCCATAATGGACTTGCAAGCTTATCATTTCTTTGTTTTCCCTTCTTCCTACTCGTTCTCATTTTCTTTCTTTGGTGCAAGGAGGCAGAGTTTACTACAAAGATAATCTGAGAAGAGCCAGAACAGTGATTCTTCATGCGTGTTTCTGTATTATTAGTATACTCCCATTCGTAACATTAACTCTTTACTATTAAGATTCTTTTGGGAGGTATGAACAAGGGGAACATGTAGAATGGAGGGAGAAGGCAGAGGAGAGAGTTACATTATGATTTCTAGAGTGATTCTGATGTAAACTAGAGTAAACATGTCATCCCTATTTAAAAACTGAAACTTAATAATATAAACTGGAATCAGATATTTGAAAATAAATAGCTAAAGACTATTGAGTGAGTGAAAGTAGCTCAGTTGTGTCCAACTCTGAGACCCCATGGACTATAGAGTCCACGGAATTCTCCAGACCAGAATACTGGAGTGGGTAGCCGTTCCCTTCTCCAGGGGATCTTCCCAACCCAGGGATTGAAGCCAGGTCTCCTGCACTGTAGGCAAATTCTTTACCAGCTGAGCCACCAGGGAAGCCCATACAAGATAAATATTAAATTAAGATTAATTTTTATGAAATTTATGGCCCCAACAATGGCAAAGTATCCTTCTTTCTCAGAAGTCACTTGCAATTCGCAGGTGTTCCAGTGGTTAGGGCTCCATGCTTCCACAGCAGGGGGCCCGGGTTCAATATATACCAAGGCCTGTGCATTCTCTGTGAATCACTGAACTTGGGGAGTAGTCCTGGGGACTCCTGACCAAGAGAGGATATGCTTAAAATACTCTAAACAACTATCATTAAAAATGAAATACATTACTGTAGGTTCAATTCATCTTGACAGTTATATCATATAATGACAATACTGCTGGAAAAAAAATCCAGTCAGTTAAAAAGTCACACATAAGAAAAAAAAGTCACATACAAATGTCTTCCACTCATATACAGCGAACAGTCCTTTCAGAGGGCAATCAAACACTAGGCATCAGAAGTCTTGACTCTGTAACCTCATTTCTTAACATTTAACATGTAGACATTAGTAATGCTCACAAAAATTTATGTATACTGCAACATTATTTAAAATAGTAAGTAGGTGGTAACAATCTAAAATATGTAATAATGAGGAAAAAACTTACTAGGTTTTTTAAGAGAATATTATTTACATTGGAAAATATTCACGATATTAAATGTAAAAGATTGCAAAGCAGAACATTAGCTCTGGTAATAAACATATATAAATGCACATAGACAAAATGGTAGAATTAAAAGTGACTTTATTTTCTTCTTTAAACCTTTTCATATTTCAGAACTGTCTAAAATGAACCTGTATTACTATTAAATAAACACAAATTTTAAAAGACAAATAACATAGAGTAAAAAAATCCATAAACAGTGGTTGCATATGGTATCACTTATGTATGGAATCTAAAAAGATAATACAAATGAACTTATTCACAAAACAGAAACAGACTCACAGACTTTGAAAACAAACCTATGGTCACCAAAGCGGAAAGGTGGGGTGGGGGAAGGGATAAATTAGGAGTTTAGGAGTAAAATATACATTCTACTATATATAAATTAATCAACAAGGGCCTACTGTATAGCACGGACAACTTCAGTCAGTATTCTGTAATAACCTACATGGGAAAAGAATCTGCAAAAGAATGGATATATGTATATGTATAACTGAACCATTTAGCAGTATACCTGTAATGCAATATTGTAAATCAGCTACACCCCAACATAAAACAAAAATTAAATTTTAAAAATGCGGAGAAAATAGAGGAGTCCTAGAATGAAATCTCACAGTGTTCTACCATCTGTGCTCAGCCACTCAGTCGTGTCTGATTCTTTGTGATCCTTAGGGGCTGTGGCCCGCCAGGCTCCTCTAGGGGGTTCTCCAGGCAAGAATTCTGGAATGGGTTGCCATGCCCTCCTCCAGGGGATCTTCCCAAACCAGGGATCGAACCCGGGGCTCCCGCACTACGGGTAGATTCTTTACCATCTGAGCCACCAGGGAAACTGAAGAATACTAGAGTGGGGAGCCTATCCCTTCTCCAGGAGATCTTCCCGACCCAGGAATCGAACCATGGTCTCCTGCATTGCAGGCGGGTTCTTCACTGGCTCAGCGACCCAGGAAGCCCATTCTACTATCTATTTCACCTTAAAAAAAAAAAAAAAGGAACCACAGTGGCTGAAACCAAACAAACTAATACTGTTCTCCTGGACAAAAATGATAAACTGGTAAAAATCAAAGAAAGAGTTTTACAAACCCTCTCAAACTATTTTTCAAAGCCTTTTGTAAACTAATTTCTTTTGATCTCTACTTTCCATCAGTAAATGATTTTTAAACCAATAAATACGCAGTTATTAGGAAAAAACAAACAAATACTCCACTTAGAGTCATGAACTCCATTTAGAAAGTACTGACATATTGGCCTTTCTGACACACTCATGTGCAAAGTATACATCTCATGGTCTACCACTGTAAAACAGCATTATAAATACATTATGTGCTCATTCATGTAGATGTCTTTCACTCTGCTGCTATTGCTTAGTCACTAAGTTGTGTTTGCCTCTTTGCGACCCCATGGACTGCAGTTTACCAGGCTCCTCTGTCCATGGACCCTACAGGCAAGAATACCGGAAGAGGTTACCATTTCCTTCCCTAGAGGATCTTCCCCATCCTGGAACTGAACCGCTGTCTCCTGGGTCTCCTGTATTGACAGGCAGATTCTCTACCACTGAGCCACCGGAGAAGCCTATCTTTCACTTTGGTTATTGCTTAATTTAAATACGCCTTTTTAAAAAAAGGACAATCCAAATATTTTATAACCTCTTAAACAGATTTTTAAAAGGCCCTGAAAATGTCTGAAAGTGATTTTGATCACTTTAACAAACCACCTTAAGCAACCATTAGAGAAAATACAAACATGTTAAGGAAAAGTACCTGACATTGGGTACCTGACATTATGTCTAACAAACAGGGCTGTGAGACATGAGACAACAATTATAACAGTTTAGCAGGCAAGTACCACTGAGCTGAGAGACTCAAAGGTTAAAAACAAGCAAAAACATGATCTTTGCCGCTGAGAAGCTGACAGTCCAAAAATTCACCACAATGCACCAGAGCAACCAACTTTTATGCATAAGCAATTTCATAGCTAAACCTGTAAATACAAATTGCTAACATGAAACATACTGATTTTATATTGAGGAACCAAAATACATTAAACCCAACAGATGGCATTAAAAGACAAACAAACAAACAAAAATACTGATTTTTGAAAAGCATACCTGAACAATCTTCATTTTCTTTTACAGGAAGGTGGGACCATTTCAGTATTTCTCTTACTAGCTGATCACATAATCCTTGAGCATCATTTAAATTATAGTTATAGAGGTGGCAGTATAAAAGAGAAAGATAATAGCGAAGCTGAAGAAAACATGTCCTTCTTCCTCCTTAAATAGGGCAGAATTACATTAGAAAACATGTTAGCTAAGTAATGTTCTTGATCTGGGTGCTGGGCAGACAGAAATGTTCAGTTTATAAAAATTCATCAACTGTACACTCGTGTCATGTGAACTTTTCTGTACCTGTTTCACAATTGAGTGAAAAAAAAAACAGGTCAGCAATGTTTTGTTCTTTTTCATTGTAAATTCTTAACAATTTTATTTTCTGTGGTCAGGTCCTAGGATGACTAAGAATTTATCCAAAAAGAGGTGCAAATACTCATCTCAGTACTAACTGAGGTCCACTAACAACATCTCTCTCAAGTACACATGGTATGAAACAGAAGGGCACATGCTAAAGACACAAATTAAAAACACACACAAGAAACCACACATATATCAGACAAAGAGACTTTCCAGAGAAGAAATACTATCGAATAGGACTGGATCCCTTGACCACTGTCCTCAAATATCTAAAAGGTGCTTAGGACTGAGATTGCTGGTTACCTACCCCTTATCCACCATTCTGAGTGAAAGAATTCTAATTTTATTCGGGGTTCCAATGTACTCAGATCACAATTTCTTTGCTAGATGTGGCCATGAGAAAATATGACAAAGTTCTTAACCAAAAGATAATATAGTGTAGAGCTGCCAGCCAAGCTGCGTAAAGAGAGCTATCTCAGCTAGGAGGTGCACCTTCTCTTGCCCCTCCTGCCTTCCTCCTTTCTGTTACCTGGATTATGTACATGATGGCTGGGACTCCAGCACCCATATTAACTCATGCAACAGCCTTAAGAGTGGAAGCAATGCACTAAGGATGATGGAATAGAAACACTAAATAAACTTGAGTCCTTGATGAGACCACAGAAATCCCAAATCAGCCCCAGACTGTCAACTCCTCGCCACCTTTCCTAAGAGAAATAAACATTTTGTTGAAGCCAGTTACTTTCAGTCTCCATTACAAGAAACCATTCCAAATGGATACAACTGGAAATTAAAAGGTCTAGAATAAAACTTCTTATGAAAACTTTTCTTCATGAGAACTTCTCATCACACTGAACACCACTCTTCTTCATCCAGCTGTACAATCTCCAAATCTGAGAACTACATGAGACTTCCTTCTCAACTCAGTCACAAGTTCACTTGATCAAACCTATTAAACATCTGACAAATGTGACTTTTGTTCCCCAGAACTGTTGACGTTGCTCTGCTTCAGCACCTCTTCAGCTGACTAATTTTCTTGCTTCTAGGTAAAACCCACATCTCTATAACACACTCCTACAAATGGCCCTCTGTAATGTACCAAAGTGATCTTTCCAAATGGCCCATGTCTATTTGAAAAGTACTCTTTCTGTATCTTAACAGATCCCACTGTCTTCAGGATAAAATCTTAATCCCATGGCACTGCAAAGTATCTTCCCTTATCACCTGTTCTCTCCTTTCACTTCAGCGCTCACCACCCTATCCTCAATATTTCATATATGTTTCAAATAACCTGGTCCTGTTGAACTACTTGCAATTTACCAAACTACCATGGTTTCTCATGTCTTCTTGCTTCTGGAGTGCTCTATCCTCTGCTACACCATTCCCACGCCTTCATCTGAACAATTTTCACTCAGTTTTACATGTCTGTTCCTCCAGGTTTTCTCCAGACTGATGTTTGCACTCGAGGTCAGACTGTGTGCTCCCCCAGCAAATACCATAAAGCATAATGAGAAACATGCTAGTTGTTTATGCAATCTATCCTCCACACTGTGGGCAATTTGAGGGCAAACTTGTCTATTTCAGTTATTCTTATTGTCTAATACACATAGCAGGCCCTCAATACATAGCCACAGCAGCCAGAAAACAAATTTAATAATTGGTCAAACATGACCAGTAGTGGCAGTCAAGGTTAGCTCCAAAGTCCTGGCTGAGAATCTCTATCATCTTATACCTTCAGCCCTATATCATAAAAGCTATCACCAGTTTCTAGAATCCACACCCCTATTTTCTCATCAAAAACTCCATGTAGCCCCATAATAAGTCTAACTCACAGGAAATTCTTAAAGCTAAATTACTTAAGGGTAGAGAACCTTAGCTTCAAGTTTCTCTAAGTTGATAAGAGCACCTTATTTGACTCATAGCATCTCATGGAGATACTTGCAATCTTACTAAATGACATCTTTTTTTTAAATTTAGAATTTAAGTCTCTTTTTTTCCCATTACCAATCAACCACAGGTTCCATCACTAACCAAAAAAGGACAGAGGAGTCTTATCTACAGACAGGATAAAAAATTCTTGGTGCTACAAATTCCAAGACTAATTTTAAGTAACTATTTCTAACAGTCAAGGTACTTACAGTATGTATTTTATTTAAGCATTAAGAAATTGTCAGTTCTCAGAATCTGAAATCATTTTTAAGAACAATCAGCATGCTAAACTATGGTCCCACTAACACTATGGCAAATAATATTATTTTTAATACCCCCTACCTTTCTCTCCTACCTTTCTCTTGGGTTTCTTGTAGAGCTTTCTTCCATATTTGAACAGATTTTTCATATGATCCTAGTAGGAAATACTCTTCCCCTACAAAATTTTTAACCAACAGTTAGCCCTGGTTAATTAAATTACTTTATAAAAATTTACTTGTTTTAAAATTGAGTGGATATAGCTCGGCCAGAAATTATTTTGAAAAGAACAAAATAATTACAACCAATTAATAAAATCAAAGCCAAACAACTTTCTATTGCTTACGCCTGGGGTTAGAAATTGTTTATAAGATACTGACCATTGATAGATTTAAGTTCTAAGGTCTGGTTCAAGCGAACTCCAGCAGTCTGCAGTTCAGCCTGTATATGGCATAACAGGGACTTGACAGCAGATGTTTCATGTGTCATCTTTTCAGCTAACTGCATGCCATCTTCAGGAACTCTTTGACTTAACTGCGTTTGATACCATAAAGTCTTACTGTACAATATTCTCCAGAGAACAACCAATCTGCACACAGAATAAAGTAATCATAAAAATCAAATTTCAGACTAGGGATAAGAATGAGTACAGCCATTTTTTAGCCTTTATTAAGAGTATAGCTAATGAATATAGCCTCCTCATTAGCCTTTTTTTCCTCCATGTATTCTTCCCTGAGGTAATAATATGCATACAACTGATCAAAGATAGCACAGAGTCAACAAATGCACATTTTTAAAACTTTCATAAATGCTTTACACACCTGTGGTCATTTTTTTCTATAATGCTTATCTAAATAAAAATCTTTTAATAGTATCATGATTGCCCAAGACTAATAAAATAATGTGTGTTGAAAAATGTTTGGCATAAATAATTTTAAATAACATAAAATCTATGATGCTGAGAGCTAATGGTACAAGGTTTCTTTTGGGAGTGATAAAAATATTCTGGAAATTGTGCTACTCATTCTACAACCTTGTGACTATAATAGAAATGACTCACTTGTACCCTTTAAAATAATGAATTTTACAGTATGGGAATTATATCTCAATTTTGAAGACTCTACAATGCTGATGGTCTCCTAACAGTAAAGTCATTGTACCTGCGTCCTGGCTGTTGCACAAAATCTAATAATTGAGGACGAATCTTGAAAGATGAGTTCCAAGACCAGTTTTCCCAAGAATCACTATCTTGAAACACTTGAAAAATGGGTAACACCAATGAGTCTTGCTTCACTCTTCTACTTCCATCAGCTGATGTTGAAATAACTTCAGGCTGAAGACTGTACACGCCATTTAAATGATCAGCTACCATTCTGAGTAAATGAAAACAGGCTAAAATCTTCTCTGAGAATAACTGATCCTGTTGTTGCTGTGTTAGCAAAAGCTTTATAGTATTTGAGGTCAGCTTCACCAAATGTCCTATATCTTGCTTGTATCTCATATCCCAATACTGGATTGATAAACACTGATGAAAAAGTTGAAAGATACAAAGTACCCATGTATTATGTTTTGAGCTCTTGCTTAAAAAAAGATCAAGTTTGGGAAAAGGACATTTTATAAACTGAAGAATATACAAAAAATGAGTGATACAAACTACTGTGTAATTTAACATTAAATTTTTTTCTGCCACATTTTTTGAAATTCCTATAGTCCATGCTGCAAGGAGATTTTTCTGGACAGAGTGCAGTTCTGTAACAGCTTTATCTGTTTCCTCAGTATTATCTTTTGCATGTATCGTATCAAACATAGAAGCAAATTCCAATCTTCCCTCATCAGCACTACTAAATAACAGACCATTTTTTTGGTTCCAAAAAGAGAATAAGCTGTTTGGAAAACATCTGTCGTCATCAGTCTCTTCTGCTTCAAAATCCTAAAACATGAGTGAGAAAAAAATTTTTATATCATTTAATTCCTTACAAGTAGAATCAGTTTAGTGCTATCAGATTTCTCTTCTCTTTAATAACAGGAAATCAAAATATGTTTTTTGGAATAAAATCAGTACATAAGTGTTCAAAATAAATAAAACATTGCTAGCAAGTACCTGCAGGTCTGCTGTTTCTTCATTTAACTTCAATGTTTCTTCTGCTTGTAAGAATTTGGGAACAGTAGAATCAGCTTCATTTTCATTTCTTTGGTGCTTTAACAAGCTAGATCTTAGGGAATTCAATGATCGCAAGTTCAGACCTTTGCCTTTTGGCTATAGAAGAAAGAAGATTTCCAAGAGCAAAGTTTTACCCTTAACTGTATTACAATTATAACTTCTATAGACAAACGTATGCAATCCAAGGACACCCCTGTCAGTACAGTTTTAAATTTAAAAAGACTGAGAATGTTGACATTCGGTAGAAACCAACACAATACTGAAAAGCAATTATCCTTCAGTTAAAAATAAATAAATTAAAAACAAGACTGAGAAGCCAGCTTTTACTGATGGTACCAAAGAGCACCATACCTTACACAGTATCACACTTTCGTATGTTTTCTCAAGCCTCTGCGTTGAATCAAGTAGAAGGGATCTCATGAGCACTGATGGAGACAGATTATCAAGAAATCGAAGGGTTGTGACCATGTATCCATCAGAAACAATAAGGTAGGGTAATCGTGAGTGTGCTTTTATAGAGAATCTCTGTCTCATAGGGTCATTATCTGAAGCTGATGAATCTACAGAATTATTTGAATCTTGAAGTGTAAACTGCTGTGGTCTAGCAAACAAACATCAAAATTCAAGAATTAGTAAGAGGAAAATCTTTTTTAAAAAGTTACATTATTTCAAAGAAAAAACAAACATTTCAGAATGATGAAAAAGCAAGCAAATTAAACAGAAAAATATTAAATGTGCACAGATCTGTGAGAGAAACATAAGTAATTAAATAATACAGAGGTTGGTGGGTTTTTTAAAATTTTCCAAGAATTGTGGCATATACTCTATTGTTTGTAATACTGTTTGTAATCCAGTTTTATACCTCTTTTAGAAAAAAACTGAGGCTGTTATTTCTACTATTAAAGACAGTTAAGCTGTTAATTTTCTTTCTTACTATATATTTAAATATCCTTGTAAGAATATAAATAGGAGCTGTGAGTATTCTTGTTATTAAGAAACATTTGGAGAGGATGGTGATGAGTAAAATTTTATCAGCTTAAGGTTAAATTTGACTGAGTTTCCATATAAATGTAGTTATTTATTGTTACAATGGTATACCTAATTCTGATTACTTGGTATCAACTGATTACTTAATATCACTAATTATTAACTTTAGGGCTTTGTAAGTATAAAGAGAACAGAGAACCAAAATATATTTTTTTCTGGTTAGGAAAATAATCAAATATAGATTATATGAGCCAAATGGTCCACAAAGAAGGTTGGTTTTAGAAGGTACATTCTACAAAATTTATAAAACCATTAAAAAGTGACTTCATGGAAAGATGTATAAGACATACTGTCAAATCAAAAAAGCAAAATAGTAAACAGCATATATCATATAATTTATTTTGCTTTAAAAAATAATATAGTTATTGCACATTATACAAAATTTTCAAATTAAGAGGACAACACACTAAAATGCTAATAATTGTTATCTCTAAGGAATAGGATTACAAGTCTTTCACTTTCGATAGTATTTAGTTTTGTAACATTTGATTAAGCTTTTAAAAATAATGAATATGTATTACTTTTGTAATCAGAAAAAACAATCCATTCTGAAAGATCCTAAATACTAATTTTTAAGGAAAATGTGAGGAAATCTAAGTCAATTTATGAAATCAGACCATAATAAGAAAAAATACTTTCACTGCAGGAAGTGACAAGTTTTTCCATCATAATTATCTATTGCTAGAAATTAAGTAAAATATTTTGTTAAATATAATCAAGGACACATCCCTCCTCAGTTTTCCTTCTGTAAAGCAAAGGTAATGGATTAGTTTCAAAGACCTTTTCCAATTTTTTGTTTTGTAAACAGCTATCTATATGTGCCTACCCAAACATAATAATATCAACATCAATAAAAACAAAGATTTACTGAGCTCTTACTTTATGCCAGAACTGTGCTAAAGCAATTTATAATTAGTTATTATCTTGCTTCATTCCTTCACGTCTAAGAGACAATTACTGCCATCTTCATTTCAGAGTAAAAGAAAATGAGGCTCAAAGAGTAACTTACTCAAAGTCACACAATCAATAAGTAGGAGAACCAAGGTTTGATTCTTGATCTGACTCCAAAGCCAAACTGCTACATGACCTCACAATTTAAAATTTAAATATGGCTGAATTCTAAAGTCTACTATCCATTTCCAACAACCTTCCCCTTTTTCCCTTTGGGAAAAAAGTAGATACACCCATGGGTGCTCAGTTGCTTCAGTCGTGTCCAACTCTTTGCGACCCCATGGACTGTAGCCCGCCAGGCTCCTCTGTCCATGGGATCCTCCAGGCAAGAATACTGGAGTGGGTGGCCATGCCCTCCTCCAGGGGATCTTCCCAACCCAGGGATCAAATCCATTTTACACTGGCAGATGGGTTCTTTACCATCTGGGGAGCCATATACATCCACATGCCAAGTTAATTTTTATTTAAGTGCTCTGCTTTTAAAACAATAAAAGACACATCACACTTTTATTAATTTTTATATCAAAGAGGTTACATTTTTTAGTGCTGTTAAATATTTAAATAACATATACTTACATAGTCACATTGTCAAATTTTCACCAGGATTAAGCCACAAAAAGAAATAGAAGAAAACTATAAATAAGAAACAGATATTGAGATGACAGACTCAAATAAAGAGTAAGACAGTTTGAAACATGAAATTATATTAAAAAAAAAACACAGTAAAGCAATACCAAAAGAGAAAAACTTCTGTAAATAAATTAAATGATTCAAATATCTCACCTATATGTTATTAGTGGGTGAAGAGGAATAAATTCTGCTGGCCCAAATTCTATAGAGCAACCAAATGTAATTAACGTTAGCAATTCACCGTGACAGGTCAATAAAACCAGGGAGCCACGTTTTAACACACAAGCCAGAAAAAGACTATCGTGAGTCCAGCTGACATCACCTACCCAGTATGACCTAGAAAAAGCAAAACAAGATGTTTAGAAAGGACTCTCTACAATGTCTCTAACAATTTATAATGGCCAAGAAGGGGTGAGATACTTCCAAAAATAAGGGCAAAAGAATGAATAGTAGGCAAATGTCACATACATTTTGTGTATCTTACTTCCCAGGAAATAAGAAGAAAGGAGTTTGCTCATAAACATCTAGTTCATACAACATACCAATTAGAAATTTACTTACATTCATAAATAAATCATAAGATGAAAATACTACCTAAAAATCTAAAGCTTTTAAGTCACTTACATTATAGCCAGAACAACTTCTAATCCTAGTGATATCCATAACTAAGATCTACCAGTAAATTTGAAGGTCAATACCATGCCTGTCTCTCAGGAGCCTGCCAGAGCTCCACTCAAGAGCAAATTCCCTCTTGCCAAAGCCATCTTTACCACTCCTTAACTGTCTGAAAATATTAATATTTCTTTCATGGGGACAGAAAGTAGCTCCTTCTCATTTAAATGATGGACACCGTCAGTCAAACAGAACACTGAACTGAGACTAGAAAGGAAATTTTGGGAAGAGAAAGAAAATAAAAATGTATGGCTGGATGAACCTGAAAACTCTGAAAAGTCAGAGAACAGCAGAGAAGTGTTCAGAAAAGGAAATTAGGATTCAAGAGGAAGAGGAACTATTCCTCCTCTATAATCCTACACAGGTCCCTTGCCATCCAAAATAACCACTTACAGTGCTGTCCACCCATATGCAGAGAATGCTAACTTTGTTTAAAAGGCTAAAAACACCTCAGCCTGAGTATATAAAATGATCTTCCCAACCCAGGATTCTTCATTGCAGTCTCTCTAAGCCCAGTATTTCTCAACCTAATCATAATCCCACTCTTCCTAAGACAACATAGAAAGAAATAAAAGAGAAAAGAAAATGTGTTCAAGTATCTTCCACTCTATCAGACCCTTCCTTAAAGGACTGAATGCTTTCCTTATATAAACTGAAGTTGCTCAGTGGTGTCCAACTCTTTGCAACCCCATGGATAGTAGCCTGCCAGGCTCCCCTGTCCGTGGGATTTTCCAGGCAAGAATGCTGGAGTGGGTTGCCATTTCCTTCTCTAGGGGAAAGTGAAGTTGCTCAGTTGTGTCCAACATATAAAACAAACTTTAAAGTCCATCAAGCACAAATGATGAAAACTGCATTATCTATCTAAATATCTATTTGTTGTTGTTCAGTCAGTCTCTCAGTCACATCCAACTCTTTGCGACCCCGTGGACTACGGCACACCAGGCTTCCCTGTCCTTCACCGTTTCCAGATTTTGCTCAAATTCCTGTCCATTCAGTCAGTAATGCCATCCAACCATCTCATCCTCTGTCAATCCCTTCTCCTCCTGCCTTCAATCTTTCCTGGCATCAGGGTCTTTTCTAATGAGTCAAGTCTTTGCATCATGTGGCCAAAGTATTAGAGCTTCAGCATCAGTCCTTTTAATGAATATTCAGGATCGATTTCCTTTAGGATTGACTGGTTTGATGTTCTTGCAGTACAAGGGACTCCAACACCACAGTTCAAAAGCATCAATTCTTTGGCGCTCAGCCTTCTTTACGTTCCAACTCTCACATCCATACATGACTACTGGAAAAACCATAGCTTTGACTATAGGGACCTTTGTCAGCAAAGTAAAGTTGCTGCATTTTAATATGCTGTCTAGGCTGGTCATAGCTTTTCTTCCAAGTAACAGGAAGCTTTTAATTTCATCACTTCAGTCACCATCTGCAGTGATTTTGGAGTCCAAGAAAATAGTCTATTACTGTTTCCATTGTTTCTCCATCAATTTGCCATGAAGTGATGGGACCAGAGGCCATGATCTTAGTTTTCTGAATGTGGAGTTTTAAGCCAGCTTTTTCACTCTCCTTTTTCACTTTCATCAAAAGGCTCTTTAGTTCCTCTTTGCTTTCTGCCATAAGGGTGGTGTCATCTGCATATCTGAGGTTATTCATATTTCTCTCTGCAATCTTGATTTATGCTTCACCCAGCCTGGTATTTCGCATATACTCTGCATATGAGTTAAATAAGTAAGGTGACAATATACAGCCTTGGTGTACTCCTTCCCCAATTTTGAACTAGTACATTGTTCCATGTCCAGTTCTAACTGTTGCTTTTTGGCCTGCATAGAGGTTTCTCAGGAGACAGGTAAGGTGGTCTGGTATTTCCATCTCTTTAAGAATTTTCCATCTCTTAAAGAATTCTTTTTAAGAATATTTGTTGTAAAAATATCTATTTAGACACTACTGATCAAAGCCTTAAACTTATTAAACTATTAAAAAAATTAAAAAAAAACACTATTTAGAAATAAAAAAGAATCCTTACCTGACAAGAGTGGCTGGAACCACAGGATTCTTATTACTACATCCTTTAAGGCTACCATAGACAGTAACAAAATTCAGTGTGTTTATAAATAATACCTGAGTTGCCTAGAAAGAGAAAAAAAAGACAACAAAACAATTAAAATCATTTTATGTATATTTCTGAAGACCTAGAGACCTATTTTATCAATGAACTATCTCGTCTTTCCCAACTGGCAAGACAATACCAACCACCTATAACTTTTCTCCCTGTTATACTATATTTTAAGAATATTAGTTATCACTTTGCCCCTCTTTCTTCCTTTTACATTACCCTCTTCTTGCTTCTGAAGGTCAAATTTCAAAAATTATGGCACCTAACGTAAATAATGTTACCAATTTACAAAGTCAAGTTGGATCAGGAAACACCAATTTAAAGAACATAAAGTAGTATTAAGAAAAAACAAATTATATTCAAGCGAAAAAAAAAAAAATCTAAACTGAACTAAACTCTCTCTTTTACAGCTTACTCCCAAAACAGATTACATTTACTGACCTTTGGGTCTTTCTGATTAAGCGTTACTGCCAGGTTAAGTCCATCTCTTGAAAATGCAGAAATCAGAGCTCCCCTTGACTTCACTGATTCACATTTAGGGATCAGACTGCACAGAAGGCAATCCTGCTGAGCCCACTGAACACAATATGGCAGTGATCTAAGAAAGGAATGAAATAACAGAAAACAGGAAGTATAGTAACTTTTTTATATTAATATATATTTCATTACAGAAAATTGAACGGTCCAGCTAAATTCCTTCATATGCATATATATTTCGGGTCTCTTAGCAACTGCTCACAAGTTTCATCCAGGGCACAAAAGAGCAACTGCTAACTAAACAAGGTAGGTCCATACAGAGTTTTGTAGTAACAGCATGCCCTACAGCCAACCCCAAACACATCTGCATCTACTAAAAGTTTAGATACATGTATTTCTACATTATTACAAATATTTTTGGGCTTCCCTCTTAGCTCAGTTGGTAAAGAATATGCCTGCAATGCAGGAGACCCAGCTTTGATTCTTGGGTCAGGAAGATCCCCTGGAGAAGGGAATGTCAACCCATTCCAGTACTCTTGCCTGGAGAATCCCATGGACAGAGGAGCCTAGCAGGCTACAGTCCATGGGTTCGAAAGAGTTGGACACAATTTAGCAACTAAACCACCAACAGCTAGTTGTACATTTAAAATTTGTTCATTTTACTTTATATAAATTACACCTGAATAAAGTACTGCTAGCATAAAAAATAAAGAAAATAAACAAAAAAAAAATCTCACTGTTTTAGTAAATCTTAGGTCATTATATGCTTTTAAATGCATTCTTTCTATTTCATGGGGCTTTTTAAAATAAATAAAACCACTTTTAATTAAAAAAAAATTTAAAAGGTATGGTAGTAAATTCAAATAAGTTATGTCCTTTTCAAAATTCAATTGAATTAGTTTTCTTTTTTTTTAATTCAATTGAATTAGTTTTCAAAGGAGTTTTTTATAGTCTTAAGACAAGACCACAGACAGCCTTACCTTTTATGTGTTCTCAATTCCAAGAAGGGAAACAAAATAAAAACAAGAAAAACTTTCTGTAATAAACATGTAAAATGAAAAGTAAAGAAACAGAACAATACTTAAAGGGAGAAACAATTTGTAAAGTCTCAGAGTTCGATGTTCACATTTCATTTACTGATCTTATTACGAATTTATGGGCCAAAAGATATTATAATAATGTTTCAAAAGGGACAGAAGAACTTCCCTGGCAGTCCAGTGGTTACGACTCTGCACTTGCAATGCAGGGGCTGCGGGTTCAATTCCTTGTGGGGGAACTAAGAAGATTCCATGTGCTGTTCAGAATAGTCAAAAAAAAAAAAGATAGAAAACAAAGAAGGAAACATTTACCTCACCTTACAGGTGTAAATACACTTTCATGCCACCGAATTGCTAGAAATGTTAACTTCAGGCATTCCCCGGAATAGAAAGTAAATGAACACAAGCAGCAGTCTCCAAATAACTGTAGATAAATTTCACATACTTTAGTATATAATAAATCTGAAAATCAAGAGGATCTAGAAACTGTCGTACTGAGTGAAGTCAGACAGAGAAAGAGGAATATTATATGATATCTCTTATATGTGGAATCTAAAAAAAAGTGATACAAATGAACTTGTTAATAAAACAGATTCACAGACTTAGAGAATGAATTTATGGTTACCAGGGGGAAGAATGATGGGATAGTTAGGGAGTTTGGGATTAACATGCACACACTGCTATGTTTATAATAAATAACCAGCAAGGAAAACAGAAAATAAACTAACCCCTGAAAGAACAGAAAAACAAGAAAAAAAAAGCCCTACATTTTTTCATAAGTAAGATAAATGAAACTTATCAAGAACCTGCTTCTACTTTTATTCTTAACATATAGCTTAACATTAAGCTAAACACTAAGAAATTTATTTCTGAGCCAGAGGCATATCTCAAATGGGAAATCAAGATGTAGTTAGTCTCTTAAGAAAACACTGACATTTACTCTGGCTATATAACTGGGAATATTCTTATATATTTATTTTTCTCTTCTTTTATGGTGGCATATTATTTAAACTAGGGCACTATTCATGAGGTAAACAACAAAAGTTCAAAACACAATTTTTAACAATAGCAAATTGGGTAATAACATATTGGTCAACACATACAAAGAGTATCATACAGCTATTTAACATGTCTTTTAGTTAACAAATGTGTTATTTACTGGGAATGGCTTACTTAATATCACCAATTCTAGTTTATTTTTTTATCACAAAGCTAGTTATATTCTAAAACTAAGGAAAAATAAAACTAGGGAAAGACCAAGGAAGCTCTAAGTTCAAACCAGTTATATTCTAAAACTAAGGAAAAATAAAACTAGGGAAAGACCAAGGAAGCTCTAAGTTCAAACCACTTTTAATAAGCTCTTTTAAAATGGGACTAAGAAATATAAAACTACCTTTTCCAGGATAATTTCACCATTACTACAATTAATGATGACCGGAGATATACAGCTATCATTACACACTCTGCTCAACAGCTTCCCAGAAAGTGTCTGCTCTTAGAGTCTGAGGTCTCCACTTCAAGAACGCCCTGTCTGATTTGGACTTTACCTCATTTTTTATAAAAACAGCATGCACTACGGCTTCTTTATCTTCAGTGGAAGGTAAAGGAACTGCTTCTTCAGGCATGATCTGGGACCACTGGCCCACCAAGGAAAGGCTTTTAGAAGATAAGACATTCTTGAATTCCAAATGTTCCCAAAGGAATATGCATCCAGAAGGAGTTATAAGCAGAACTCTTTTCCCATTGCCAGATACATACAAGTACAGTCTCGAAGAGCTTGCTAAAAAAACAACAAAAAAGTTACTAAACCTCTGAAGTCGGAATTCCTGCAAAAAAGTACAAATTTTATCTATTCTGATAAGGATCCTAAATGAGGTTTCCATTCAGAAAGCAAAACTAAGACATTAATAATAAATTAAAAGTACAAATAATACTAACACTTATCATGTACTCATGTGTGACATTAGGAACCCACTGCTATCACAGATATGCTAGGCATGCCAAATTTTTCTTCCTCAAGATGAACCTTAGTGTTACAAACAACCAACATCAAAAAATACTTACATATACATGGAAATACATACAGATATTTACAAAAGCAGAGGCATATTTCTTTTCCTCCTATATATCAAGTTAAATCAATTTAAACAAATAAAAAAACTCCCACCTACTGCAGCTTTAATCATTTCCTTAGGCTTTTCAGTTGCTCGTATAGTTTTCAAACAATCTTGATCTTTGTTCCAGAGGAAAACCTCACCTGTAGTGAGTACCCCAGCCAGCCAGGCATCTGTTTTCAGAACAGAAATACAACGCTTACAGTCTAACATTTCCCTTAATATTACCCCCAAAATTATTTTTAAAAATACAGTTAATCTAGCCTTTTGACAATATCAGTACTACTTAACCATTACTGGAGGTTGTTAGGAGTATAACATCCTTCAACAAAGGCTGAAGACTGGGAATTTTCTTCTTTGTCCTTCCTGAGAGCAAATTAATTTCATTTACAAATCTATCATCCAAAAGAAAAACAGCTTCATTTTCCTAGGAGAAGAAATATGTGAGAAACTTAAGAGATGCCAGAAGTTAATTCAGCCTCCTACCTAAGTTATCACAGAAAGGAAAAGAAAGTGACATCTAAGAAAGATGGTATATTTGTACTACACATCATAAAATGAACAATAAGGGCTTTTTTAAAAAAGCAGTTTTATTTATTTATTGGCTGTGCTGGGTCTTCATTGTGGCTCAAGGGCTTCTCTAGTTGTGGCGTGGGGGCTTAGTTGCCCAGTGGCAGGTGGGATCTTAGTTCCCCGACCAGGGCTCGAATCCACATCCTCTTCATTGGAAAGCAGATTATCGACCACTTGACCATCAGAGAAGTCCCAACAATAAGGCTAATTATGTAACCTGAAAATTTTTTCATTCTATCTTAAAAGTACCTCTTAATAGAATTACTAGGTAGTATGACCTAGTAGCCACACTGAGATTTATTTGAAGTTTAAAATTATAGGAGTGTCTTCCAATTCTGCTAGCCCACGCTGAGTTATCTGCTGTTAGCTCATCGATCTGAAGAGTAGTATGGGCAAGTTTTAAACTATTTACTTAAATAAACATGGCTTCTCATTTCTGAAGCAGTAGCATGTGCTCCTAGACTTCAGTTTTAGAAAACATCCAGAAAATGTTGAGCTTACTGAAAACTTTCCAGTATACACGAGGCTGCTTCATCACCTGCATGGGTATTCCAAGATTCACCAGGACATGAAACTCCCCAAACATGTGCCTTTGCTCAAAAAAGACCCTGTAGATGCGAAAGCCATGCTCACTTTCAATAACTGCAGAGAGGCTTTCTGGCTGGGCAATCTCAAAAACTGGGACTTGCAGGGTGAAGAAACTGTGTCCCAGAATTCCCAGGAGATGAGAGTGAGGATGATACACCATCCCAGGACTCCAAGAGCAAAGCAACAAAGGATGGTGAAGAAGATGAAGCAGGTAATGGAGAAAAGGAGCGAGAGAGTGATGAGAGAGGTGACGAATGTGATCAGATCACAGAAAGACTGAGGTTCCCTCCCCATCTCTGTCAGCCTCCTACCATACAAATACACAAAATCCTGCTCAGTGGGCAAGTGATCCTTCTGCAGATGCTATTTTATTTTTTAAAGGTTATTCTTCGATCTTAGAGGCAAAGCACACATTTAACACATATTACAACTGATATTGTACAACTGAAGAAAAACTTACCTGTCCCAACCAGGAGACTCGTGGCCAGGGTTTTTTCTGCTTGATACTCGTTGATGTCAAAACTTCTAATCTTATCTCCATGCTTGTTAAGATATCAAAGACCAATTAAGTCAAAAGTCACAAGATGCTATAAAAAAAATGATAAGAACATGTAATATTTACTAAAGATCTTAAGAGTTTTCATAAAGTTTTAGTAAATGACTTTTTCATTAGCTCAAGTTTACTTTCTTTTAAAGGTAAAATGCTGATACCTTATTCAGTATCTAATCTTGAGTAGTTAGGCAAAACGTGTTTGCTTTTTTGACAAGTTATTCCTCAGACTATGAAAGCAAACACAAATTTGGAGAATATCTTGACAATATAGTTTCTATGTGATTACTTTCTCATCTTTCCAAAGACAAACACAAAATTACCCGCTATCCCATATTTTCTTCTTACACTATGACTTTAACACTCCTCTCTCTCATTGAGAGCTCTGGTCTATGCCTCATCCCTTGAAATTGGGTGGTTTTTTACTACTTTGACCAAGTGTAAAATGGAAGTGAGGCTATGCATTTCACAAGGCTAGCTCATACAAGGCAATACACCTTCTACCTTGTGTTTGTGCACGCTTATTAGCTCAGTTGTGTCTGACTCTTTGCAAACTCTACAGCCTGGCCGACCATAGTCCGTCAGGCTCTTCTGTCCATAGGATTTTCCAGGCAAGAAGACTGGAGTGGGCTACCATTTCCTCCTTCAGGGGATCTTCCCAACACAGGGATCGAACCCACATCTCCTGTGTCTCCTGCATTGGCAGGCAGATTCTTTATCTCTGAGCCACCTAGGACTCCCCACACCTTCTACCTTACTCCCTGGAATAATTACTGTTAAAGCCTTCAATCACCACATAAGCAGTCAAACTGCCCTAAGTCACAGAGCTCTAAGAACGTACAAACTAGACAACATAGAACTGAAGCCCTGAAATAACATGATGTAAAGATGCCCAGCAAGTCTCCATGCTGGGTATGGGGATGGTTTCAGTAGAGGCCATGACCCGTTTGTCAGAGCCCTACTGGGGTGACAGGAGCATAATCCTGGGTGAATGGTCCATTCTTGAGTGAATCTTGGAAGGATGATCACACAGTGGGAGAATCTGACACAGTGATTTGGAGCCAAGAGAAGTGAGGACACAGAAGCCATAATGAAAGGGATCCCATAGAACAAAGTGAGGACACTTGGAGCATCAGAACAAATTACGGTAATGGATTTAAAAACCCATGGACTAAAACAGGAAACCATGAATCCATATAGTCATAAAAAAGTAACTTATTAAATGGAACATCTGATGCAAAATGGTATATTTACATTGTTTCAAAATATCTCCCTATAAAATACTCATTAATTACAAAAGACAAAAGAGTCACTTCACAATGAAGAAACTGGGCAGATTCCATTGTACCTAAGGATCAAAATGAAAATAACCAGAATGGGACAAAAGGAAATCACCTGCCACTTAACAGTTAAAAGGAGAAAAACATCTGTGATGACATATGTACAAAGGAACATAACCTGAATCTAATCACAAGTAAATATCAGGCAAACCCAAACCAAGGGATAGTTTACAAAATAACTGATCTGTAACCTTTAAAAGTTTTAAGGTTATGAAAGTTGGGAAAAGACTGAAAAACTAGTCCCAAAGAGAAAAACCAGACAACTACATGAAGTCAGTAATTTGTAAACTTTATGTTTGCACTATAAAGGACAATATGGGAGAAATGGAAAAACCTGAATAGAAAGAGAAACTGAGGATTAGACGGTTGTAACAGATGAATGTTGATTTTCTGATTTTGATGGTTGTCTTGCATGGGCCACGAGTATGATACGGGCAGTGGGGCGGGTGGGGGAGGAGTCTAAGACACTGCATGCTTAGCGGCAAAAAGTAAAGGATAAAAAACTAGCTAATCGGGACTTAGCTGGTAGTCAGGTGGTTACAACTCGGTGCTCCCAACACAGAGGGCACAGGTTCAATCCCTGGTCAGGGAACTAAGATCCCACATTCCAAAAAAAAAAAAAAAACCCAAAAACTAGCTAATCATTTCAAGCTGTAATGACAGAGCCCTACAGAATTTGATGATGGATGGTCTTCTGTCTCATAAAGCTCTGAAAATCACCTCTTGTTATAGAGCGAAGGTTATCTGTGCCGTATGCTGACAGGCACTAAAATCACTAATGGTTCCTACAGATGTGTGTGCTTGGAAGGTCAGTCCTGTCTCTTTGCGAGCCCATGGGCTGTAGCCCGGGAGGCTTCTCTGTCCATGGGATTTTCCAGGCAAGAATACTGGAGAGGGTTGCCACTCCCTCCTCCGGGGGATCTTCCCACCCCAGGGATCAAACTTGGGTCTCTTATGTCTCCCGCATGGGCCATCAGGTTCTTTACCACTAGCGCCACCTGGGAAGCCTGCAGATGGATACTAATAAACACCATAAAACATGTCAAATTAGTTAATGGACGACAGATAAACTCGACCACACAAAATATGTGAGGAGGAGAAACAGGTTAAGTTCTACCTTCCCTCCCCCCGTCCCCCCTCCCCCCACATCTTAATTGAAAACACTGGCAAAAGCAATTTCCAGAGGAATAATCCAAGTTGTTCGGTGGTTTCCACCACAGACGAGCCTGAGAAATCACGCCCATTCATCCGCGCTCAATTTATGGCCCACCAATGTCACACACAGGGCCTGGCCCACGACCACCCCGCATGAGGCATCCCAGGCACCCCTCTGAGATTCCCTACCGGACCGCGCGGGGCAGCGCCGCCCTCCACCCCTGAGAGCTGCCACCGCGGCGCCCACCGGGGACCGGGCAGGAGCTGGAGGACACCGGGCCGAGGCCGAGGTCGAGCCCGAACCGGACTTCGTTCCCAGCCAGCCGAGGGCGACCCCGCGCCTCCGGGAGGCCGAGGATGCTGCGGCGGGAGGACGACGCCGGGAGACCGGGTAGGGGGGCTGGGTGCGGCGGGGGATGGCGGGGCTGGGAGGTGGCGGGCGAGCCAAGACTCGACAGCGTGAGGGGGCGGAGGAGCCCGAGGACGCCGCGGGCCGGAGGGCGAGCGCAGGAGGCTGGGGCCGTGCAAGACGGGAATCTGCGGGCAGTTACCTCCGCCAGGGCCTGGCCCGTCCGGGGCTGGGAAGGCGCGACGAGGCTGAGATGAAGGAGGGCGACGGAGACAGGCGGAGCTGCCCGCCCCAACGCGAGCCTGCGCCTTGGCGACGGCGGAGGGCGGAGAAGGGACGCGGGCGAGCGCCGCACTGCGCCTGCTCCGAGCCGGCTGGGAGCGCGGGCGGGAGGCTGGAGGCGTTCCCCAATCCTTCTCTCCGCCGGGTCTCCCGGGGTTCCCGCCCTCGTCCTCCCAGCGGTCCTGCGCCTCCGCTGCTTCCCTGCCTGCGTCCCTTCTGCCCAATCGCCCGTCCTTCCGCTCAAGGTCTCATCCTGAGCTGCCGTGGTCGTTCTGTTTCACCTCCACGATGGTCCGTTGCTTCCTCTGACACACACCTTTGAGTGGCCAGGCTGTATGTGGCGCTCCCCAGAAAACCGTTTAATAACCAACTAATATGTAAACTGTGAAAGTGCTGCACTCAATATGCCAGCAAATTTGGAAGACTCAGCAGTGCCCACAGGACTGGAAAAGGTCAGTTTTCATTCCAATCCCAAAGAAAGGCAATCCAAAGAATGCTCACTCTATCACACAATTGCACTCATCTCACACGCTAGCAAAGTCATGCTCAAAATTCTCCAAGCCAGGCTTCAACAATACCTGAACCGTGAACTTCCAGATATTCAAGCTGGATTTAGAAAAGGCAGAGGAACCAGAGATCAAATTGCCAACATCCGTTGGATCATCGAAAACACGAGTTCCCGAAAAATATCTACTTCTGTTTTACTGACCATACCAAAGCCTTTGATTGTGTGGATCACAACAAACTTTGGAAAATTCTGAAAGAGATGGAATGCCAGACCACCTGACCTGCCTCTTGAGAAATCTGTATGCAGGTCAAGGCTGTATATTGTCACCCTGCTTATTTAATTTATAAACAGAGTACATCATGAGAAACACTGGGCTGGATGAAGAACAAGCTGGAATCAAGATTGCAGGAAGAAATATCAATAACCTCAGATATGCAGATGACACCACCCTGATGGCAGAAAATGAAGAACTAAAGAGCCTCTTCATGAAAGTGAAAAAGAGTGAAAAAGTTGGCTTAAAACTCAACATTCAGAAAGCTAAGATCATGGTATCTGGTCCCATCACTTCATGGCAAATTGATGGGGAAACTGTGGAAACAGTGTCAGACTTTATTTTCTGGGGCTCCAAAATCACTGCAGATGGAGACTGCAGCCATGAAGTTAAAAGATACTTGCTCCTTGGGAGAAAAGTTATGACCAACCTAGACAACATATTAAAAAGCAGAGACATTACTTTGCCAGCAAAGGTCCATCTAGTCAAGGCTATGGTTTTTCCAGTGGTCATGTATGGATGTGAGAGTTGGACTATGAAGAAAGCTGAGAACTGAAGAATTGATGCTTTTGAACTGTGGTGTTGGAGAAGACTCTTGAGAGTCCCTTGGACTGTAAGGAGATCCAACTAATCCATCCTAAAGGAAATCAGTCCTGAATATTCATTGGAAAGACTGATGCTGAAGCTGAAACTCCAATCCTTTGGCCACCTGATGCAAAGAACTGACTCATTTGAAAAGACCCTGATGCTGGGAAAGATTGAAGCAGGAGGAGAAGAGCACAGCAGAGGGATCAGATGGTTGGATGGCATCACCAATTCAATGGACATGAGTTTGAGCAAGCTCCAGGAGTTGGTGAAGGACAGGGAAGCCTGGCCTGCTACAGTCTATGGGGTCACAAAGAGTGGGACACGACTGAGCACCTGAACAAGAACTACAAAAACTGATGATTCTGGCAATAAATCCTTATTTTCCTCTTTTGCAAACACACTTGATAAAGTCTAAAATCAACATATTAAACATGTCCAAAACAGTCTACTCCATTAAAACTCCAGTTGATTCCAAAATGTAGAGCACCAGTAACTTAG